TCTTTGAACATCAATCAATCTTTAAGGGTCAGTCCGATTTTCCTTGGGTCATTTTTTTTTTTTTTTTGTATTTTTCTCTACTATATTCTAAAATGTATGTATCTATGTTATTTATACATAAAGACGGATGTTCTTTTCTTCTTCTTTTTTTTTTTTGGATTGGGGGGGATGGAGATGGATGCAGAAGAGAACTGAGTAATAACTTTGTTAAGAATATGTAAATATACAGTTTTTTCTTCTTCTTCTGGTAATTTTGAGAGTGTAATTTGTAATGTTTTGCGTTTTTAGTTCTATGGAAATTTCTACGTTGCTGACGAATTTATTATATTTTTTTGCCTCCGAATTCTTTGTAGTAATCTTAGGGGGAGTTATTGGGAGAATGATTTTTAAAGATTTTTATAGTTTAAGATTCCATTGTTATTGGTTTATACATTCTTAGATTCCTAATAAAATCTCTTGTTATTGGTGTATGTATTTTGTAATTCTATTTAAAATCCTTTGTTATTCAAAAAGTTGAGTATTTATTGATTTTCCAATTCTATCAAATTCTAGTATTATTGGTTTAATGATTCCTTACATATTTAGTCATTAAAAACAACTTTCAAAATACTGCAATTCTCACAAGTATTTATAGAATCTATCATATGAAGAATCTATTAAACTCTAGAAATCTGGGTAAACATTATTTTAGAATCCACAAAAATTTTTGAGAATCTTAAAATCTCTAAACTTTAGAAATTCATAAACTCTTTTAAAATCATCCTCCCAATAACCCCCCCTTATACTACTAAGTTAAATGAATATTGAAGAGAGCCATGTTATTAAGTTTTGTGTCTTTGTATTAAATATGGACTGATCATGTTCATGTAAATGCACGTGACCTATTATTTCATTATTTGTCGGAATTAATTCGGGGACTTCTCACAGTGCACGGGAACGGGAAAGTGGGAATAGATGAGACTTTAAAAATCTTTCTTTTTGGTTTCTCTATGCTAGTATTGTGTAATATTTTCATGACAAATAGTATTATATTGTGGTCCCTTTTGGACTGTGGTGAATTAAACATTTTTTTGTTTTGGGTGAATTGAACCGTTGGACTATATTTACATCCATCTATCTACCTTATTCAGTGCGAATTTATTCACCTTAGATTTACCCAATCAAAAGAATGATTACTATTATTTGTGTTTTGATCTCATAAGAGCTTGCATGGGAGGATATGTATTTGCATAATAAGATAAAACACACTATTGGGAGTTTGTATATTGAAAATGATAGGGTGATGATCTTATTAGGTTTTTTTTTTTGGTATAATCTTCTTTTTATTGTTTGCTAATAAAATTGAAGAGATTGATATAATAACATGGAGAAATGGACCTTCGCCTGGAATTAAAAACAAAGTCTGGGTTTCATGTTTCTGTGACACTCTGCACCAACATCACCACAACAAGGAACGTGCGACTCACGTGCGCCATTCTCTGTCTCTCTCCAGCTACGTGGTCTGCTTTCACTCCCCTCGCTCTTCGGACTTCGTGAGTTTCATCGCTTTTTAAGTTTTAACTATAGCTATTTTTCTTTAATCTCTTTCGTATTGTTGCTCCTCACTATTACCCACCCATATCCCCTGAAAAACAAATCATGAGTTTAGACTTTTAATGAAACGTAAACAATGGTTTATTCGGGGGCTAGTAATATGTTAGCTTCATGATAGGGCGTGACATTTAGTCAAATTAAATTACTAGTAACATTAGACTATTATTGCCATTGGATAGGAGAAAACAAAAATATGCGCAATCAAAACGGATTTCATAGCTGTAAGGAATCGAAACTAACCTAGTTATATTATCTATGTAGTAGAGTTTGTGTCTTTCTCGGAAGGTACGGATTTAATGTACGTTTTCTTAGCTGACAGCACATATCTTAAATCTCGTACGAATAGAATAGTAGTACTTGCTTCTTCATATGATCATCATGTAATTAAAAGACGATTATTAGAAGAAAAAAAACATATTAAAAGAGAAAACGATACGGATACGTGCACACACCTTAACACATTCAAAAACCCAACAGCTACAACTACAAACTACAAGCAGCGACTGCATGTATATATATATAGACAAGACACTGACAGACGCGCGTGGGAACATACAGTAAACACACGCGCTTAAACTGCGGGAGATGAGTAGCTATCAAGAAGAACACGCGCGACGGTGGTGGGTACCGAGCACGTGGGCCACCGTGCATGCAAGCTGTTCTTGTCGGAAACTTCCCCTAACAACGTCTCCTTCCGCCGTGGGCCGCCGTCCCTTTCCTGTCTCCGCCGAATTGACCTCTTCCTCTCTCTCCCACGTGTGTCTCCTTCTCATCCATTCATTTTTTCTTTTCTTAATTTTCAAATTATATCATCTTCCTCCTAATCAAGATATATTCTTATTACATTTTTTTTCTTCCTACTACTAAGATTTTTTCATATTATATATTATTTTATTTTTGACAACTTGCCAATAACACTATTTAGTTACGCGGAATTATTGGGACGTACGTGGGTTTCATTGCTCTTTGTCTGATATCAAGAAATCAAGACACATATACAAATCAAATACAGGAATAATTATGCTTATGCACAATGCATAATAAAAAATTCCCGAGTTGCAAAATGACATAGGAACTATATATATTTTATATAAAAAAATGAAATGAAGAAAGGAAACTAATTTGCAAAACCGTGGAAGAGAATTCTGATCGATTGTTTCCCTATCCTAATTAAGTTTGATAGAATATTTACGGAATACCTGAAGACAATTACGAATAAATTATGCTATTTTTAAAAAATGCATAACTACAAAATCATTCTATCATATTTGGATCACTTCTTTTCAATCATCAAAACCAATAATTCACGTTGAAACGTCGTCATATATCTGCATGTTAATTGTGTACATACATCAGTGCGTACATATTAATACTCTAAACTATGGGTCAAGTGCAGGACGGTCCATGCATTTTAGATATTTTTTTCTGTAACGCATATAAGTGGAGGATTGCGATGTTTACGCAATACACAACAAATATTTATAGCTATTTATATGTAAAACTATATATGTATATGGGGTTGGAAACCTGAAGTTGAATCAATCTAATCGTAGTTTTTGTTCATTCTCTAGGTTTCTTTCTCACGTACAAGTTAAACTCCCCGCACGTGCGAATGCCTTGTGTCTCATAATAATTTGTTTAGAAATTTGAGGTTTGGATGGACGATGTACGAACTACACAGAAAGCTATAAAAAAAACAAAGAAAATAATTAAGAAAAAAAGCTTTTGTACGTAAACATTGAGACAAACCCATTTCCACGCGTGTGAGCTCTCTGCCATATATATACAGCTAAGATTTTCTGAAAACGACATTGGTTAATTAATTAAAAACGTCTCTTCCTGGAAAAAAATGGTTTGTAAATTACTCTTTTCATAAAATTAAAAGGATAATAATTATGTATGTAATACGTCGATACTTAATACTACTACTAAATAATGTCTTAGAAGAATTCAAGTATAAATATATCAACATGATACGATTTTCACATTAAGAACAAGCGATCAAAGTTGTTCTTATTTTTGTAAGTTAAATCGAATATACGTTTATTTAATTATAATTATGTAAGTTACACATATTGATATAAAAAAGTAGCTAAACTATAATAAAGATTCTATAATGTTAAAGTAATTTAACATCACCTAGGAATCTTCCTTCTTTTCACGACGAAGAGACAAAGAAACAAAAAGCGACGGCTCAGATTTCGTTAATGTTTAATGAACATATTTTATATACGCACTATTCATCTTCTTGCAGTTGCAGCTTCTCCCAGCTTTCTCGTTTTTTTATTCTCATTTCGTCGTCAAGTTTAGCTTTACTTTTTAAAAAATCGTTTAACGTGTTTCAATACTTAATGTTGGGGCGTTAAGATTACGTTATCTTAATCTTTTCAATGGTTTGAAATGCTTTTAAGAGAGAGTACTGTCTTAGCTTAATTAATTACTAGTCTTCTTTTGTAAACAATGATTTATTGGAATCAGTTTGTCGAGAGAGAGAGAGTAATATGTAATGGGGATGTCGTAGATTCAGTCAGTATATAAAAGTATATGCTTTGATGATGGCAATTGGCGAATTACTATGGTCTATGAGTAAACAGAATTAGCTATAGTTTTAATACATTGATAATTATAAAAATTAGCTTAAGACCTTGAATTAAGGGAGCGAACGTGCGGTCCACGAGGGTTTCACGTGGGCAGTCTCCCTCGGACTCGGCGGAGCAAGCGGGTCACAACTTTTCATGTCCTCGTAACTTATGCTTTTTTATTTTTTTTTGTTTTCTTTTCGTAATACAAGTTGAACAACGTGATTATTATTGATTTATTGTACACTGTAATTTAACTTTAGGGATCGCGAGAGTCGAGAGGCTCACGTGCTTATAATCCACTTGTCAACTTTGTTGGCTTTGTCACGTGGTGGTTGCTATGTTCGTGGACTTGGGTCTGTACACTAAACCCAATTACATTTGTGCCTACAGGGCCACTAAAGATAATTTGTCTTTCTTTTTCAAAGTATAAATTTGTTAGGAAGCCCAATAGTTTCAAACTTAGGCTCAGTATAGAGGATGTTTCTTTGTTTGCTCATTAAAACACATTTCTATTGACTCCGCCCCCGTTTTAAAATTGATACATTAAAGCCCATCAATAACAAACCACGTCGTACTGAAATTTTCCTTTTAGTAGTATTATTGTTGCCAACTTGATAATAATGGTCAGTGGACTAACCTACATGTTTACGGTAGAGTGGGATTACAACAATAATTATGGGTAGAGTGGGACTACAACAATAATTATGGGTTATTTATTTACAAAATAATTTCATACAAACTCAACGAAACTATATATACATAAAAAGAGTCTTCTCGGAACTCATTTCACATATATAATCCTCAATTTGGAAACGATACATAAAATCATCTTACAAACACAAACCAACACATTACACATACTAAAACATCGTAACTATTTCATAATTAACGAGAACATATATATATATATATATATAGGTATAACTTTTTCCCTTTTTTATTAATCTAAGGTATTGATTAATAATACGAAATTAGTTTTGGGGGCAAGGTCGATTGGTTGATTCAACAGAAAATACAAATTGAAATCACCAGAAGAAGTTGGAGAGAGGAGAGTGGTGAGAGGAAGAGAGAGAGTCGTCGTCAAGATGATTAGAAGGAGAGTGAAGGTGTCTTCCTTCGTAAGTAGTGATTACCATTCTTGGGTCATCTGCTAATCTCTCCACTCTCTTCTTCACTCTACACTTGTCTTGTGTGCATCTGTAATAGCTCCTGCCATTTATCAAAATAAAATTTTAACTATTTAGTTAACCTTTATTGTATCTCAAGTTATATATACTAGAGATATTCTTATATTTTGAAGTAAAAAAAGATTCATTTATAGAATTATATTTAAACTATGTTCATTTAGAATACATGAAAGTTACTATGTTAACAGGAAATGTATTTATAGTGCTAAATAAAACAGATATTAAGGCAATTAAGCTTTATTACTGGACCAATGATAAAACTTTACAAAAGAACTATACCAATTACCCAAAGAAATCATTGTTGGTAAATGTCAAATGTCAACATGAGAGAGAGAGAGAGAGAGAGAGAATCGAATCTTAAGGAAACCCCATATGTCTCACATTCCTCACATAATACTCAAATGCTTCTACATGAAATATATTTTTTCGTTCTACAGAGTTATATAACACACACACATATATATTGTTTTCTTATTTTTGGTACAGTTAAATAGTCCCCACTGAGACAAGAGTTTTTTTTTGGTTTTGTTATGATAAGAGAACTGATACTTATTATAGACAAACATCAGAAAATAACTAGTACGTAATAACTTTCATTTCCTTATACTTGATAATGCAATTATTAATCTTTTACATGGCTCATAATTAACTCCCAAGAGACTACAAATTTACATCAAATTATTAATTAACGTTAAAAGTTTGAAAAAACTAATGATTCATCAAGTCAGTAAATAGTACGTAAGTCATCATTAACCCTCAAGGAATGATTACAGGCAGAGAGTGTGAACTAACTGATATATATTCATCTTCGTCTATAGAGAGTCGAACCAATTTCAAATAATTACAAGATAACTAGTTGTTAAATTAGTTTAATCAAAGATTGAGTGAGAACAAAATGTCGACTAAAAAGAAGAAAATGAGGACAAAGTAGAATTAGTACCTGGGATGCTGGGTGTTTTTGACGACTTTCTGGCCATACTTTCTCCATCTATAGCCATCATCTAAGACATCAACCTCGCTAAGTGTCTTAAAGCAAAACCGCGGTTCCCTCACTTTTCTTCTTGTCTTAAGCTTCTTCATTTTCAGAGAAGAAACAACGCCGCCTAACGACGCCGTGTTATGTTTTTCATGACGACGAGCAGAATTATGTTGATGATGATGATCATCATCATTAGTTCCACCACCACCATCGCCTACCTCATCATCATTATCGTCAATATCAATCCCGCTTCCATGGTTGTTTTTCTGGCTGCATCCATATCCCGCTTGACTACTCCATGCCCTAAATCACATCAACACAAGGCATATATAATTATATATTTAACAGTATGTTTGGGTTTAATTATATACATATGTTGGTGTGTCGTGTGCATGGTTGCCTTGAACTACTTGAAATTCTATACAATAAAGCGAAAGTAGATGGTAGGAAGATGCATATATATATATATATATATATATATATAGCTTTTAGTTCATATACATATTTAAATAATTTTGTAAAGTAATAATAATTTTGAGAATAATGATTTTACAATTGAGTTTTTTTTTTCTTTTTCGATTTGCACAGGTTATATACAACAAATGGCGGTATGTATATTTATGTAAGTGTGTGAACAAAACATGCATAGTCGATAACAGATATGTATCTTTAGGAGAATCATTAGCAACTGACCGCCACTTTAATTTGTTCTTACTTCTTAACTTGGTAATAACTAATCTAGTATTTGATGGATTCCGCATAAAGAGTATCGATATATTTGCTAACTCTAGGAAAGAAAAAGGAAAAAAGAATTGACGATTTGAGTAATAGTAGTTGTAGTTTAGTGAATATAGAGAATATAACCTTATATCTTAAAAAAATATTAAAAATAGATCCTTAAATGAGACTTTAACCTAATTATCTGTAGTATGTTTTCGTAAAGTAACTTACCATGGATTTGGTGAGGGTCTTTGGGATGATCTACTACCGGTAAGACGATGATGATCGAGATCAAGAAAGCCATCATGATCATCTCTTTGTTTCGAGGTGGAGAGAGACGAGATTAGTGATTGGGGGAGATTGGTCATGAGATTGATGGGATCTTGAGGATGAGAAACAAAAGAAGAGGGGTTATTGTGAAGAAAGGAGTTTAAGGAGTGATGACCTAGAAATGGAGACACAAGAGAGGAGGGAGAAGACGAAGAGGTAGAAGATGATGAAGATAAGGTGTGGCTAGGGAAAGAGAAGAAGAAACCTAGATGGTTACTATTATTAGGGTTTATGATGGTCTGCGATTCATCAAAAAAACTTACTCCTTGGTTTATCGTACCCATCTCTGTCGTTCTTCTTTTACGCAAAAGCGAGACGAACTTAAGATTGTGTGTGTGCGTGTGAGAGAGAAAGTTTTGGTTATGGTTTCGGTTGATATTTTGTTTGATTTTTTTGGGTTGAGAGTAGAGACGATCCAATCCAATCCATCCATGTGAATGTTTCGATTAATATATATATAAATGCTCGAAGAAAAAGAGAAAAGTTGCAGGTGGGTCCAATTCGATTGGTTTTGTTTTTCTTGAGAGATTTTGCATGTGACTGATAATATCCTAATGTGCTTTTTATATCACTAGTCTGATTTTTAATAACAATACTGATTTAGGAATTCCCCAAAATATACATGGTTTTAGTGTTGTTATTAATCAAGTTTATGCCGACAAATACAAATGTTCTAGGGTTTTTATGTGTGTTTTTGGTTTTGAACAACTTTGAGGTTCTTTTTTCCTTCCAATAACTTTTTAAAAAACCATAGTCCATAGTTGATATCAATTTTTGTGATGTTGGTTTTCTGATTAGAAGGTAAAAATAAGAAAAAGAAAAATCGAGAAAGACAAAAGAGAAAAAAAAAAAAAAAAGGAAAGAAAGAAGAAAACGCGTCAGGGCACTCGAGAGAGAAAGACGAAGAGGTAGTGGGAGTTAACGTCGTGTCGCTTAAACGGCAGCCAGCTTTTGTCACGGCGTCCCGTTACGTCCCTCAAACGGCGTTCATTTTGTTATGTACATACATGGATTTAATGAATACAAAACCCAATTTTTGTTTTAAAAAAAAACTACATGGATTTCATTAAGAAAAAAAATACTCTCTTTTCCAGTTTAAGCAATTTTGGCATATTGAAGATCTATCTCTCTACTTAATTTTTCTTCAAAACAAAAACAACATACGAGGATCATATATATTTGAATTGTTCAAACGAAAAGAAAAGAGAGGGATTGAAGTTGCACCAATTAGTAATCATTGTTTCCACAAAATAAATCCAAATCCTCTAGATGTATTGTTTTCGAAAAAATTTACTTTTATTTGAACAATATATATTATTTTTTTGAAATCATTTTCCATAGAAAAAAATGGCTGAGGATGTGATGGGAATAATATACACACATCTATCTCGTCACTTTCTTGTAGCTAGAATTTTATAAACTTTTCTTGCAAAAATGATGTAGTACTCAAACATAAATTTATATACGATTGCTATTATTTTGGGAATCCAAAAAGGAATATATGTAGATTAGGAGGAGCAATGATGAAAAATCTTAGGTGCAAATCTATTCCTCTGTACCCTGTGTGAGGATATCATGATTATGATTTGGTGAATTAGGCTCCTATATCATACTTTTTTTCTTTTTCCCTTCCCGTTTTTTAAAAAACTTGCACCTATCTCTCTAATCTCTAATACTAAAAAGAAGATAAAATAATGTCGTAAGAATATTTATAATCATACAAGAGAGAAAAGTTTCTTACCTTTTTTCTCATTTTGCCTTTTGCAAGATCGCATTTTGTAATCGTTTCATCAAAGTTTAGAAACCCCACCGTTTCTCAAATTCCAAGCCCACTTATTTTTTCTTCATGATGTCTTGTTGTATATTTGGTAATATATACATATATATATATATGTATGTATATGTACACACGCATGATAACCTCACCTCCGTATTTTATGATAAATTAAAGTGCTTTTTATATTAGTTTTCTTTTTGTCGACATTTATATATGTATATGGCCGCTAATCACACGTTTCAGATACTTGTGTGACGCTAAAAAAATAATATTTTTTCGAATAACCAGTATAAAAAGAACCTTTGTACTTTTTTGTTTCATATATTGCATTAGTTTTAAGTAATGTTAATATAGATAGGTCCCTCTCTTAGGTTAAAAGCCTCTCTAGATTACTGGAAGTCGTGCAAAGTTGTTCTACATGACTACATGCACGTAGTATACGAATATACGGTACATAGATGATAGACCCCTGTTACTATTTGTACAAAACTTTCATTAGCTACCCAGCAAAAAAACTGACCTTAATTCTAACGATAACTCATAACTGTAGTTACAAAAGTCTGTTTTAAGTGTAATGGGCACAACAACGATTGAGTATCATTGGTCGGACGTAGATACGATTATCGTTCCTTTTCTACTAGTAACCTTAGGTAGTAACCCATGCATGTATCTTTTTATTTTGCTCTATATGTACGTATTTTACCAAAATTTATTTGCATGGTTAAACGGTTAATTAACCAACAAAATATTTTACATCCATTTAAAAAAAGAAAAAAGAAAGAAGGAACCTCGTCAATAATAGTAGCATCAGTTATATCATTTACTCATTAGCAAGTACTCTCGTAATTAGTGCCGTACATTTGTTTGATTAGAGCGCAAAAAAGAAAAGAAAAGAAGATAGTTATGTTGAGTACAAATAAATACATTTTTTAGGTGATGAGAGTAACTCAAAGTCATCACAAACCATTATGTTATATTCTGGACCTCATATATACATAACAAAATAATTATATGATACTTATTTGAACGATGATAAATGCACAAAATACGTTTGATAACCATATTTTACAGGTTCTTAATTTGATCAATTTTGATAACTTACCTTCACAATAAAGCAAAAGTCCTGTTACATAACCGTGCTGTTTCAGTTGAATATATATTTTATACAGTGAAACACTAAGTTTGAGAGAAGTATTAAAATATGCTTGTTTTCGAAAATAAGTCTCCGTTTTATATATTTGTAATTTGTACATCTCCTTTCGTTTTCTTTATAATTGATATATCTCTGCTTTTGTTTTTTTTTGGTGATTATAGTTTTCTGTTTCTATAACTGCAACTTTCTCTTAATTCTGTACCCTATATAAGTATATTACATTAATGTATCTTCTTTTTTCAGTAGTAAGAAACTTTATTGTTTAGCCTCTTGCTGTCGTGAGGACAACGTCACAGTGACATCGCATTGGTCCAAAGGAATAATAGCATAACGAACATACACGTAACTCGTAATGACATAGGTTTCGCTTTACATATTAATGTTCGTGTGTGTAGGGATGCTAAACATTATATAATTCAAAAATTTTATACATTTTGCCAAAAAGAGGGAAATAGTAAATATTTTTGAGAACAAAAATGATATAAAGAATTAGAAGTAATTATATGAATCTGATTAATGGGCCTTCAGAAGTGGGGAAGAGACTGGAGTGTGGGTTGGCGAAAGTAATCATTTCGTTTTTTATATATTTTTAATTTTACTTTGCTCTGTATATTCTTTTTGTGTGTGTGTGTTCGTAATGTATTTTAAAATGTACATTATTTGTTTTCACATCCATCGCCTTTCTTCCTCTCGCTTTAACCCTACAATAATTACATTTTTCAGTGATCTCTTCTGCACAGTTGGTAGTTTTCATTGCAACTTGCAAGCATTATTTATAACTGGGACCGTAACTACGACTCGTCTTCTAGTCCGGTCCGATCCCATAGATTTGAGTAACCGGCAAAATCGCATTGTCGTAATTGGGAACAAGAAACACGATTAATCTCTAACGACAGTAGTATAAACTATCGACCACTACCAGTACTGAAGGGTATTGATATGGGTCGCACTTTTAGCTCATTCGAAATAGCTAAAGTTGACTTTCAGGTTAGGCGCAACAAATGAAACCCAACAAAAAAGGCAACAATAGAATATTTATCGTACAGCTTACAAAACATGTATCTATATATATGTTCAAACCATTTTATATAAATTAAGGAACAGCTAAGGAAAAGGAAATAACATTTTTTTAAATAGGAAGTTGTTTTTTTTTTTATGAAAGAAATATAAAAGCAAGCGGGGCATGAAGAGAAATGATGACACCATGCGGGGACTCTCTGCATCTGTTAAGAGTTATAATTTGACAACATTATATACTGTGATCCGACCATCCAAAGCTGTCTTGTAATGTCCTTCCTCTGTCACTTTATGCGACCCATCTTAATGCCTTCCTTATTTTTATCTACTCATATATATCTCTTTGCATAATGTTCTTTTGTCTCATATCTATACATCTCTCATTCATCAATGTCCAATAATACCTGGTTAATTGCAGAATCTACAAATTTGTAGATTGTTATTTTTATTTTTATATGTAGTACTAGTTGCTAATTTTATCTGCATCATGTCTTTTGAGTTTACAGATCGAATCTTGTCACGTTGGTATATATAATCATAATATAAATATACATGCAATGCAATGCCAAATTCTTGCAATTCAGTTGTGACTGGAATATGAAACATGATGACACATATATCCTATTACTGTATGTTGTGCTAGTATCGTTACTATGTAGGTTAAACATGCATAATAATGTATTAGAACTTGTGTAAACTTTGAAAAAAGACGCTTAATGTTTTGTATTTAAAGTGAACAATTTCAACAATTGACGTGACATCTGATATACATGGCAAAATGGTGATATAACTAATGATCAAACTTAAATATTTGGGGGCACTAATCAAGCAAGTAACTTCAAATTCAAACATTAGGTAATAGGTATCATCAACTGAATCTACACTTGAGGGTAAAAAAAAGAAAGAAAGAAAGAGATAAAAGAACCTCAGCGACAAATGTCAAAAACATGAGAAAAAGAAGATCATCAACACACTAATTAATCCACAATCAAGTGAAATCTGAAAACCCTAACATGGAGGGGTCATCAAATGATTGGACATAACTGCTCCAATCAAAAACTTAATTCTGAGTTTTATTCATTTTGGCATAAAATCAGTTTGGTGATATGCAACATGGTCCCATCTTAGTTTGACATAATTTAGTTTGCAAAAAATTATTATTATTATTTTTTCTTTTTTAAAAAGACCTTACCATAAAAGTCATTCGTTATTATTACTTATGTTTGCCATTACAAGTTATATCCATTTCGTTATTTTTCAACGAACAAGTTACGTTACCCTTGTATGTATGTACAATGTTCGTCTTCGTTCTTTAACATACACAACTCGACGACAAGAAAAAAGAAAGAAAATACAATACATGACTCAAGGTCCAAGGAAGGTACAGGCTCGGGCAATTCATGGCCCAATGAAAATTGTACAAATAATATTGGCCCATTTAAGAGCTACTTTGCTAATAAACAAAGCCCAATCAGTTTGGTCTTTATTAGCCCTGGGCGTTCGGATTTTCGGATCGGATCGGATCGGATTATTCGGAGTTCGGATTTTTCGGATTGGGATATATAGAATCCGATTTGAATCCGACTGGTTTTCGGATCGGATCGGTTCGGATTTTTTCGGATTCGGATCGGTTTTCAAATTTTATCACGAATCCGAGTTTAAACCGAATCCTATTTCGGATCGGTTTCGGATTCGGATTCTATACTATAAATCCGAAACTTATACTCTAAATCCGAACAATCCGACGTAAAAAAGAGGTTTGAGTGTTGAAGGACAAAAACATAGAGATTATATGTATACTATGTGATGTATTAGACCATGTGTATTCGGGTTAGCAGATAACCGATCGGATTTCGGTTCGGATCGGTTTAAATCCGAAATCCGAATCATGTTCAACATAAAATCCGATCGGTTTTTACATAGTAACCGAAACCGATCCAAATCGGATTTTTCGGATCAGTTCGGATCGGTTTTGTCGGATCCGGATTATATGCCCAGAGCTAGTAATTAATTTCTTAATAAAAGATAATAAAATAAAATAAAATAAAATAAAATTCCACGTAAGCACGGAAACAGACGACTGACACGGTGGTCCGTGCAGGCGTGAACCGAATCCTGTCGACGGAGGAAACCACCAACGATTTCTCCATCTCACGTCGTCTAATGTTTCATCATCATCATCATCTTTCCTACGACTTCTTTTTTCTTTTTATTTTCCCAATTGAAGTGGCGATGCCTTGCGATAGCTCTGCTCCACCTCGCCGCTGATCTCGACCACTTGATTCGAGTCTCTCTTGCTCTTGATCTCTCTCAAGGTATTGTATGTTTTATTGGATCCAATTTTGGGCTAGGGTTTTAAGGTTCTAGCTCAAATTTGGAGTTTCTAGAGTCGGAATCGCCGTTGCTCGCTGTTTCATCACCCCTTTTGCACGTTGCTGTGTTCGTTGATGCTTTGATTGGTGTTGAGTTGTGATATAACTTCGTTTTTAAAAAAAAAAATATAAAAATGTCGTGCTTGCTTCTGTGTAGTGTGAAACAAAGAGGATGGAAAGGTTGTTGAATGAAGGCCCAACGCTGCTGCAGTTGCATAAGTGGGAACCTTCTCAATTGCAACTCAAGCTATCAGAATTTCGAGAGGCTTTTATTTCTCCGTCGAGGCAGTTGTTAGTACTACACTCGTACCACTCCGAAGCTTTACTGCTTCCTCTCGTTGCTGGTAATAACTTTTTTTCCTTGTAACACAGTATGCATCTGCGTTTCAATTTTACTTGCGTTGTTCAGTTAATCTTCCTTTCTTTCTCACTGCTATCAGGGAGTTCTATTGGCAGTGAGGTTTCGGTAAGCTGTCATACTGAAGAGTCGTATAGTCCTACATGCTCTGTTGGGCCAGATCCAGAGAACATTGCATCTCCTTCTGGATCAGGAGTTGGTTCTGGTGAGCCAGGTTTTGTAGATAATTGCAGTTCCAGTGGCAATAGTTTTCCTTTTATCTCTGATGTAAAGTCTGTTGCTTGGGGTAGCTGTGGGGATACTTACAATCGGCACAAAGATCCTTTGTTTAGAGAATTGTTGTTCGTATCTGGAAATCATGGTGTTACGGTTCATGCTTTTTGCTGTATAAAAGATTTAAGTGACAGAGTCGAAGGCAAACCAAATGGTGAGCTGATGCATGGGAAATGGGTTGAATGGGGACCTTCTAGTCAAAATCAGAAATCAGAACACAAACGAGGCTCTTCTTTTGATGGCTCCAAGCAGTGGATGCAATCTTTGTTAATTGATTTGGAAACTACTGAAATTGATGGTATAACACAGTATAGGTTCCCTGAGAAGTTATCTTTTCCCGGTTCTGCGGAGGTTGTTTCATTCAGCATATTAAAGGGTGATTTACCTTTCTCGAACCTTCTTTTTCAAGACAAGCCAATACTTCAGAAGGATACTATGCGGGAGGAAGATGATAGCTTTCTCGTAGCTCCAGATCCGACTGCTATAGATGAAATATCTCGAGCTGATATGTCGATGAACAATGCTAGTATAAACAGTTTGTACAGGTGCACCAAAGTTTTCTCCAGCGATTCCCATTCGCTAATTGGATTTGTTATGGATTTATCAGACTGTGCATCTACCCTTTCAAGCAATGAAAACGATAGAAGTAAGGAGAAGCGTGTTGTCTTTGTTGCCGAGCTGTTTAGCTGGGGGTTAGAATGGGTTTCTCTTGTGAAATTTTGGGAATCAAGTATTGGACCTACAAATATGTGGGCAGATTTCTGTTTTTCTGATAAATTTGTTATCTGCCTCAGTGTTACTGGTTTGATCTTGTTATATGATGTGAAATCTGGGGATTGTATTTCTCATCAGGATATTTTACAGACATGCGGTCGTGGATTGCATTGTTTATCAGATATGCAAGAAGCAACTGTAGAGGCTGATCAGCAAAGTGAATTTCATAGTCGTACTCCACCCATGCCCAAGTCTCACATTGTTGGTTCCTCAGACAGAAGAAAGTTTAGAAAGCTTTTGGTATCCTCTCATACACCACTCATAGCCGCAGTTGAGGAAAATGGTTTGGTATATGTTTTATCTATGGATGATTTTGTTTCCAAGGAACACCACATGTCCGTTGAACCTAGTACTTATTTACGTCATTTTGGGCTTGGAAGTCTGGTTGGTTGGAAAATCGGTGGCATGGACGTTGGCCAGCAAAAAGTGCGCCACCCTTATCCTTCTGGCTCTCGAGTTGAAGATGCTTTTTCCAGGTGTGATCCTAGCTTTTCTGCTTTGGACATCTTGATGTCTGAACCATGTTTGGAAAGACAACATAACAATTTTGATCAAAGAGCTGGTTACTCTGGTTCATGGTTGAGTGGTTTTTCTGCTCAGCCTAAAAAAAATGTGCTGAGACTAGAAAATTTCCAAAGAGACTCACATGTCACACGGAATATGTTTGTATCTGCTGAAAAATTAGGATTGGATGATAACATATGTTTTTCTCCATTGGGATTCACTCATTTTTCTAGAAAGCAAACAAAAGGGGAAGATCAAAGCTGCAAGATTTTTCATTATAAGTTGCAGACGCATATGACTGCGAGAGATGATAGTTATTTGAATTATGTTGGCAACAAGATTTCTATTCAAGGTGCGGAAGAGAATCTCATTGACGAATCAGTTGGTTGTTCTTTCCAAGGATTTCTCTATTTGGTGACTTGTAGTGGTCTTTCAGTTTTTCTCCCGTCCCTCTCAATAACCTCGAATTACCCAACTGTTGAGGCCATTAAATATCTGCAGCCACTTCAGACCAGTATCATGGCATACCAGAGAAGGGACGATTTGAGAATAGGGGAATCACGTTTTCCTTGGCAAGTTGAGGTCATAGATAGAGTTATCTTGTTTGAAGGCCCTGAAGCTGCAGATCATCTATGCTCAGAAAATGGTAAGAACTTTTACGCAAGTTGGTAAATAACCTTGTTGCATCCTTTAAGCTTTTCATTTTAATTTTTATTGACCTTTCATATTGTCCAGTTTGTTTATAGATTGATATCTATATCTTAACCACCATGGCTTGTCATGCTGACAGAGTTAAGTACAATTAGGTGATTACTAGTTCACCTAAACGATGTCATGTGGGTTAGTTTGATATCAGTGGAAGCTAGCATACAAGAACTTAACTGTAACTGAATGCATGGCAAGTATTAATTATATGATAAAATCATGTCCACGCTTTCAATTAAGTTTCAGAGGTCGCCAGCTGTTTATGAGCATGAGAAAATGCTTGCAGTAGCTCAGTGAATTTGTTCTCTCCCGTTTCTTCACATTTACGTTATGATTTCTGTTATTACCCTTACTGTAATAACAGAACCCCACATATCGAGTCTTGATGATGATTTATAGATTTTCTGACTCTTAAGTTTTGTTCAATAAGCTTATTGTGTGTTAAATGAATCACTGGTGGCATAGGTTGGGACCTAAAAATTGTTCGTTTGCGTCGGCTGCAAATGGCGTTGGACTACTTAAAATATGATGACATCAACGAGTAAGTTGCTAGTAATTTTCTTGTACCATGAATTATGCATAGTTGTATCGGTTTGGTTGACAACTTCGGTTATTATTCTCTTATGGTCTATTGAAGGATGTAGCTACTTTAGTCTAGAAAGATTGCTTGTTAAAAGTTCGTGTAACTGTGTGTGTATCAGTGTATGATAGCTCTTTCGTTCCGAATTTTTCCCTACTGTTTTTCTACTAAAAATAAGGTTTCTAATCTATGTTTTTTCTTCTCGTTGTTGTTAGTTAGTTGAGTAACTTTAATGCTGTATTCCTGAATCATTTGCTGCATTTTTATCGTAGTACCGAAACTTAGTCTAGACTTTAAAGATTGATGGACATCTTCCAGTGCGTACACATCCTCATCTCATGTAGAAATATGATAGTTTTTCAGCAACATTTTGACATTGATTTTACTCTGATCTCTTGTCTCGATATGTTTTATGCAATCGATGCAATTTCTCTCGTATCATGAATTGATTTTAATTAACCTCTGCTGTATGAGAAGGTCTTTGAAGATGCTTGGTAATGTGACGCTGGCAGAAGAAGGCATGCTAAGGGTGCTCTTTTCTGCGGTGTATCTTTTGTCGCGCAAGAATATAAACGATTATGAGATTTCTGCTGTATCTAGGTGAGCTTCTTGATCTACTGAGCAGATGAGTGTTGACTGGTATAAAGATTTCTGCTTTCAGGTTTAAACTTTAGCGTACAAAATATCAAAAGCAGTGTTTTTCCTACCTGCTTACCCCTAACCCTAACCCCAACCCCAAACCATAACCCAAACCCCTAAACCCTAAACAAGTGGTATACGGATTTCTATTTTTCAGGTCTAAACTTTAAGGATGACAGTAAATAAAAAGTATCGCTCTCCCTGCTTGGTACTCATTAGCATTGTTTATTATTTTTATTACCCTAAACCCTAACCTAACCCTAAACCCTAAACTAAACCCTAACCCTTGAACCGTAAACATAAACCCTAAACCCATACCCTAAACTGCTAACCCTAACCCTTAACTACAAACCCTAAACCCTAAAATCAAAAGCAGTGTTCTCCCTGCTTGGTAGATGTCCTTACTCATAGAAACCCTAAATGATGCTTATACTTGCTATGCGTTGCACTTAGAATTGAAGGCATGTTCAGATTTATGCAAAAGTCAAATCAGGCTCCACTTCAGGATTAAGTGTATTGATGATTGACATGTGGTTGTTCTTAGAAACCAGTTTTAGCAACGTCATTATCTTGTAAGATTTAGTTATGCCACGTTCTCTATTGACTGGGGGCTGCTTTCACACTGGCATATTCATCCTTATTGCTACATGTGTAGGCTCCTTGCATTGGCTACAGGGTTTGCGACTGAAATGATTCGCATATATGGTTTACTTGAATATCAGAAAGATGGATACTTGGTCAACAGAAGTCCTAGGACACAAAGACTTTCATGTCCACCAATTTCACTGCATGTCAACGTTATGGAGAATTCAAGGAGATTGGCAGAGATGGGTTATCTTTTGGAGATCACCCGGAACTTTCAATCCCGTATTACCAGAAAATTTAAGCTAGGAAAGGTAGTATATGATATTCATAGTTTAATACCGTGTTAAATTTTATTATTACATTTGTGTGTGTGAGAAAGTCACTGAACTTGGTAAACCCAAATTCGTTGCAGGATGATTCTCAGCTTGAAAGTGTCCCAGATGCATCATCTGAGGAGGCAAGACAAATTGACACATATTTATTCGAGACCAATGAGGAGCTTGCTTTGACCCCTATGGGTATTATGACAGCCAAATCTGGTCAATTCATTGACGAAACAAGTTATGCATCTGGCCTTGTACTCCAAGGGTTTGCAGAGAAGAAAGTTCTTCCGCTGGAAAATCCCAAGGAGATGATGGCTCGGTGGAAGGCTAATAATTTGGATTTGAAAACCGTGGTAAAGGATGCCTTGCTCTCTGGTCGACTCCCTTTAGCTGTTCTTCAATTGCATCTTCAACATTCTAAAGACGTGGTTGAAAATGGAGAGCATTATGATACATTTACTGAAATTCGTGATATCGGAAGAGCTATTGCTTATGACCTATTTTTGAAGGTAAGCCTGAACATACTTGCTTAGACAGAGTGGTGTACATGTTAGATGTCTAGCGTTTGACTTTCTTGATGTGTAGGGTGAATCTGGGGTCGCCATTGCAACTCTGCAAAGGCTTGGGGAGGACGTAGAAGCGTCTCTCAATCAGTTGGTATTTGGCACAGTGAGGAGATCTCTTCGATATCAAATTGCTGAAGAAATGAGGAAACATGGTTTCTTAAGACCATATGAAGACAACGTACTGGAGAGGATATCACTTATCGAGGTATAACATTTCCTATCACTTGTTAGAAAAGTATCTTGGTTTTGGATGACTCTAACTTCATTTTAACTTCTTCGTTGCTTGAACCTGTGACAAAAAAAGAGGCTTTATCCTAGCAGCCACTTTTGGGAAACATATCTTGCTCGTCGAAAGAAACTCCTGACAGCTGAAGTACCGTTTGACTGCTGTCAAATGAGCTTGCACCTTGGGGGGTCATCTTTGTTCCAGCATCTTGAGATTGAGTGTGGGGAGGTTGATGGTGTTGTTCTAGGTTCTTGGACAAAAATCAATGAGAGTACATCTGAGCATGTGCTTGATGAAACCGATGTGATTGCTGGTTACTGGGCTGCAGCAGCAGTGTGGTCAAATGCTTGGGATCAGAGAACATTTGATCATGTAAGAAGTTGGATTAGTCATTCTTTCTTGTTACCTTTTAGATGTCTGAATATTTATCCACTTGCACCATTCCAGAATATTATTGGTACCTCCAGGTCCCAGGGGAAGTTCAAATAGATTCCCACCTACTCCGCATGTTTAGCTTGGATTTTGGATCAGTTGTATTATTCATTGATCTGCATAGCTTAACTGTGTTTATAGTCTTACACAAGTTCTTCTCAGGATTTTATTAGCTCTTTCCTTGTTTTATATTACGAGGCAAATACAGTCAAGAGGCAATCTGTGCTTGCTTTTCTAATAGCTAGAATCTTTTCCTCTTGACAAAAAATGTGCACAAAATTGTAGATTTGAATAATGATAGCTCTCTTAACTAGATCTTATTTAGTGACACTCTTTTAGTTTGGGTTGCATTTCATATCTTTTTACTTGAATTAGTAAATTGTGGGCATTAGATGGTTGCTACTGCAATCTATTATTACTACATAAACCCTTGAGAACTGGAAGTTGACATTAGCTTTCAGTTGTGGGAGTAACAGTGATATATTTGAATGTTTTTTGTTTTTTTTTTTTTTGTTTTTTTGTTTTTTTTTGTATTTCTCCATGAATTTGCTCAGGCAAAGGTTCTTGTTGTTCGTTTTAAGGAATTTCTGCAGTTTTTGGTTTTAGTAATGTTTCTTTTTGAATTTTTGTGCAGATAGTCTTGGATCAGCCTTTAGTCATGGGTGTTCATGTTCCATGGGATTCCCAGCTAGAGTACTATATGTGTCACAATGACTGGGATGAAGTCCTTAAGCTGTTGGATCTCATTCCTGAGGATTTATTATATGATGGAAGTTTACAAATTGCTTTGGATTGTCCGAAGCAGTCTCCTGGCGTAAATTATTCAATTTCTTCCCGTAGCGAGTATATATGTTCCATCGAAGAAGTTGATGCTGTACTTATGGATGTTCCTTATATCAAGATATTTAGGTTGCCTGCTGATATCCGGTGCTCCTTGTGGCTAACAACACTCATGGAACAGGAACTTGCAAAAAAGTTTATATTTTTGAAAGAATATTGGGACAACGCTCTAGATGTAGTCTACCTCCTGGCTCGGGCAGGTTTCATCCTTGGTAATAGCGAAGACTCATTTAAGGAGGAATCTTGTAAACCATCCCTAGATCTTTGTTTGTCCATAAAGAATGGAGGAGAAAATGTTGATACCCTGAATGCTGTTCACAAGCTATTCATGCATTATTGCACACAATATAATCTACCAAACCTTCTGGATCTGTACCTTGATCATCACGAATTGGTCCTAGATAATGATTCACTCAGTTCATTGCAGGAAGCTGTTGTAAGTGCTTTCCACGTCCATAAAATATTTATGTTACTATGTCTGTTCTTTCTACCCCTTTTGGTTAGTGTTTTGAAAACTCAATTTGTGAGAATGCCAAGAATCTGTCCAATGTATTCAGGGTGATTCTCATTGGGCAAAATGGTTGCTGCTCTCTAGGATCAAGGGCCGCGAGTATGATGCTTCATTTTCAAATGCACGTGCAATTATGTCACGTAGTGGGACACCAAACAGTGAATCCAGTGTTCCGGACATTGATGAAATTGTTTGTACTGTTGATGACATTGCCGAAGGGGCAGGAGAAATGGCAGCTTTAGCAACTATGATGTGTGCTCCGGTGCCAATTCAAAATTCCTTGAGTACTGGCAGTGTGAACAGGCACAGTAACACTTCTGCGCAGTGCACATTGGAGAATTTGAGATCATTTCTTCAGAGATTCCCTACCTTATGGAGTAAGCTTGTTAGTGCTTGTCTTGGAGAAGATATATCTGGGAACCTTTTTCGGACCAAGACTAAGAATGGTAAAGCCCACCACACTTTTTATTTTATTCTATGTATATTGAGGACTTACTCTCTCTGAATGTACGATTTATCAGTCTTGTCAGAGTATCTAAATTGGCGTGACGGTGTATTCTTCTCAACTGCACGTGATACCTCACTCCTGCAGATGTTGCCTTGTTGGTTTCCTAAGGCGGTTCGTAGATTAGTTCAGCTTTATATCCAGGTATCCATTTCTGATTTGTATACTTTATGTGCTTTTCTGAGTTGTACAACACAATTTCGACTTTCTGGAATTGAGGGATCTAGTTGAACTCAATAATTACACTGTAACGGCAATATAATCAGCTTAAGAATTTCTATGAAATTGTGTGATAACTGTGAAGAAGCACACATAGACAAACCATTAGGGGGAAGTGATCACTAAGATTTAGGGAGGAAGGAAAACACATCAAATTAGTTTGTACCAACCTTTACCATATTACAGAAGAAATTTGAGGCAATACACCAAAAGTGTAGAATGGAACTGTAACTCCGGTCTGCTTAATTAGTAGTATTTTTTTTGGCGTGCTGGCTTCTGTCTCGTCAATACAATCTATAGGTATTTTTCCTCCTGCAATTAGTTGCAGATTTTCCAAGGATGCATAGCTTGCTTGCTTGTTCGTGGTTCTTTTCAACTTGGAGACCTTATATCGAGCCTCTGATATGGCATCCTTGCGTTGGTTCACTATAGTAGAAAAATGGCTTGTAATAAACTTACATTTGTACTTTTATCACTGTATGAAACTTATCCGCCCTAGGGAACTCGCGAGCACATATATATGTTGCCTAAATGACTACTGATATAGTTTACACACCTGCTCGTTATCAGTATTTGAAATTTATCTGCTCAATGGAAATCTTTTGCTTAAAAAGTGTTTGCCCGTCGCTTATAGCAGAAAGTATTCTTCGTAGGGACCTCTTGGATGGCTGTCTTTCTCAGGATATCCTACAGGGGAATATCTACTGAATAGAGGTGTTGAGTTCTTTATAAATGTCGACGATCCGACTGAGATAAGTGCCATATCTTGGGAAGCCATCATCCAGAAGCATATCGAAGAGGAGCTTCATCACTCAAAAACTGAGGTGGCACTTTCATTTTATCGTAGTCCTGTTTCTCTAACCTGTTGACGATCTAACTGATTCAGTTGTTTAATAATGTCCTATTGATAACTGTCATGTCAATATCTCTTTTTACAGAATTATCTTTATGAAAGGTTGTCATCCCATGTTCATGCAACATATCAATTATTCGCTGACAAATAGAGTTTATATTTTCATTACCTATGCTTATTTTGAACCGAAATTAGGGAACCGAGCTTGGACTTGAGCACTTCCTGCATCGTGGACGACCACTCGCAGCTTTTAATGCTTTCCTGGAACAAAGAGTTGAAAAGCTAAAATTGGGAGATCAGTCTGGCACTTCGTTACATGGACAAAGAAATATGCAGTCAGATGTTCCTATGCTACTTGCACCTCTGACTCAAAGTGATGAGTCACTTCTTTCATCTGTATGTGCTGGTCACCTTACAGTTTCTAACTTAAGTTTATTGAATTGCTGTCTATTATGTCATGGCTGTTTTTTTCCTCTTCAGGTCATACCACTTGCTATTACACACTTTGAGGATTCTGTGTTGGTGGCTTCGTGTACCTTCCTTCTTGAGCTTTGTGGTTTATCTGCAAGCATGCTTCGTATAGACGTGGCATCCTTGAGAAGGATATCATCCTTTTATAAGCCTAATGATAATGTGGATATGGCGCAACAAAAATCTCTTGAGGGCTCTATGTTTCATGCAGTATCTAGTGAAGGTGATCTAATGGGGTCACTAGCTAGGGCTCTTGCTAACGAATATGCTTATCCTGATATCTCAAGTGTCTCGAAGCAAAAACATTATCCAAACAGTATTTCTGGCACGCAACCGGGTCTTCCACTAATGCTTGTTCTTCATCATCTGGAACAAGCTAGTCTTCCAGAGGTTGGAGCAGATAGAAAAACAAGTGGTTACTGGCTGTTAACAGGTGATGGTGATGGGTCTGAACTGCGGTCTCAACAGACACTTGCTAGCTTGCATTGGAGTTTAGTTACCCTATTTTGTCAGATGCATAAGATTCCTCTGAGCACCAAATATCTTGCCATGCTAGCAAGGGACAATGATTGGGTATGCTTCATGATAATTCTTCTTACTATTTTGTTTCTTAGCCTTGAGCTTTTATTTGATCTGATTTATGTAAATATCAGATTGGATTTTTATCTGAAGCACAGCTAGGAGGATACCCATTTGATACGGTGCTCAATGTGGTATGTCTCTCACTCTTTCACTGGTTTAAGAAATCACAGTCAGTAATTTTTTGTACTATGTTACAAGCTTTATATTTACGATTTATGACATATTTTCATCTGTCAGGCATCGAAGGAGTTTGGTGACCAACGCTTAAAAGCTCACATACTGACTGTTTTGAGATATTCCAACTCAAAAAAGAAAGCTACCATATCGTACTCAGATGACACAACCAGAGGTTTTACATGTTCCTCCTCCGAGGATGGAGCTTATGTCTCTGCTGAACTCTTTCGAGTTTTGGCGTACTCTGAGAAGCTAAAGAATCCTGGGGGATACCTTTTATCGAAAGCCAAGGAGTTATCGTGGTCTATATTGGCTCTCATAGCATCATGCTTTCCGGATGTTGCTCCGTTATCATGCCTAACAATTTGGTTGGAAATTACCGCAGCCAGGTGTGACAATATTTAATAACAGAATTCCAATTAGGTCGGGTGTATCAGAATTCATCTTCTGTTGTTCGTTCTCATCTATTTTATGCCACAGTAGTCATTTACTATCCTCTATAACATTGAGCGTTTCAGTTTTCTTATATGTTTTCTGGAATATAAAGATGCATACTTTTTGTCTTACCTCTAACAGAGATCATTCTTTTCAGGGAAACATCGTCTATAAAGGTGAACGATATAACAACTAGAATAGCAGAAAATATAGCAGCAGCCATTGTATCTACAAATTCCTTGCCAACGGATGCTAGAGGTGTCCAGTTTCATTACAATAGGAGGAACCCCAAACGGAGACGACTTGCTGCTCATACCTCTGTGGATTTATTGACTTCAGCTAATAGTTTAAACACCTCTGCTGGTATACCATTTTGTTCTCATAGAACAGATGCTGCAGAAGATGCAAAAGCTGAAGATCACAGTGTTACTGATGATTCGTCTGATGAGCATGCGTCTCTATCAAAAATGGTCGCTGTGCTTTGTGAACAACGCTTGTTTCTTCCTCTGCTAAAAGCTTTTGAATTGTTCCTCCCCTCCTGCTCTCTACTGCCATTTGTCCGTGCTCTTCAGGTTTGTCTTACATTTTAGCCCACTATTTACCCTCTCTGTTTTTATTGGGCCCTGGTTATTTGCTTACAAGAAATTTTTTACACGATATAGATGCATGGGTATGATGCTGTTTTTCTTCTTTTCTACAGGCATTTTGTCAAATGCGCCTGTCTGAAGCTTCTGCACATCTGGGTTCTTTTTGGGCTAGAGTTAAAGAGGAATCAATGCATTTTCAGTCAAATACATCTAAAGATGTCAGTTTTGGGGCATCTTGGATCAGCAGAACAGCTGTAAGAGCTGCTGATGCTGTTTTGTCAACTTGTCCATCTCCATATGAGAAAAGATGCTTACTGCAACTTCTTGCTGCAACTGATTTTGGTGATGGGGGAACTGCGGCGACATATTATCGGCGTCTTTATTGGAAAGTTAACTTGGCTGAGCCATCACTCCGGGAGAATGATCTTGACATAGGAAATGAGGTTCTTACTAATGGTTCTCTTCTGACAGCCTTAGAAAAGAACAGGCAGTGGGAGCAAGCACGAAACTGGGCTAAGCAACTTGAAACCATTGGTACGAATTGGACATCCTCTGTTCATCATGTTACTGAAACACAGGTAACAAAACTTCTTGGCATTTGTCTTATGCTTGAACTGCCAGAAAATCCCTGGTCATTTGGATACTGAAGGCCTAGCAACTTATAAGAAATCATGTTCTGAGACTATTATTGACCAGTTTAGCTATTACTGGCTGATTTTCCGCAATTTTTTTGTTTGTCTCTTGCTGCTTCTCTTGCACTGCATGGTGGTTACTCTATATCCTATGCGAGTTGCTTTTGTAGAGGTTTTCTAACTTATGGATGAATCACAATTGCATTTAGTGTAGGAAATATGTGAACTTTTTATTTGATATAACTTTGAAAGAGATGTGATGTTGAAGGAACTGGGCATTTTCCCTTGCAAGGCTCAGTTTTACATTCATATAAACTTTCTTTATTGAGCAGAAATGTTACTTGATTCGCGCCCTATTGTATATATGTTTTCTTTGTATTTGATATTTAGCTGCTTTGTGTGTGATGTACGCCACTGGTTCTAATTATCTTTAAGGATTCCCTGAATGTCCAATCTTAATAGAAATTCGTATCTGCTTTACATATAGGCAGAATCCATGGTTGCAGAATGGAAAGAATTCCTTTGGGATGTTCCAGAAGAGAGAATCGCATTGTGGGGTCACTGCCAAACTCTATTCATGAGATACTCTTTCCCTGCTTTACAGGTCACTTTTCTGTTTGCCTCACTTATAACCAGTTAATGTAGAAGCCTGATACTGATACAAGTGAATCTGTTGCTTATTCTTTTGCAGGCAGGTTTATTTTTCCTTAGGCATGCAGAAGCGGTGGAGAAAGATCTTCCTGCAAGAGAGATCTATGAGCTGTTACTGCTATCCCTTCAGTGGTTGAGTGGGCTAACAACTCTGTCACACCCGTAAGTGATATTGCACTACAACATGTTATCAGTTTTACAAGTTTTATGACTTTGAATTTACCTCTACCAGGGTTTATCCTTTGAATCTTCTGCGAGAAATTGAGACTAGGGTGTGGCTCCTGGCTGTAGAAGCAGAATCACATGTGAAAAATGTGGGAGCATTTAGTCCCAGTATTATCGGAAAAGATATGCTGAATGGAAAAAGTTCAAATCTTATAGACCGAACAGCAAGTATCATAACAAAAATGGACAGCCATATTTCTTCAGCAACGAAAAATAAAATTGGAGAAAAACATGACCCTAGGTCCCCTGGCCAAGGACATCAAAGGAACCAAGACACAAACACTTTAATATTTGGTGCGAACACAAAGCCCAAGAGGAGAGCAAAAGGAAATGTCCCACAAATAAGACATTTTGTGGATTCTTCAGATAGGAATAGTGAATTTGATGATTCCTTATCTCTTCTAAACATCAAAAGCGAGTTTCAGCTTCAAGAGGAAAGCACGGGATTGGAAATATCCTTATCAAAGTGGGAAGAAAGTATAGAACCTGCGGAGTTGGAAAGAGCTGTTCTGTCTTTACTGGAGTTCGGACAAGTAACAGCTGCTAAGCAGCTCCAACTTAAGCTTGCTCCAGGGACTTTACCTTCTGAGATAATTATTCTGGATGCTGCTATGAAGCTAGCAATGCTTTCTACACCTTGCAGTAAAGTACCATTGTCAATGTTGGATGGTGAAGTTCGTTCTGTTATTCAATCACACAGTCTAAATTTAGACCACCCTATGATTGAACCGCTGCAGGTTGTTTCTCTATATATTTCTCACCTGAATTTCAGTTGTTGCTGTGAAGACTATTACATTTTATATAAAAATACTACTTTGTTTAGTTTTCCCATTTTTTCCCTATCATTTTGTTGGATATAATACTGATTGGTATCTGATCATCTAGGTATTGGAGAAATTATCAAACATTTTAAATGAAGGCAGTGGACGTGGGATGGCAAGAAAAATCATAGCAGTTGTAAAAGCCGCTGACATACTGGGCCTTACTTTCACTGAGGCATATCAAAAGCAGCCAATTGAGTTGTTACGTTTACTTTCTCTTAAAGCACAAGATTCTTTTGAGGAAGCATGTCTCCTTGTCCAAACGCATTCCATGCCCGCGGCTAGTATCGCTCAGATACTTGCAGAATCCTTCTTAAAGGTAATGTAGCAAAACTATCTTTGTTAACTTGTATGTGTACAAGGACACACTTATAGATTTTTATTTTTGAACTTTGGATTCATCTTTTGACAAAGTTCTTTATCTTATGGCCCTTGTTTGATTAGTTACTTGGCAAAACCCTCCTATTCTGACTTTTTCTTTTTCCTCCTGCCTTTCTTTTTGTGGGTTATTTTGTGCTATGTCTTTAATCCGTCTTCCTTGTTCTAGGGTTTATTGGCAGCTCATCGTGGAGGATATATAGATTCTCAAAAGGAGGAAGGGCCTGCTCCACTTTTGTGGAGATTCTCAGACTTTCTGAAGTGGGCGGAGCTTTGTCCGTCTGAGCAAGAAATTGGTCATGCATTAATGCGTCTTGTGATTACCGGGCAGGAAATACCACACGCATGTGAGGTATGTGATTTTGAATCTTCTTAAAAATAGTTTTATTGCTGCATGAGTTTCTAGATAGATGAGAGGTAATATAACGGCCTGATGTATTACAGGTTGAGCTTCTTATTCTGTCTCATCACTTCTACAAGTCATCCACGTGCCTTGATGGAGTTGATGTTCTTGTGGCACTTGCGGCCACTAGGGTCGAAGCCTATGTTGCTGAGGGAGATTTCTCATGCCTAGGTCGCCTAATAACTGGAGTCGGAAACTTTCATGCTCTTAATTTCATTCTCAATATTCTAATCGAAAACGGGCAGCTTGATCTTTTACTACAAAAATTTTCTGCTGCTGCTGATGCAAACACTGGCACTGCCCAGGCTGTCAGAAGTTTTCGGATGGCTGTTCTGACCTCGTTGAATTTCTTTAACCCAAATGATCATGATGCGTTTGCAATGGTATGTCTTTAGTAGCTGGAATCAGCAAAGTAAAAGAGTTTATTTCATTATATTTTGCTGCTTACCATAGGTGACTAATTAATTCATTACCATACTAGATGATAGAGTGTATTTAGATTGACTTTAACCACATCTGTTACTTGTGCACGTGAAAGAACATTTTGGGATAGTTTAATAAAGTTACTCTTGTTCATGGCTTTTTTTCATGAAACATACATTGTCCGCAGGTATATAAACACTTTGACATGAAGCATGAAACGGCTGCGTTGCTAGAGGCACGTGCAGATCTGGCTGCACAGCAGTGGTTTTTACGGTACGACAAGGATCAAAATGAAGATCTCCTTGATTCAATGCGCTATTACATTGAAGCTGCTGAAGTTCACACTTCTATTGATGCTGGAAACAAAGCACGAAAGGCTTGTGGTCAGGCTTCCCTTGTCTCCCTTCAAATAAGGATGCCAGATTCCAAGTGGCTCTGTTTATCTGAAACAAACGCCAGAAGAGCACTTGTTGATCAATCCCGTTTCCAGGAGGCTCTGATTGTAGCAGAAGCTTATGGTCTTAACCAGCCAAGTGAATGGGCTCTTGTACTTTGGAACCTGATGCTCAAACCCGAACTAGCGGAAGATTTTGTGGCTGAATTTGTTGCGGTGCTTCCCCTACAGGCTTCAATGCTTCTGGAACTGGCTAGATTCTACAGAGCGGAAATGGCAGCTCGGGGAGACCAGTCTCAATTCTCAGTCTGGCTCACAGGAGGAGGCTTACCAGCTGAGTGGGCCAAATACATGTGGAGATCATTCAGGTGCTTGTTGAAAAGAACACGGGATTTGAGATTACGTCTACAGCTTGCTACAACAGCAACAGGCTTCTCTGACATGGTCGATGTGTGTATGAATGCGTTGGATAAGGTCCCAGAAAATGCTGGACCACTTGTACTAAAGAAAGGACATGGAGGAGGATACTTACCACTGATGTGAGTGAGTGAACTCAGAGATCATACCAAAGGATGCAATGCTAAGCATCTTCTGGGGTATTTGGAAAAACGGGTTTTTGACTGATTTCTTTTTGGTGTTCTGAAAAAGACATAAACTTGAAAGTCTGTTTTCTTCTTTTGTAGGGTTAGTATCTGTGTGTAGTTAGTATGTTCTGTTGATGGCCTTCACACAATTCTTCCATTTTTGTTCCCTTTTTTTTTTTTGTCCTCTCCTTATATTTTATTTTGCCCCGGCTATCAAATGGCCCTGTTGAGAGATACACAAGAGAGGACATAGAGATTGCACATTGCAGTGTACAGTGTAATACCTGTCTTTTGTATAAGTTATATTATAGAATTGCCCTGATGAATAATTTTGAATGAATTACAGTGTACAGTGTTATCATAACTTATAACATGTCTGATATTGTTTGCTGATTTGCTTCGAGTTCATGGTTTTTTGAAAAAGATGATTCAATGAAATTAGGACAAAATGAAGAAATCAAAGCTTTGACGACAGATTCGATCCTCAAGAGCTCTATACTCCATCGATTTTAATGCGGTGTAGCTTACGCGCTATTGGTGCGTGTGGGTATATAATCATGTCACGTAATTAAGAATAAAATCAAGGTAATATGCTATTTGCCTATTTCTAGTTAAAGAAGATTTCTCTAATCGGTATTTTGACTATTTTCTCATTAATTCGAAGGACTTGAGTATTATTTTTATTTTTCCAAATAAATTTTTAGAAAACTAATGTACTATCAACATTTTTTTTTTTTTTTTTTTTACTATCAACATTTAATAATGTAAAACGAAGGTCACCAAATTTTATTTTAGAAAAAAAACAAAAAAACAAAGAAGAAGCTAATTTTAAATATCAAATGACAAATACAATCAAGAAATTGTATATGGAATAAATCTGATTATTGGTACTTGACAAACTCTATCACACTGAACTCTCTCACAAAGGGGTTTGAATGTGAAAAACATTAACAGCTTGCTGCCACAAAACTATTCCTCCTTGGATTCTTTAACCGTATTGGGACGTCTCTGTGCAAGTGTTCTCTTAGTGCGCTCCAGGACACCAAAGAAGATTGAACCTCCAATACCTATCCACAACACTCTTGGCCCGATACCCTACATGTCAAATATCCTTGTAAGAATTCTCCTCTTATAGCTATTCAATTTACAATACACTTTCTACAGATTTCTACTTGAAAACTTTAAACTATTATCTGTGTTTGTGTGTGTCTCTGTACCTTTAAGAGTGCAGGAGCTCCTTCATCTCTTACAATTGTTTGAACACAGTCAACGATTCCTTGATATTGTTTGGATGACCCCTGAAAGAGTTGGCCAAGAAAGAACAATAAGCTGATTGGGTTTTGGAGTCGAAGAAGAGAGACTATTATTATTACCTGAACCATTAATCTTGTCTTAATAACATCAAGAGGAGTGGTGACTGCTCCTGTCAGAGCACCTGCATAAACCACAACAATATCCAAGCACCTCTAATTAAGTATAGCCATTTAAATTACTCGCACAATACCATTAAACTGGTTTTCGCTGTAATAACTTCATTGTACTTTGTAGTGTTAAGGTAAATGCAGACCAGAGTCATTTTTTCTTAAGTTCAGCGGACTATTTCTCAAAAAAGTTTGATTTTTTATGGATCCAAATAATTTCTATTAAATCATATAAGACACGTCACCAACCAGCAAATGCACCGATGAGAGCGTTCTCAGGATCACTAAGCTCTCTACGCGCCTGCCAAAGAGTTGACCAAAGTTAATCTCATGCACAATAGTAGTTCATCAGAAGTTACCATGCGTTTTATTTTCCGGTACCCTATCCAAGGATAGAACAAATAGGAGAAATGTCAATTTATTTTGCCAAGAAGCTTACTGCTTTTTTATATCCCAAGCAGAGCTGCTCATATATGCAGAACTGTATAGCATCAAAGGGCAAATCTCGCAAAAGGAAGGACCGATATCCCTGAAAGCGATTGAAACAAATTACCACATTAAAATTCAACAAAAACGTGCAGACTAAAAGCAAGATCTTAAAAAGATGTTACTAACTGCATATAGACCCTTAAATCCCTCTTTTGATGCGATAAGCCGAACAGCATTGGGGGCTGATGTAAACTGTCCGGTCTGCATTCTTTGCTTCACAACCTAATAAATACACAATATAAATGTGGACCGAGGGATTCAGTGTAGAACATGATCTGGATTCTGATATCCAAGAGGGAGTTTTTACCTCTGTAGGAACTCGAATAAGAGAGGCAGCAAGTCCACCGATGGCCCCTGCAGTCTGGAGTTTAAAATAAGGGAACAAATTATTCCTTTTCACTCTGATATACGAAGCGTATGTGAGAAACGGTTTAAATATCAAAAAATTTATTGATGCTTATTGTTACCATTCATTTATTGATATAATAATCTAGTGAAAACAGAGACTGATAAAATACTTTTTCAATAGCCAGACTAGAGATGAAGCAAATCTCTCACCAGGTGAGCAACTGCGCTTAAATGATCAGGAAAGGTCTTTAGCAGTTTCTGCTTTGTGGGTTCGTAAACTCCAACAAATAAAGCAGAAGCCCTACGAAGAAACATTGTTAAAATAATCAAGCGTCAAAACAAGTCGGAAAATAGGAGAAGTAGGAAAAGATAGGAAACAATTTTGTCTATTTGGGTTCTCGCCATTTAGGCTCTTTAAGAAGAAGCCAGACAATCATAATCTATGGTTGCTGCATCATGCATCACCAATGTCAAGTGGGCAGAGAGATAGTGAAATAACAAAAGTAAATAGGTCACTTACGGTAAGACACCAGCAATATTTCCAGCTAATCCTGAATAAAGACCCTTCAAAACAATTTTCCCACCTCCACGAGCTGCCTACATCATATGATCAAAACTCATTAGGAGCTTAAGTTCAATATTCTATTTCGCCGTTAAAAACCAAAGGACTACAGGGGCTAGTAGCATACATATAAAAGCAAGTCTAACAAAGAACTAAAATGAAAAAAAAAGTTTCTTAACCTGCCTGAAGTCTTGTCTTAATTGTATCAATTGGGTATAAAGCTGTTTCAACTACAACTCCAGCTGTACCTCCTGCTATAAATCCCTCTGCATCATCAAAACAACACATAAGAATAACAAGACTTAGACAGCTGAAGCTGCCGATCTCAGGAAACATGGTCTAATCATGAGGGCAGTATTTCAAACTCAGTGAGCATAAAAAGAATTTTTTTTTTTTTTTTTTTCAGATACAATGACGTATATGATACAGAAGATGAAATTCAGAAAATTGCGATTGCAAAAATGAAACCAAAAGAGTAAGTAGGGAAAGGCAAAATAGACACGAACCAAAGAGAGTGCGGAAGAAATCCAAAGGTTTGTCTTCTTGGGCATTAACAGATGCAAAGCCTTTGCTCGTTTTGAACTGTGGACTCTGCATTGTCCTCTTCGAAACATCTGCAACAATAAGTAAAACCAATACGCAAAGGAATTGAAAAAAGAAAGACTTGACAGTCAATAAATGAACACAGACAGTCAAAGCGGATTTTACCAAGAGAAGTCGTTGAAGAGCTCTTCACATCAACAGAGAGAGTAAGCGGAGCCATCGGAAACGCCTTTCACCTAATTTCACCAAACCAATTTCACTCATTCTCTTTCTTTGCAGCGAAACGCAAAACTAGTCAAGTAAGTGAAGCAGCAACAATATCCAATTATACATACAGAAAAAAGCGCATAAATGTAATGAGTGTGGCGTTAGAGATTACAGGAAGATACGAGAGAGGCACGAAGTGTAAGCAAGAAAGAGAGAGTTCACCAACACGATATTTTGCTCTCCTTCCCACAAAGGTTCTCAAAACGAAGAGATTAGACGAAGCTTTCTTCTCTCTTCTGTTTACATACAATTCTGTCTTTTAACCCTGAATGGGCCTAAAAGGACCCACTAGGCTATTATTAAGCCCGTCACTAATTTCTTAGTCGGTAAATTGCATAAAAAACGTGGTTATAGTTTAGATTATTTAAATCTGCATCAAAAAACAACAAAATTGGGAAAATAATAATTTAATTTTAGCATATACTTTTTGTAGTGATATACTTTTTTAAATGACACGTCATAAGGCGACGAAAAAAAAAAAAAAAAAATGACACGTCATAATAATTAAAAAACAGTACCAATTATTGAACTAACTTTATTTAAAAAAAAGCCATATATGTATATCCTGCTTTTTGAACAAAAAAAAAATGTACAGTAAAACCTCTATAAATTAATCATGTTGGGACCTTAGAATTTTATTAATTTATAGTGATATTAATTTATCTATAAATTAATATTTCTTATTTTATAGTGTAAATTAATAATTATTAATTTATAGTGGTATTTTCACTCTTAAAGTTCTTTAAAATTATGAATTGGGACAATTTTACAAAACAAGAATAGTTTTTAAGATTATATAAATTTTTATAGTTTCGAATTGAATTCTATATTTATAAGAAAATAAAAATGAATTCAAAATATTATAAATAAATTCCTATCTATAATACAAAGTACATACATAAATTCAAATTTATGTTTAATACCTCAATTGTTAACTTTTACCATCCTATAAAACAAACAAAAATGAATATGATGCATATTTATAAATAGAAAACATTAGAAAATTTTTGTTTATTTTATGATGTTATGGAATTTATTAGAAAATTATAGTTTAAAAATATAATATAATTTTTTTTATAGATATGAGGGATAGGAGAAATTCATTTTTAGAAAAAACTAAAAGCATATTTCAACATAACTACTTATATCACACATATATATATATATATAGATGTATATACATAGTGATTATTAATTTATGATATTATTAGGACTATATTTACATAGGGATTTCAAAAAAAATTATTATCTTATCGAATATGGTTAATTTTTACATTGGCCCGACTTGGGACTAGCAAAATTTATTAATTTATAGTGTTTATTAATTTATAGAGTATTAATTTATAGAGGTTTTACTGTATATCCTGCTTTTTTCTACAATAATGACAACTGACGAGTGGATGAAATTGTGAAAAAGAAGTATCGGCAATCGAGCGACATATAGAAGCAGGAAAAAAAAAAGTACCTAATTTGAAATTTTATACACATGTCAAAAAAAAGTTACAACCTTTCATGTCTGATTCTGCACTTGAGAGAAGCCACAACATGACTCTAAAACCAAAGTGTCTTCTTCTAGGTTCTCCAATGCAGCCACTGACTCTGCCTGCTCGAGATCGTTTTTTTTTTTTTGTCGTTAAACCCGTCACAGGTTAACATTCATACCCGAGATTCATCATAAGAAACTGTCATGTAAATGCAACAAGACCAAATTGTGATGACATGAGTGGCACTCCAAAAACCAAGAAGAAAACTTCTAACTACTGATAAAGCATTGAGTAGGATGAAATTTGTTACCAGGATATTGAAAATTAGCTATCCATGGTTTATTTCCCCTGAGCAAATTTAGCTTTGAATGTGTTTTGAAGTCGTTCTCGAGATTTGGCTTGAGCAGCCAATGCAACATCGTCGAGGAATCCCTTTTGTGGGAATTCTTCAGGTACAAGACTCCAATAGATCTCAAACTGTTGAGCTGCTTCTTCCTTTTTATCCATTAAACTATAAACTATGCCCTGAAACCAATTCTTGCAATTTCTTTAAACTAGTATAGCGAAAGAGAAGCCTAAAATTCTTTACGCCTTAGAGATGAATTCAGCGAATCAAAGACCATTCTTTTCATGAATAAACTTACCTGGCAAAGGTAAGGTCGGAAATCTCGAGGGTTATCATTTACCATCTGTTGAAATATCTTTAGACCTTCTTCAAATTGACCCTGAGGTTTTAAACCAATTTCCATAAGAACAGACAACAAGCTATTATATCGATACATAGTTCAAAAGGACAAGAAGGAACTTAAGGATTGGTTTTGCATCGGTTTTACCTTGACAATATGCATTTGACCAATCAAGACTTGTATGTTTCTCTCCTCAGTTACACGGTTTCCTCGTCGAGCAACTTCCATAGCGTCCATGAGCATATCAAAGAGAGAGGAGTCATGAGTCTTATGCATTACCATTGCAAGACCCTGCAAGCAGTAAGACAATACCAAACGTAAATCCTTTTGGGAGGAGTAATCAATTTAAGATGCTGCAATATCGAAATCAAGGCACTATTCTGTTACCTACCAACGAAAAGAAAAACCATTTCTCCTAAACATACACTTAAATCACAGTTTCATTGAAATACTGTAGTCTTAGAGAAGCTTCAAAAGGTGAGAAACACATACGTGCAAAGCTCTGATCAAAAGAGGTTGTTCTTTGAGAATATCCTTGAACAATCTCTTAGCTTTGCTCAATTGTCCCATTGTCTCATAGCAAAGCGCTTCTAAAAGCTTCCATTCAATTTCATGAGGCTCTAATTTCATTAGCTTCTCAACATACTTCACAGCATCTTCAGTCTTCCCTCTCCTCATCTTCTTATACAAAACAGCCTTCATAGCCTCCATGTTCTCTGGCTCACTCTCCAGAAGCTTCTCGAACATTATCTCGTCCTCTAACTCCGCTTGAGAGACCACAGTTGCAGCGGGTAGTGCAAAAGCTGGCTTCGAAGAACAGAACCCTAGAAAGACAAACGACCCAACAAGTAAAATCGCGGCTTTTCTCGCCAGAGTCTGAACGGAGGAATGAAGAGACGTCGAAGAGCGTATTAGAGGAAGATGTGAAAAGGGCGAAGCGAAATTGGGGTCGGATTGGGCGAGTTTGGGAGCGAAATCTCGTGAATTTCTCCTCCGAAATTGGAACCCATTTGGATTACGCAGATGGGTCGGAGTAAAAATCTGCGGTTGTTCCCGGCGGTGATGAAATTTAGCCGGAGAACAAAGAGCTAATACTCCGATTGAACACATCCTGCGTCTTCACCGAGCGTCTTGTAATTTTTGTCTCATTTACCCTTAGGCCATCCTTAACAGTATATACTCTTGTGTCTTAGAGTATTAAAAAAATTATAAAATAATAAAACAGTGGTAATAAATGTAGCAAGCGAGTCTTCAGATGTTTTCTGGGTGAGATGTTAGTGGGATGTGGCAAGCAGTGATTGGTTCCCATTAAAATATATTCATTTTTAATATTTTTTCCATACTATTTAATATTTTAATATTTTTTTAATTTACAAGTAGTAATTATTTTAATACTTTTTTTCTACTAAGATATATCTTTCAGTTTATCCCTTTAAAGATGCCCTTAGAGCATGATTATCAAGGGGTTTTAACAAAATCTTAAGTTAAGAAAAGTACAAAAAAACTAAGAAAAGTGATTAAATATCTCTTATACAAGAGACATAAACTAACTTTTCTTACCTTTTCTTAACTTTTTTTAGCTTAAGATTTATTTAAGAACCCCTTGTTAATGATGGTCTTAGTGTGAAAAAAAACACCTTTTTAAGTAATCACAAAAGAAATTATAGTAGACGGTTTACTGTAAACCAAATCTATACCACCTCACAACATTGACATCAAATCATCACTACAGACGGTACATTGGCTATTAACAAAATCATTATTTGGACTTGGAAGTTCATTGTTTCAATAACATTCTGATAGAATTACATGGCCTGAAGCATCATCTTAGGCCATGGGAGAACGTGCCAACGAACTGATCCAAGGACCATGGAACCTGAATCTGCCAAACTAGGTCAGTACACACTAGACATCACATACGTCACTGTCAAACACCACCAGCTACGCAATCTTGACATCTCAATTATTGTTGCTTTCAAATCAATTATTACGAAAGATACAGATGCAGTTCGAAGTTCGAACAACAACTACATGATATGTTGAAAGCTATCAAGCTAAGAAAATGAATTTATCTTATATAATATGTTCCGTTAAAGCTATTTAATGTTTCTCTGTTTCTGTGATGTGTTTCACTGCTATCGGATCCCAGTTTAACTAACTAGTAGGCGATTTTATTAACTAATTATTATTGTCTTATGCTGGGGACAAATAACTAATTATCGTAATATGTCGCATGCAGTGGATCATTGTTTTCAAATGGGGTTTTGACTTCCCAGAAAGCTAAGATACCAAACAAACACAAGAGGACATAATCACCAAAGATAAGGTACGACCTCATCTACATCGTGTATATCATTATTGAAACGACAAAGACAAATAACTAATATCTAGGACAACACAAGATGAATTATGCTTTCTTGTTTATACTCATATTTATGTTATCTCCTTAGTGCATGAATGAAAACATAAAAAACAATCAAAAACTTCACCTTAGTGTTATCTCCTATAATTCTCCCTAATGGCTTTCGCAAGCTTACTCGAAATCTCCATTGCTTTCTTCTGTTTCCTTATCTTTCAGTTTTTCTTGATCATCAGCAAGAAACCGCACCGTTCCTTTCTCACAAACTGGCCGTTCCTCGGTATGCTTCCGGGTTTACTTACCCAACTCCCACGTGTTTACGACTTTCTAACCGAGGTTCTAGAGGACGCCAACTTAAACTATCTTTTCAAAGGTCCTTTTTTGGGGGGAATCGACATGTTGTTCACCGTTGATCCCGCTAACATCCACCACATTATGAGCTCAAACTTTGCAAACTACCCGAAAGGAACCGAATTCAAGAAGTTATTTGACGTTTTGGGGGACGGAATTTTCAATGCGGATTCGGAGTTGTGGAAGGATCTGAGAAAATCTTCTCAGAGCATGATGAGCCATCCGGAGTTTCAAAGGTTTACATTAGATACAAGCTTGAGTAAGCTAGAGAAAGGGCTTGTGCCACTTCTTGATCATGTTGCTAAAGAGAAACTCGTCGTGGATTTACAAGATGTTTTCCAAAGATTCACGTTTGACACTACGTTTGTTTTAGCAACCGGGTATGATCCAGGTTGTCTCTCGGTTGAAATGCCAGAAATCGAGTTTGCAAGAGCGTTAGACGATGCAGAGGAAGCCATTTTCTACAGACATGTCAAGCCGGAGATGGTGTGGAAGATGCAAAGACTGATTGGGGTTGGAGGTGAGTTAAAGCTGAAAAGAGCTCACGCGATTTTGGATCGTGTTTGCTCTGAGTGCATAGCTTCTAAGAGAGAGGAGATCAGCCGAGGGAGTGATAATATCAGTTCTTCTTCTAAAGATTTGTTGATGTCTTCTATACATGTTGACACTAGCAAGTACAAGTTGTTGAATCCAAGTGATGACAGATTTCTTAGAGACACAATCTTGTCCTTCATGTTAGCTGGTAGAGACACGACAGGATCAGCACTCACTTGGTTCTTCTGGCTTCTATGCAAAAACCAAGAAGCCATGGCCAAGATTCGTCAGGAAATCAACACAAACCTATTTCCAGGAAACAAGATTGACGGTTCTGTTTCTTATGATTCTGATTCATTCAACCCCCAAGAGATAAAGAAGTTGGTGTATTTGCATGGCGCAATCTGTGAATCCCTCAGGCTCTATCCACCTGTTCCCTTTCAACACAAGTCTCCTACTAAACCTGACGTTCTTCCAAGCGGCCACAAAGTCGAGGCCAAATCGAAGATTTTGTTCTGTCTTTACTCGTTAGGGAGAATGAAATCGGTTTGGGGAGAAGATGCGTTAGAGTTCAAACCAGAGAGATGGATTTCTGAGAGCGGAAGGTCGATACACGAGCCATCTTATAAGTTCTTATCGTTTAACGCCGGTCCAAGAACTTGTTTGGGGAAAGAAGTGGCTATGACGCAAATGAAGACAGTGGCTGTGAAAATCATACAAAACTATGAGATTCAGGTCGTTGAAGGGCACAAGATCGAGCCAGCTCCGTCTGTTATCCTGCACATGAAGCATGGTCTTAAAGTCACAGTCTCTAAAAAATGTTGGGTCTGAATGTAAAGTAGAAACTATGACGTGATGAGGAAATCTCATGGTCAGCAAAAAAGTCATACAATCCCTAAAATATATAATTATTGTTAAACATTAATTTATATTAACACATAATCTAAATGTACGTTGTGTCTACTTTAAGATGTGGGAAGTATAGCGGTATGTATTCTGTATTCAATAAACTATTTTCATCACTTGTTTATTTCCTAATCGATCTATCTATCATGGAATACATAATATCTCAGGGAATTTAGTTCAACCATACTTTTTACATATATATCTTTTGAAAAATAGAGATGACAAAGGAAGACTGTGGATCATTTTTAAAATTACATATATACGAGATGATCATTACATGTATAGTTATATAATACAGATTAGCCAAAAACAAAAATTATGGCACATTATCTATATATTTAATAGGAAAGTTTGACTAGAGATAATTATTTTGTTTAAATTTTGGTTTTTTTTTTGGTATGACAGATATATAATCTTCTTTCATTATGGTATAGTTTATAAATATTTGTTAAAAATACTTAACCAATTCATTACAGATTCGAAAATTTGAAAACTGTAGTAGAATCAGAGATCTAGTCAATATGTCTCAATTAAAAAAATTACTGTATTTCTAGAAAAGAATAATCTAAAACGAGATAGATGCATCTGATTTAGTCAAATTTATTGACCTTTTAAAGTAACTAAGAATATATATCTATAATAGCCAGATTTTTTTAGTAATATCCAGATCGAAACAAAATAAACTTGATTATCTGAAAATCTATATTAATACGTATGCACGATATGTGTTTTGTGGAAATATTTATAAATTATGTAAACTGTAAAATGTTATTATATTAGAAAATGACTAATTGGGTAATAATATATCACATGCATTGGTTTCCGAAAGATTATTAGACTTATTACAAAGATATAATACCAAACAAAATAAAAGAGGACATAATCAGCAAAGAACGTAAGATTCTATTCCATTTTGTAATTATTCAGAGGACAAAGACACATCACCGATTTCAAAGACGCTGCCCAAAGGAAATGCTTTATATATCCTACATGAGAGCAAACTCAAGAATCAAGCTGCAAATACTGGTGAATCTCAAAAGGAGAAAAAAACACATTTTTAATCTTATCTCTAATGGCTTTGATTAGCTTGTTTGAAATCTCCATTGCTTTCTTTTGCTTTCTCCTCTTCCGATATTTCTTGATCAACAAGAAACCTCACCGTTTGTGTCCAACAAACTGGCCATTCTTGGGTATGATTCCAGGTTTGCTGGTCGAGATCCATCGTGTTTACGACTTTGTAACCGAGGTTCTCGAGGTCACAAACTTAACCTATCCTTGTGTAGGCCCGTGTTTCGCGGGCCTAGACATGCTGATCACGGTTGATCCTGCTAATATCCACCACATCATGAGCTCAAACTTCGCAAATTACCCCAAAGGTCCCGAATTCAAGAAGTTATTCGACGTTTTGGGAGATGGGATTTTCAATGCAGATTCGGAGTTGTGGAAGGATCTGAGGAAGTCAGCCCAAAGCATGATGATGAACCCCGAGTTTCAAAAGTTTTCATTAGCTACAAGCTTAAATAAGCTAGAGAAAGGGCTTGTCCCACTTCTTGACCATGTAGCTAAAGAGAAGCTCGTCTTGGACTTACAAGACATGTTCCAACGATTTACGTTCGACACTACGTTTGTTTTAGCGACCGGGTATGATCCAGGTTGTCTCTCCGTGGAAATGCCTGAAGTCGAGTTTGCAAGAGCTTTAGACGATGCAGAGGAAGCCATTTTCTACAGACATATCAAGCCGGAGATCTTGTGGAGGATGCAGGGCTTGGTTGGGTTAGGAGATGAGAAGAAGATGACGAAAGCTCGCACGACTTTAGATCGTGTTTGCTCCGAGTGCATATCTTCAAGGAGAGGTGAGGTAAGCCGTGGGATCAACAATGTTGATTCTCCTTCGAAAGACTTGTTGACGTCTTACATGAACTTGGACACGACCAAGTACAAGTTGTTGGATCCAAGTGATGACAGATTCCTGAGAGACACAATCTTGACCTTCATGTTAGCGGGTCGGGATACGACAGGATCTGGACTCACTTGGTTCTTCTGGCTTCTCTGTAAGACCCCAGAAGTCATGGCCAAGATTCGTCAAGACATCAACACAAACTTGACCGATGGTTGGGGATCTGGTGTTGATTCCGATTCGTTCAATCCCCAAGAGTTAAAGAAGTTGGTGTATCTACATGGAGCGATTTGTGAAGCCCTCAGACTCTATCCACCTGTTCCCTTTCAGCACAAGTCTCCTACTAAACCGGACGTTCTTCCAAGCGGACACAAAGTCGACGCCAACTCTAAGATTTTGCTCTGCCTTTACTCATTAGGTAGAATGAAATCGGTTTGGGGAGAAGATGCATTAGAATTCAAACCGGAGAGATGGATTTCTGAGAGTGGGAGATCAGTACATGAGCCATCTTATAAGTTCTTATCGTTTAACGCCGGTCCAAGAACTTGTTTGGGGAAAGAAGTGGCTCTGATGCAAATGAAGACTGTGGCTGTGAAAATCATACAGAACTATGAGTTGAAGATCGTTGAAGGGCAAAAAATCGAGCCAGCTCCTTCTGTTATACTCCACATGAAGCATGGTGTTAAAGTCACCGTTACTAAGAAATGTTTGGTCTGAAATGTTCTTTTCGAATTCTTCATAGCTGCAGCGAGGAACTCTAAACGTCAGAAGGAGACAAAAAGTAATAATAATCTACGAGGAGGCAAGGAGCTAGACCTCTACTATTTTAGTTTTTCCAGCCAATCACAACTCTCTATTTCATACCCATTCGCACCAAACGCGCGTTGCGCGAGTGTTTGCAATTTCTTTTCTATATGCTATATAACCCACCAAATCGTGCCTTTTTGATTCAACGCACTTGTTTATGAAATTGGCATCGCGTGACTTTGGGTGCAAATGGTTGCACAATTTAAGAGGTTGAAGAGGTTGAAAAAAATTATTCAACTAGTTTTTACCATTTGAGTTGAAGAGGTTGGAAAAATTATTCAACCCGTTCAACTTAACAAATTGAAAAAATGAACTAATTATACAAGAAATTTGTTCAACGCATTCATCTCCTATTTTGCAGATGAATAGATTGAATGCTATTCAACTTTTTTTATTCAACTTATTCTTTTCCAACTCTTTCATTTGCAACCATTTCCACCCTTTGTTGGTTTTTTTATTTCTTCTTCTCAACACTTTCAAACCAAATCGAAATCAATTGAAAATTTCGAAATCATGTAAACCGAACCGAAATCAATTGTAATTGTTTCTATCCCGCCAGGCCGCCATAGGTAGATGCCAGTCCGAGACTGAAGTTCAGTTCAGTAGTCATGACTTATGGCGGAGATGTAGTTACAGAGGAAAGCTATAGGAAGAGCTTAAGTCTGGTTAAACTTTAAAAAGAAAGCCTTGGAAGAAGAATAAGACCGCGGAATATATCATCAAATATATTATATATAATCATTCAGTTCATACCACAAATTTAGTGATTGATTTAATTTAATTCAACGGAAAAGGGAGTAAGTAAGAAATTATACATATGAAGTTCAAGCTGGAAAATCTATCTTTTAGTAATTGTAACTCTAAGCCCATGCTTCATGTGCAACATAAGACCAGGATCTGGCTCAATCTTCTGCCCTTTGATAACCTCAATGTCATAGTTTTGTAATATCTCCACAACTACGGTCTTCATTAGAGTCATAGCTAACTGCTTACCAGGACAAGTTCTCGGACCGGCGTTAAAAGATAAGAACTTGAAGGAAGGTGCATGTCTCAACCCTCCCGTCTCAGTAACCCATCTCTCTGGCTTGAACTCAGCTGCATCTTCTCCCCAAACCGCTCTCATCCTTCCCAACCCGTAAAGATAGATTATGATGACTGAGTTTGCTTCTACCTTATGCCCACTTGGAAGCATATCTGCTTTTATAGGAGACTTGCGTTGGAAGACAACCGGTGGATAGAGCCTCACTGATTCATACAACGCTGCATGAAGATAGACCAACTTGTCTAACTTCTCTTGGGCATTTCTTCCGGTTTTTGAGATATTTTTGTCGATGATCTCTTTACGAATCTTTGTTACAACTTGAGGGTTTTCAGAGAGAAGCCAGAAGAACCAAGACAGAGCAGAAGCCATTGTGTCTCTCCCAGCTAGATTGAAAGCTAAGATGGTGTCTCGGAGGAACTTGTCATCACTCGGTTTCAAGAGCTCGTACTTGGTTGTATCAAGCTTTATGTGAGATGACAAAAGATCCTCACTTTCACCATCTGAGTGATGATCAATGCCTTGTGATCTTATCTCTTCTCTCTTAGCTGTTATGTATTTAGCAGAAACGCGATCAAAAGTGGCATCAGCTTTGGCCATCCTCTTCTCTTGTCCAAGCCCCATCCAGTTTTGCAGCTTCCACAAGAACTTGGGTTTAATGTGCCTATAAAAAATCCCTTCTCCAAGATCGTCAAGAGCTTTAGCATACTCAACAGCCGGCATTTCAATAGTGAGAGATTTAGGATCACACCCGGTAACAAGAAAAAAAGTTGTGTCAAAAGTGAATCTTTTAAACACTTCCTGCAAATCCACGACCTTGCCTTCCTCGCAGCATTGATCGAAAAGAGGAACAAGACCGTCGTAGAGTTTACTCCTCGTTGCACTCATTGATAGCTTCTGAAAGCCTTGATGGTTAAGCATGAACTGAGCAGCTTTTCTTTGATTCTTCCATAGCTCCGAGTCCGAACTGAAGATCATTTCTCCAAAAACATCAAAGACTTCTTTAAAGTCGGCACCTTTGGTATAGTTGGAGAAGTTGGAGCTCAATATGTAGTGAATGTTAGCTGGATCAACAGTGAACAACATATCCATTCCAGTGAACCACGGTCCCTTAAAGAAAAAGGTTAAGTCGGTGGCCTCTAGAGTCTCCACGCCGAAGTTGTAGATGCGGTGGAGCACGAGAAGGAAGCCTGGAATCATCCCGAGAACCGGCCAGTTTCGAAAAGCCTCGTTTTTAGGTTTCTTGAAGAAGAAGCATTGGAAGAAGACAAGGCAAACAATGGCTATGGAAGCGTCAAGTAAGCTAATAGAAGCCATTACTCAAGGTTACGAGACTGTTTTTACAGACACAATATGGGGATGGTTCCTTTTGGAGTGTTGGAGGAACTTTGATTATATACACTCACCACCATATAGAGGGCAGTCACGGTGGTTAAATGCAATAATTACATATTTTTAAAAAAATAGCAACCAGAAAACAAAAATAGTTACCCCAATTGCTTTGTAGCCTGTAGGTACTATACTAATTTGTCAGCTGCTTTTCATATCATAAAATAAGTAATTTTGCCCTTTTTAAGCTCTCCATTCCAATTACATTGGATAGATATCATCTTCGTTGCCGGGAGAAACAAACAAACTTTAGAATAATTTTAGCCTCGAAGAATTCTAAAATAGGGTTTAAAATGGAATTCGTGCGTACAGTTTTAGTCGTTTTTTACCTCGATGGACAGGAAATAAAAAGGTAAATGCAGCATAAACAGGTTAAAAGTTATAGGTTTATGATGGTAAGGAAACGTGCTACATAAAAACACTACTAAAAACGTTGGTAACAAACAATAAAATTAGGAAAAGGAAACTTGTCTTTTTAGAAAAGGTAACAATAAAAGCTGTCATAATTCTTAAATCTGACCTAACTAATTTCATTAGAAGAAGAGGAAAAAATAAAAGTGAAACGTGACCGACTCTGCAATCACAAAGATGTCAGTGTCCCTTGCTAACTACTAACCACACAGATGGACGAGACGAATTATGGAGGATTTCAAAAGGGTCCAAATTTCAGACATTAAAGGACAAATAGACTTTTAAGACGATAGACAAATCAAGACGTGCATCAGAACTCATTGGTCCCCCAAGTCACTGCAAAGAAAGTCTCGTTCGTTCTAATAGTTTTCCAAGTCTCAAGTTGTTCTTTAATGTCGTCATTAAATCTTAAAATCAACACTAGAACTAGAACTGTAGAAGTAACCATCAAATTTTAATTAACATTCAATGACAAAACAATTGTCAGAGATAATAGTAATACTAATAAATAAGACCCGGTCATACTCTCACTGCAATGAAGGCCGTTTTAACAGTTTTTCTTTTAATACATGAAGAAAAATTCAATAAAAATCGATACAACATCTCAGAGCTTTTAATCCATTTCAAAAATTTAGTCAACTTGCATACATAAAAAATCTACCACTACTGGGCAAAACCATATCCGAAACACAATAATATGAGAGGGTTCCGACAACATCAATCACATGCTATTAATGGAAACAGATAAAAAAAAAAAAAAAAAAAGTCATGGGGTTTCCAAAAATACAAAAAGGGTGCAGACACACGGATTTCGTCTTTCCATATAATTGTATGATACAGTATTTTAAAAAAACAGATGGATAAGCAGAGTAACCAAACCAATAATAGAAGATCCTAACCTTCTCTAGATATCTCATTATGCCTACTTTTTTGGTTGGCTTCTCCGCTATCTGGTAAAAATCATATCTTTTTCACGATCTGAACAACATCCTCATCCTCCAGCTCGTGCTCCTGTGGTGTTTCCATACATCAAAAATACCGATGTCAAGACAGAAATACTTATAGTCAGTGATATTGTAATGGATATTGTCAAGACAGCAATACTTAAGTCGGTGATACTGTAATGGATTTACTACCCCAATAAATTTTAAACTATGGAAATCTTGGCAACTAAGGTGCAAGTAGACTGACCTTTCCAACTCTCTGTGGCTTGTGTTTCGCACTTGAACCCCAAACCAAAGCGCTGCATCACGACATCATCAGTTCAGTACTCATGTGCGATGATGCTCTTGAGCAATAAACCATATAACAGAGAAACAGAACAATGATAAAATTTCAATTACTTACTACTTGAATTGTTTGAGCATGTCCTTGTGAATCCGGATGCAGAAGTCCTCTACTGTTCTCTTCTTGGAAGATAAGATAACGGGATCATCGTAATCTGGATTCATTGCCTTCGGTTTTGTGTAGATTCGAGTTAGATCCAAGTATTCCCATATTTTATCCAGCAGACCGTCAAGATTCCACTCCAGATGCGCACTGCAGGATTATTATATCTAAATGAGAACAAAAAATGTGAATCCTCTCACTAAATTAACAATATTTTACCTGATAGGACAGTAATGAGGAAGTTTGTCCAAAATTTCGAGCTCCTCAAGTGTGATTTGATCGATCTTGTTGACAGCGTAGATACAGGGCATATATATCCGACTGCCCTCAATGACGTCAATGAGGTCATCAGCAGTTGCATCATAGCGCAGGGTGATGTCAGCATTGTGAATCCTGTACTCACCGCAAATCGCCTTGACAGTGTCCAGATCAAGGTGTGTGACTGCGACTGTAGAAGTTAGATTGATACCACCTTTGTCTTTTTTCCTAAACGTTAAATTTGGTGGCTCCTTGTTCAACCTGAATAGCATCAGTACACAATTGAGTTAGACTATCTACTACAAACGATCAAACATACGACGTATGAAGGTTGTTATATAAGCAATCTATACCTTATTCCAAATCCTTCGAGCTCTTTTTCAATGAGACGCTTGTGAGTAATAGGTTTTATGGCATCAAGAACTATTAAGATGCAGTTGCATGTCCTAGCAGTACTAATAACCTAGAAACAGTAAAGTGTCAAATATGATCGAAAAGGGTCACATTATAATTTACTCAAGAGATATATACGTACCTGTCGTCCTCTACCTTTTCCATCTTTAGCACCCTCAATAATACCAGGAAGATCTAATAACTGCAAACCAATTAAAAGGGACATAGAAAATAGTATCAGCATCAACGTCCAATGAATCATTACATGTTGTTCTGAGCTTAATCTAAGCACCAAGAAGTCATTCAAGCAGAATATATGTTAATATAAAACTGAGATTCGAGAAACGATAATTACAGGCATATACAAAGGCATGGATTTCATTGTTTTCACAAATCACCAAGACAAAGGAAACAATTGAACAGTCAAGAATTATCATTTTTTTTCTCGAATAAACAACAGATTAACAACAGACCAATAGATGTAGATATCGTACCTGGATTTTAGCTCCACGATATGTAATAACACCGGGAATGCATGTCAAAGTTGTGAACTCATAAGAAGCAACCTGAAAAAGCATAGAGCATATCCTATAAGAAAATAGAGTACCAGCCAAAAATACAGTTCAAATTCAAAGATTTATGATCATCTATATCCAAGACAAGACTAGTGCCGTTCAGTCTTGCCTTATAAGTGAGATTGCACAAGAAATTGGTAAAAAATAATAATAACCTACAAACCTCGGAAAATGTCCCAGTCAGCTTGTTCAAGAGCGTTGATTTTCCAACAGAAGGAAACCCAACTAGTCCAACTCTAGAATCTCCACTTTTAGTCACATCAAAACCTTCACCCGCACCACCACCAGCACCTTTGGTAGGCGGTGCAAGAAGGTCCCTCCGTAGCTTAGCAAGTTTGGCCTACAAAACGTACCAATCAAAATAAAAGAGAAGCTATTAATGGCCGGGAAAAAGTACTAAATTCTAATATATCGATATGGAATGATAGTTCCTGCCTGCCTACTAGTGTTTGACAAAAAGAAATTCATAAGAGATCATGCCCGTAAATAAAAATTCCATGATTTGGGAGCTCATACGACCAGAAGTTACAACATTTGTCAATGTGCTTGCTTGCTTAGTAGGTTGGGATTTCAGAGAAGATACTAGTATCGAAATAGATATGCCAAATTTTACATTTATTCACCAAAAACGATTACATGAACTAAGCAACAACAAAATTCTTAGCTAGTTAGAAAGTGCAATAACTTTTAAAGAGAATATTTTACCTTTAACAAACCCAGATGATGAGAAGTAGCTTTATTCTTCTGCGTTTTAGCCATCTGCGACATAAACGAAAAAACAACCTCGTGCTTGTGAGTCACACAGATTATATAAAAAACAATTAACCATTTCTTTAATTCAGAACTAACAGAGAAGAAGAAATATATCGGATTTACAGTTCTATGCATCCAAATAATGAAGAATCGGAGGAGGATTGAAAGATTACCTCATCTTCAATTTCTTTGATCTTCTGCATAATGGTCGACATGGTTGCAGTCAAAGCAGAGCGAGAGAGCTCACAGAGACAACGTCAAGGTAAAGAGGTTAAACGCTAGCGAAAGGAAGAAGGACACCGGAATCTGAGTTTTAAAAAAAAGTGACGACGGAGGAGAAAGAACCAGAGGATTCCCGAGGGTTTTCGTTTCGCCACCTGATTACGACAGAACACAGAAGAAAAGAAAAAAGAAAAAAAAAAACTAGAACAGAACTCGGCCTGATCCAACAACATACTGGGCCTAAATAACAACTAGATGTCCAATTTGGTATCCGGTTTAAGAAAAATTGGAATAGATTTGAGAATTTAGCTTGGTTTGATTAAAAAGTGTATTGTTTTGAATTGGTTTTTCGGGTTTATCTGAATTTAAAATCGGTTTAATCAAATTCAGATATACAACATCATGTACCGTTCACCATTATAACTTCTCCCTCAGGTTAACAAATTCCAAGAGACCAGAGGCAGAAGAATACGAAGAAGGGTAGAGACGTATAGTTCCTTGCAATTACTAAGAGAGAAGAAGAAGAAGAGCGCGTGCTGCCGCGTAGAATACTAAGAAACATGCTGCCGTTTTTTTGAAGAAGGATGGTGGATCAGATAAACGAAAACGGCAGATAGTTATATCACCAAAAATAAAAACGACAGAAATCGGATGGACGATGGTTGGTTGGATGAACGGTAAAATTTTGATGGGCCTATTCTGTACATTAAATGGGCCCATCACCTACCAAAAAAAAATAACAGTTTGTCATTTTTTGAATATTCTATCGTTTCTACACTAAGGAGTAGAGACCATAGATGAGAAATGGTTCTTGTGGTACGTACAATAATATGGACAAATGTCACACATTATAATAAGCAATTTTCCTATTGTCTTATTTCAAATATACACTAATCAATCATCATCAATTAAATACATAATTATTATTAACTAGGCATAAATTAGCAGATAAGTTTAGGAGTTTCCACTTTCCACCATACATATATCATTTTACAATGACTGCGAATATAAAAAATACATAAATCTAGTAAAGTACTCATTTACGCCAATAAGAACAGAGAGATAGAAGAGTCTGTGTTATTTGTTCAAAAAAAAAAAAAAGAGTCTGCGTCTCTCAAGTCTTTGGTCTTTTGCTCCGCCGTTGAGATAAAAAAGGTGAACCCTTTTTAATACATTCTCCAATCTCCGTTTCCTTTCTCTGCATTGATTTTTTAATGCTGAATTGGTTGTACTTGTTAGTTGTTATAGCCAGATGATTACTCCACTTTTTCTAAGGAAATGGTTCCATTGATGTTATTTGGCCTCTAAGATGAGTTATTCATTCCATTGAATTCTTGTAGTGGGCATTTCGCAGAATGTTATGGAAGTAGCTACTGTTCAGAGGTTTCAGTACTCATCATGGATTGATTTGAGGAATTTTGAAGGCAAGCCTCGTGGTTCTTTGAGGTATACACTGAGATTTAAGGAAAATAAAACGCTTAGAGTTGTTGCCCCTTTGGCTCTTGATAGAAGAAGGGATCATCGACTAAGATCTGTTTCTGATCAAAACTCCTCAGGTTCTAACATAAGCTTGAATCTTTCTATATGATTTGGTTGTGTCTACTTTTATGACAAAAGAGATGTGTTTCCTCCATTTAAAAATATATAAATTTTGTAGCATTGTTGGAAACTGGAAGTCTTCGTCAGTCTCCATTTGATGAAGAACAGATTTTGAAGGCAAGTTGATACGCTTTTGTGGTGTCATCAAGACATTTGGCTTTACAGTCTTTAGTGACATGGTTCAGATGTTGCGTGTTATCTTCTACCTTTTTTCTATAAAATTCTTATGTCGACAATAGCTTTTGCAGAGAAAAGCTGAAGAGATTAAACCATATTTAAAAGGACGACCTATTTTTCTTGTTGGTCAGTTTCTTTGTCTCATCCTTACCTTCTCGTGCGTGCTGGTAGTTTAACAGTGTCCTCTTCAATGTGTTAGGAATGATGGGATCCGGGAAGACGACAGTTGGAAAGATATTATCAAAAGCACTTGGTTATACATTGCTTGACTGGTATATTATCTCCCCACTTTCATCTGTCTCTATTGAACTTTAGATGAGCTTAAACATTGTTTTGTAAAAAATGTGCCAGCGACACTTTCATCGAGCATGCGATGAATGGAACTTCTGTAGCTGAGATATTCGAGCATTTCGGTGAGAGTGTTTTCAGAGAAAAAGAGGTTGGTTTATACAATTCTTCGGTTCTTCTCTTTAGTTGTAGGTAGACTGTGTTACCAAAAAGTCCTATTGTTAATTCTGTTGTGTTGAATTTTTGTTCGGTGCTTCTTTGTTTATTTTTTATGCTAATTTCACCACATGCTTTCTTTCTAGACCGAGACACTAAAAGAGGTTTCTTGCATGTATCGTCAAGTTGTTGTTTCGACCGGGGGAGGTGCTGTCATAAGACCCATCAATTGGTTCGTTTTCTTCCTATAAGTGATTTATAATGTGGAACTCAGACCATTTGGTAACAATGTATCTTTTTAATTACATTTTTGTACTCAGGAAGTATATGCATAAAGGCATTACCATTTGGCTAGATGTTCCTTTAGAAGTCTTAGCCCATAGAATTGCTGCTGTAGGAACTGATTCAAGACCATTGTTACATGTTGATGAGGCAGAGGACATATACACAACGGTAGTGCTATTATTGTTAAGTATAACACAGCAGCTTAAGCCCTTTTCTGTGGTTTTGATCATCTGTGACTTCATATAGACTTTAAACCGTCTTTCAAAAATTTGGGATGTACGTGGAGAAGCTTACACAAATGCCAACGCGAGAGTTTCCTTGGAGAGTATGGTCCTTTCCACGTTTTATTTTATGTAGCTTTTACACAATCTCAGCCATTGTTGTGACTAGTTTACTCGAATTGTTCAGATACTGCGTTGAAGCTCGGTTATAAAAGTGTATCAGATCTTACACCAACTGAAATCGCCATTGAGGTAAGTCTCAGAATCCCTCTGTTCCTAGTCAGGTGTGTACGTTGGAGTTTGTTTTGATAAGCTCTAACTACGCAATAATACATCACCAGGCCTTTGAGCAAGTTCAGAGCTATTTAGACAACGAAGATGGTATAGCTAGACTCTGATGACCCTCTAGTTCCAGAATGATATGTTTTCCGCAACATCTCATGAAGTTACGCTTTATCAGAGCTTATTTGTGCCTAGTTTTGAGTGTTTTAGCGAGTCATGAAGAAAGAGAAAGCCAGTTATCTGTAATATACGACCAAACACTCTTCAATCAAACTTGCATGTCTTGATTTACTTGTTCTTACCATGAAAGAAAAGAACTTTCTATTCAACCAAAACAGAGTTACAAAGGTCTATAGCAGCACTAAAGTAAGCTAAAAGCATGAAAGGTTTACAGATGATATGCTGCCAATGACTATACCTTAACGCTAAAAACACAAGAAGCAATCATCCAACAACATGACACAATAATACCCACAACCAACCACCAAAGATTCACGACATTCAAGTTTGTCTCGTATTATCATTCATCAAACGGTAGGGGAAAGAGCATAGACCACTTTATATGACAAGGGAACCGTAAGCACTGCGTCATGCCACTCGACCTTCCCCCAAATCTCTTCACTGCGCCTTTCAAGCGCAATCACCGCGCACAAAATCGTCTTGTTCTTACACCCATTGGAAGTGATAATCTTGTCCCAGAAAACAGCCATCTTCCCACCATAATCCGCCATCTTTCCACCACATCTGGCAAACCTAGGCAGTCCTTTCACACCCTTCAGTTTCTTCCAGAGTCTGACCTTAGTGTCATACCAATTAAACTCTCCCTCATAATAATAGTAAAGCACGTTCTCAACAACGCAATAGGAATACCATACCCAACCTAAATGCATCTCCAATTCCAGCCTTCTCCATCTACCTTCCTTCGGTTTATAAACCAAACCATTAGAGTTTGCAATAACGATCTCTCCTTCAACCGCTGCGCTTTGATGTATACCACAACCACCAATCTCGGCACCAGGGCTTGAGACAGGCTCCCAAGTTTGGGTATGAGGAGAAAAAACCTCCATCCAGTTGGATGAATTGCTGCAGTCTTTGCAGCCTCCTGTCACATATATCTTTCCATCAAGCACATTGGCGGCTGGATAATTCCGCTCTACCCGCATGCTTGGACCCTCCTGCCACGTGTGAGACTGGCAGTCCAAGATCGAGACGCGAGACGAATGTGCTTGGTCGATGGGTCCGCCAATGTTATAGATATTAGAACCAACCGCAACGAGACCCGACCAGTGCACACCACGAGAAGGGAGAACTGGGATTGCCGCCAAAGCGTACCCTCTAGACTTCTTCTTCTTCTTCTTCTTCTTCTTCTCAGTGAGATCACTGGTTAGAGGTCGATTGGGTCTCCGGCAGAGAGTGAACCATAGAGGGTTTAGGTCATCATCTCGGTCCTTTAAACACACATAGAGACAGCTCTCGGTGCGTTCTAACGAGGACCGGATCTTGTATAGCTCCGGTGATGCGATAAGCGAGCGGAAACTCTTGGAGACAAGGGAGAGAGCTGGATAATACAATCTCGAGACTCGTGCTAAGCAGCTCAATATCAAATCATCTGGAAGCGAAGGATTTGGAGTCGTCGATTGCGGGAGTACAGGCGACGGCTTCTTCTTCTTCCTCCTCCTCTTCTCTGGGGACGACATTGGCGAGCAAAACGAGATCGCCGTTGATCAACCAACCTCTGGGTTTTCCACTACCGAGTTTTCTGAAGCGCATTACTTATTTCGCTCATTAAGGCCTACTTAAATTATGGGCCCAATCTAGAAATAGGTATCAAAATCTTTTATGTTTTAGTTTCATAATGGGCCTCGAACCATAAATTCAACGTAAACTATAGAAGCTTCTGAAGCTGAACTGCTGTGCTGCTTCTGTGTGTTTGTTTAGTCTTGCCATGAATAAATGATTCAGTCTGAAGATGAACTGAATAACAAAAACTTTGTTAGATTAAAATCTATAATACGCGTTAATCTTTTTCCTGTGATATTTAATGAAACACACATAGAGCCATAATCATTTGTTTATAAGATTGTAGGCAAGCAAAGCCAAGCCTTTGCAAATGAAGCGAAATAACAAAAAGAGTTCTGTAAACTAGTCGACCAAACTCTCTCCAAGGATGAATCTTGTAATGTTACAGCTTTCCTACAAATGTGAATAACCTTCCTGATCAACCAATACAAATATGTTAGGCTTTTAAACATAAGCAGACCACTGCAAACTAAACTAATCTTCTACCTCCAACATTCAAGATCCACAACCGAGTCAATTCATCAAACAGTCGCAGCACGAGCACACACGAATACATAAGACTCAGGAACTGTAAGCACAGCATCAAGCCACTCAACCTTCCCAAAAATTTCTTCATTGAAGCGCCTTCCAAGTGTGATCACCGCACACCAAATCACCTTGTTCTTATAGCCACTAGAAGGCAAATACTTGTCCCACAAAACAGCCATTTTTCCGCCATAATCGGCCAATCTAACGCAACCATAACCAGCAAACTTAGGCAATCCTTCTAAACCCTTCAACTTTACCCACCGTCCAATCTTAGAGTCATACAATTTGATTCCATCTGATTCACTGTAAGAATATAGTACACTATCAATCACGCAATAAGTATACCATACCCATCCAAAATCCAAATAATTCACCGCTCCTATTGCTTCCCATCTATCTAATTTTGGGTTGTAAGCCACACCCTTATCCCCAAACAAGCATATAGCTTTTTCAATCACTGCGCTCTTGCATACACGAGTTTCACATCTATCTGCGAAAGGGTTCAAGAGAGGCTCCCAAGTTCGTGTTTTTAGATCGAAAGCTTCCATCCAATTAGAGGAATTGGACTCTTTGCAACCACCTGCAACATATATCTTTCCACCAATGACATTGGCCGCAGGGAAATTACGCTCGGCCAGCATGCTTGGACCTTCGTGCCACGTGTGAGACCTGCAGTCCAAAACGGAGATGCTAGAGGAGTACTCTTCACTGGTGGATCCGCCAATGTTGTAAATATCAGAACCAACCGCAACGATACTCGACCAGTGGGCAGGAGGAGAATTGGGAATTGACACTGCGGCCATAGCATGACCAGTTGACTTCTTATTCTTCTTCTTCATGTTGTTGGTTAAGGTTGGATTAGGTTTTCGGCAGAGAGTGAACCAGCGAGGGTTAGAGCGAGAAGGGAACCCTAAGCACACATAGAGACAACTCTCGGTGCGTCCTAAGAATGAACGAGTCTCGTATAGCTCCGGTGAAGCAAGGAGAGCTCGAAAGCTTTTGGAAACGAGAGAGAGAATCGGGTACTCCAATCTCGAGACGCGTGCGAAGATACTTATAAGCAAATCATCAGGAAGAGACGAAAGCTGGGTCGATTGCAACGACAGGGGGAGTAAGGGTGAGGTCGTCGTCTTCGTCTTCCTCTTCTTCACCGGTGACGACATTTGGCGAAATGAAATTGTCGACGGCAGAGTACTAAAGTCAAAGAGGAATTTAGGGATTTTGACTGCTACACTCCTCCAACGTAATGGACCTCAAAAGTGATTTAATCCTTTTCATTAATTCTTTTAATGGGCCTCAAAAGCAATAAAATTTGTAAATTTGAAGAAGAAAAAACACAATCCTTTAAAGTGGATGACTTTATTTACGTTAAATGAAAATTAGAAATGTTAACTTTCAGTGCACAAAAAAAAAAAAAAAAAAAGGTTAACTTTCAGCGTTGATATTTATAAAAACAAAATTCATTACGTTGTTATATTTTAAAATTTGTATGCTGCTGATAAGAGACGAGTGGTAGTAACTCTAATTAGTATTTCTTGCAAAAGTTAAAGTCACTGAGGACTCAGATCTTTGGTTAATGTTTCCTGTAGCGGGAGATGGTGAAATCTTTGATAACACCAGTCCACCATGGACTAACTACCAGAGCAAGTTTCTCTGCAACTTCTTCACCAAATCTGTAATAAACTTCCTCTTCATAGGTAACATCAAAAGCCCACTTTTTCTTATTGAATCATCAAATGTCCACTTTGTCTGCCTATTAGACGACCAAACATTCTTCAAGTATGTATCTTGTTAAGTTGTTATAGTTCATTTTTTCCCCCTAAGGATACAGTAAACCATTCTATAGTCAACCAAAACAGTGTTTCAAATGAAAGAGAGCACACGTTTAGCTATACAAAACCTCGTTCTAAGACATAGCCAACCGAATGCAATTTCGCACCCGCTGGCAACAATACAAGCTAACCATTAAAAATTCTCAACAATACAAGTAGAGGTTTGCAAGTGAAAACAAAAACAAACCAGCAAAGACACAATCCTCTCAATATACCCAGTGTTGGTCTCAGTTGTTGTCATTCATCAAACAGTAGCTGCAAGAACACCCACGAACTCAGAACCCTCGGGGACTTCAAGCACAGGACCAAACAACTCGACCCTCCCCAAAATCTCTCCGTTGTTATTTCTTTCTACCTCAACCTCTGCACACCATATCTGCTTTCCCTGAAAGCCACCACCACTATCACTAGCATACGTCATGTCCCAAAAAACCGCCATCTTTCCACCATAATCCGCCAATTTAACATGGCTATGAATAGCAATATCCAGTGATTCTAAACCCTGCACAATCCTCCATTCTCTGATGCTAGCGTCAAACCACTTGAACTCTCTACTATAATAATAGTACAACACATTATCTATCACACAAGAAGAGAACCAGGCCCATCCCTTACACATATTCCATTCTACGGGTTCACATATACCATCCTTTGGGTTGTAAGACACACCCTTAGAACCACACATGTAGACCTTTCCATCAATCTCTGTGCTTCTGATTATCTCACTGTCGCATTCTTTCGCACAAGAGCTTGACACAGCCTCCCAAGTTTTGAACTTTGGTTCAAAAACTTCGATCCAGTTGGGGGAATCAATGTCCTTGCAGCCTCCTGCTACATAAAGCTTCCCATCAAGAACACTAGCGGCTGGGTGATCTCTTCTCATGATCATGCTTGGACCCTCTTCCCAGCTGTGATACCTGCAGTCCAAGATCAAGACTCTAGAAGAAGGCTCGTCGTCATCGATGGTTCCGCCAATGTTGTATATATGAGAACCAACCGCCACGAGAGCCGAACACCGCGCAGAGGGGAGAGGGGAAGATGGGATTGAGACCAAAAGATTGCAAATTGGCTTCTCTCTGTTGACGCTGGCTCGATCAGGTCTCCGCCAGAGAGTGAACCAACGTGGGTTAGGGTCCAGAGGGAACCGTAAACAAACGTAGAGACAACTCTCGGTGCGGTGTAAGAGTGATCGGGAGGTGTAAAGATCCGGCGAATCCGGCGAAGCAAGAAGGAGCCGAAACCTCTTGGAAACTAAAGAAAGAGTCGGATAGTGTAGTCTTGAGAGGCGAGCTAAGCAGTTCAACACCAAATCATCCGGAAGTGACGAAAACGTAGTCTCAGGCGATGGCTCTTTGCCGTTCACGGCGGCGGTTGAAGTCGGTGGAGACGACATCATTAACAGTACGAAATAGCCGTTGATAAAAACTTCGGGAACTCTCTCTCTCTCTCTCTCTCTCTCTCTCTCTCTCTCTCTCTCTCTCTCTCTCTCTGTTTTGGGGATCCACGGTCTATTTATATAGATTTTGACTCAATTTCAGTTCCAAAGTATCGTGAAGGTAACGGAATCTTGATGGGCCTTAACCAACTGATTTTAACCTTTTAAGTATTATCTACCTTTTAATCGTGTTGTTAACTTATAGTAAATTTATATTTTAACTTAATTTGTTGTTCCAATATCCTTACGACAGAAACTAGTATAATGGACGTGATCATCCCTCAGGAACATTCCCTAGAGGTTTAACACTTCAAAGTGTTCTCATAGATCCTATTGTGGCTTTCGAAATTGCCAAAACTAACCTCCTCTTTAAGGCCATTTTGTCCACCAGATTTTTAATTAAGGCTCTGTTGAAGAGAACATTTGCAAAATGATCTAAAATATCCCAGCAAAGGCTCCTAACATACCAGATAATGATCTTTTAAAGTTTAATGCTGATGGTACTTAGAAAAATAGAGAATGCTTTTTGTGGTGTATGCTAGAAACTCAGTCTCTCAAGGTTTTTGTGTTGGAGCAGAAATCGTAGCAAGGAGATGTGGAAACAGAGGCGGTTCTCTGTTCTCAAAATCTGTATGTATCATCTTTAGCCTAAAACGATAGATTCAGGTTTTTTGCCACTTCATCATTACATTTCATTTAAAAAAAGTCTAAAGAATGGTTTGTAAACATATTCTTGAAGTGTACCCAGTTATGGACATTTTATCAGTAGCAGTCACATTGATGACAAAAAAAAAAAAAAAATATCAGTAGCAGTCACAAAATAAGTTAGATTTACAAGCTGAAAAACATTTCATAAGAACACACATTAAAAACAAACTGATTTACATAGTAGTGCGTCGCTAGATAAATCCATAATGTAGAAGGCTAAGAGACAAATACTTGCACCATGAAAGAAGTAAACTTTCTTTTCAACCAAAACAGAGTTTCATAAGGTCTTTAGCAGCAGAGAAATAAGCTAACCATCAAAGGTTTACAAGTGAAACAATGTCAACAGCATAAAGCTAAAAAATACAATACACAATCATCCAACAAAATGATACAGTTCCTACAACACATTATGGATTCACCACATCCAAGCATGTCCTGTATGTCATTCATCAAACGGTAACAGCAAGAGCATGCTCAAATTCATATGACACGGGAACTGTAAGCACTGCCTCATGCCACTCGACCTTCCCCCAAATCTCTTCACTGTTGGGCCTTTCAAGCGCAATCACCGCGCACCAAATAGTCTTGTACTTATCTTCACTGCAAGTCGGAGGCACACGATTGTCCCAAAAAGCCGCCATCTTTCCACCATAATCCACCAACTTTACATAGACATTCTTGCCAAACTTAGGTAGTCCTTTCAAACCTTTCATAATTTTCCATAAACTCAGCTTAGTATCATACCATCGGAAAGCTCCACCATAGCAGTACAAAACATTCTCTATAATGCAATTACAAGACCAAAACCAACTTCGACCCATCTGATATCCGACAAAGTCCCACCTACCTTCCTCTCGGTCATAAGCCATAACCTTACTCCCAATCATTAGGTAGAACTTTCCTTCAATATATGCGCTTCTTGATAGAACACCCCATCGTTTCTCCCAACAAGGGATGGGCATATGATCCCAAATTTGGGTCTTTGGGTCGAACATCTCGATGGAGTACGAAGACTCTGAATCCTCATCTTGGTTGCCTCCAGCTACATAAATCTTTCCATCAATGACGGAAGCAGAAGGGTCCAACCTTTCCATCTGCATGCTTGGAGCTTCACGCAACGTGTGAGAGCGGCAGTCTAGGATCAAGACTCTAGATGAAGGCACATTCTCAATGTCTCCGCCAAAGAAGTAGATATTGGAACCAACCGAAGCGTGACCAGACCAGTGCGCAAGAGGAGGATTTGGAACTGGGATTGGGATCAAAATGTTGCCCCTTGACTTCTTCTTCTTCTTCTTCCTGGTGCCTTTACTTAGGGCTCGGTCGGGTTTGAGGCAGAGAGTGAACCTGAGAGGGTTAGGATCAGGATTCCCCTCCTGTAAACACAGATAGAGACAACTCTCGGTGCGGCCTAAGAGTGACCTAGTATCATAAAGCTGAGGTGAAGCAAGGAGAGATCGAAAGCTCTTGGAGACGAGAGAAAGAGTTTAGTAATACAATCTCGAGAGGCGTGCGAAGATACTTAATAGCAAATCGTCAGGAAGGGACGGAATCGGCGCCGTCGGCGGTGATGGCTTCTTTTTCTTAAACGATGGTTTCTTCGTCGTCGTCACCGTCTTCCTCTTCCTCTTCTTCGGGGAATACATTGGCGGGACTAAGAAATCGCCGTTGAGCAATCTCCCGATGTCTCCGAGAATTTGACCCACTACAATGACAGTTCTCGAGCGCGTTTTCTGTACTCGCTCAGATTGCGCGTGCGATATTACCCAGATTTTTGAAGGGCTAGTTCAACTGTGGGCTTTATATTATTTAATGGGCCTCAAAACACGAGCGATTAATCCAGCTGGAAACATGAAACAATCCATCAAATTAAACAGCCCAAACCATTCACATACTCCGGCAAATCGTCATCAATCAAACAGTAGCAGCAAGAACATGAACCAATTCATATGATTTGGGAACTCTAAGCACAACATCGAACCACTCAGTCTTACCGCAAATGTCGTATGTGTCATGCTTTTCAATTGTAATCTCGGCACACCAAATCATCTTGTTCTTAGAGCTAGACGGCACAAAAGTGTCCCAGAACACCGCCATCTTTTCACCGTAAGCCGCTAAGTTAACACGGCTATAGCAGAGAAACTTGATCAGCCGTTCCAAACCCATCAATTTTCTCCAAAACCTTCCTTTATAGTCATACCATTTAAATTCCCTATCATTATAATAGAACAGTGTATTGTTTATCACACAATACGAAACCCATGACCGACCCATATCCAAATCCATTCCAACTGAGTCCCATCTGCCTTCTTTCGGGTCGTAAGCCACATGACCCGCACCTCCAAACAAGTGATATTTGCCTTCAATACCAACGCTCTTGTAAACAAGTCTCTCGCATCTCTCAGTACCAGGACTCGCCACAGAGTCCCAAGTTTGAGTCTTTGGGTCAAACACCTCTATACAATCCAACGAAGTGCAATCCTCGCAACCTCCTGCTACATAAATCTTCCCATCAAGAACGGTAGCAGTAGGGTAGCTCCGTGCCACCCGCATCGGTGGAGCTTCACGCCACGTGTCACACTGACAATCCAAAACAGAGACGCTAGAGGATGGCGCATCATGAATAGGCCCTCCAATAGCGTAGATATTAGAATCAACAGCGACCACACTGGACCAATGAGCAGGAGGAGCATAGCGAGATAAGATCGGGACTAATAAATGACCGCCTGAGAAATTTGTTAGTTTCCGATCCGGAACTCGACAGAGAGTGTACCAACGGAGGTTAGACTCGTTAAGCAACCTTAGGCACACGTAAAGACAACTCTCGGTGCGGCCGAGGATAGACCGAGTCTGATAAAGCTCAGGGGAAGCAACGAGAGCGCGGAAACTCTTGGAGACGAGGGAGAAAGTTGGGTAATACAATCTTGAAATGCGGCTAAGGGAGCTCAAAAGTATGTCATCAGGCAGAAACAGATTCGTCGTGATCGGCGAGAGTACCAATGGTAACGCCTTCTTCGGCTCATACGGTGCCTTCTCGTCGTTCACGGCGGCCGGAGAGTTAGTTGGAGACGACATAAGACGAAATTGCAGCCGTTGGTTTTCAAGATTTCTATTGGTAGAACAAATCTACACGGTGTTTGCAGAGATAAATCCCCGATTCTTTACCAATTCCTTTATTTCAATACATTGGAATTGTGACTTTTCCTACACAAACAAAAAAATCATATAAAAAGAAAATGTTGGAGCAGTCGTCGGAGAAGACTCGCTAAACTTAAAAAAATAAAAAGACTCAACTCATTCAAGAGCTAAAGATGCGCGTTTATTTCTTTATTTACACAAGTTTGACCAGGTCAAGATGAAAAGCACTAAACTAAACCAGACAAAACTAATAACAAAAAAAAAAAAAAAAAGTATTTTTGTAATAAAGTTGTTAACGTGGGCTCCTTTGTCGGGATGAATAATAAAAGACTTTGCTGTCCAGTGCAGGAGCAAAACTTGATTATTGTTTTTGTCGAATGAAAAAGAGTTTAGGCCTTTTTAAAATTAATGGCCCAACCCGAAATGGGTATTTAGGCCTGGTAATTGTATTTGTGTTGTTTCCACATGTTTCAAAATTGATTTTAAGGATTTCGTTTCCATGTAGGTGTTTATTTTCTCGTGGTCGCGACAAGTATGAAGAACTTTACCATCATTTAGGAACAATTATATTTATTCTAAATAGTTAGATTTGGTGTAAATGGTTTTACAGAATATAACATCTGAAGAAATTTAACAATTTTTAATTTATTTAACGTCCAAAAGTAATAAATTATTAACAGTTACCCCTATTATTTTTATTTTTATTTACTGAAGCACCAGTTATCCGAAAATCCTACCCAAATTTTTTTTAAAAAATTTATCCAAAAAACAAATTCTACAAAATTAATAGATTGCAATAATCAAATGCTCTACTTGTAATAGTAAAATTTTATAATAAAGAAAGAAAAAATGACCAAAGAGATGCTTTTAAAGCAATATATTAAAATCAATATTATTATTTTTGGGATCAAATTGTAAATCAAACTACTATCAATACCAACCATTAATATTTTGTAAATTTTACTGTCTAAAAATCAGAAAGAGAAAGCATAAATCTAGGTTGGCCACAAAATATTAATTGGATACTTTTAGTTCTCTCTCCTTTATTTTGACGATAATTTCTCTCTTCTCTATATATATACCAAAAGTTAGACATTTTGAAACTCATCATAATCTTAAAAGTGAAAAGAAACAAAAAAAAAAAAAAACTAAAAAAATGTATAAAGCAGTGTTTTTTCTAATTACTTTGATTGGTCTCTTGTTTGCTGGATCATCAAACACAGCATTAGCCCAAGTAGCCTATGAAACACCAAAAACAGGTAAGCTTATATATATTGTCCATTTTTTGATTTTATAACCTAAATAATAATTTGATCATTAATTAATACATTGTTGTTAATATGGATAGATACAGGAGAGGGGAGGTGGAATGAAAAGCCGATCATCAGAGGGATCAAAAGAGAAGTAAAAGGCAGCGTTTCAAGGCGTGCACCTGACCCACCTACTGGCGTAGGCTCTACCAAACCCTAAAGACGATCATATTCATATAATTATCAAAGCTTCTTATTATTATTATTACTATTATTATGCTGTGACATCGATATATATAGACTATAGAGAATAGCTCAGCCGCCGAATAAAACAACCTCGAGACCACCTTCATCTGTGCAAGTGGTCTCTATACTGAACATTATTATTATTTTAATATAAATAGAATAATTAATTAATTTTAAACAAACATATTCACACAAAAAAAATTATTTTGTTTTAATTCTCACGCATATACACATCATCATCACAACCAAAATCTATAATATGTTTAATTTTGTGTTAAGGGCCAACTAAGTGATATGTCTCTATGCATGCGATCTAATTGATACAGAATTCGATTACAATGGATTATATATGGCTTAGAAAACCAATGGTTGAAGTTCATATATAAACAAAGCTGTATATATGTCGTATACAATTGATTTGAGATCTTATCGTATACGTTTATGTTAAATCGAACTGATCAGCATTATTATTTTCTTGTAAACATCAATCTAGATGTCTCTCTCGCTAAGATCTTTATTATCTCCAAAGACACCATCTTCGTCGTTTTGACCATCTCTTACACGATAATAGTCTGATGACCAGACGATAACTTGGACTACTGGTTTTTCTGAAGAACAGAAAATACATCAAAAGAGTTTGGGACGTACGACTTTTTCTTTGTCAGAGAAAACTTATTCTATAAATACATATTCTCACCAAATGAAACTAAATATATTTTTTCAACGTCAAATACAAATTGAAAAAAAAAAGAAAAAAAAAATCATATATAATAAACGATGTGTTCGTTGTAAAACTCATTACTTTAAACAAAACCAAAATGTATCACCGCTTGGTTTGGTTCGTTGCTTTGATTATTTTATTGTTCGTTGGATCATCGAACATCGCCTCCGCTCGGATTCCATACCAGTACTCCGTGACAAGTAAGTTGCTAGTTATTTATAAACTTTTTTCATCTCGCAAACCAAATTAACGTTATTTATTCCTTATTAATATATATTAACAGTAAAGATTCATGAATTTCATTTCGAACAAGAGTGCATGTTAAAAAAATATAATTTTGACGCATGTTTTCTGCATATTGGAAGATCATAAAGTACTCGTATGGCTCTTAAAAATGATAATTTAAAATATTTTAAAGTTACTGATCTGGTCGTTAATTTGTACGAGAAGAAAAAGAAAAGGGGGTTTGGGAAAAAATGATGATCAGAGATATCAAGATTGACGTTGGAGGAAGTGATTCAAAACAGGCACGTCAAAAAGATGGACCAGCTCCTCCAGGCACCAAGATGTAGCGACAAATTGACCATCGATATATGGTCTAATTTCTCGGACAATCGAGAAGAGTCCCATTATTTCGATATTCGGGATAATATATATTTAAATAATGAATCCATCCCATTTTAGTTAAAGGAATTATGTCTATGAGTTCATGTTATATATAAATAAACCCCTCCCTCTTCACATATATTATGAAGAAGTGGTTACTCTGAAGAGAGAGAGAGAGAGATAGCTATATACTGTATCATTGAAACAAATTCTTATAATTATCCTAAAATAATATATAACGTACGTCGACGGGCGGCGTTTCCGGGAATTTACATGCACGTTAAAGGAAGTCAAACCATGGAAAAAGTGAATAATTAAACTCTTACAAAGAAAAAGCTAAGTTCGGGTCCATTGTTACCTTCAGGACTCAACATATAAAAAGTCTCCGAATCTTTAGACCCAATAACTCTCTCAAAATAAGCTCTCATATACGCCATTTCGCCGTCGGGTCCTTCCAACTCCGAGTTTCCCGGCAATACTCCGGCTCCCATAGACACCGGACGTAACAGCTCCATCACGTTGAGGTCATCTTCGTTCGCTTCTCGTTTCACACCGTAACCTGTCTTCTCTCCTTTACAATACATTGTCCATAGCGGTTCTTCCAATATATCAGTCTTCTTCTCTGTTTTGTTGTTGTTATCTGACCGAGGTTGCTTCTCAGTCTCGAGAGCGATTCTCACCATTCCCGTGCTTAGCTCTTTTTGAAGCGTTGTGGTCTGCATGGCGAGCTCTACGACTAGAGAAGGTAAGCATTTAGGGCTTTCTTGAATCGAGAAACTTACTCGTCCTTTACGGTATCCGAACAACGTCCCGGTGATTCTTGACGTGTTGTGGTGCGGATCCGGTAAGCCTAAGCCGGGATGCATAACCGGGATTTTGCATGCTACGGATGGTGTTGTAAAGATTGGGAAAGAGCGAAACACGGTGCGTAACACTCGGAAAACGTTTGTTTTGGTTTTCTTCTTTTTCGAAGACGGTGGCTCGAGGAGAATATGTGGACGTGACGGAGTGGTCGGTGTAGCAGGAGAAGGAGGGATTGAGGAGGAGGAGGAAGAAGAGGAAGAAGAAGAAGTTGTAGCCATTGGATTTGATGATTTTACCATTAGACGACGATCGTACGGCGAAGAAAGAAGGAAGAAATCTTTCTTCGACGACCGACGACGACTAATGAACCAACGTCGTCCTTGTACAAAATGTAGCCTTTGTGTTTTTTCTTAGCTCTCTCTTTCTTCCTCCTCCTTTGTGAATTGCTTTTTTTTTTTCTCCTACCAATCTTTATCCTTGAATTTGTTTTCTTTCTTCTTGTCTAAATTTCGTTTTTGTTAATTTCCTTTTTAAGAAAAAGTTGATTAGAGATTTCAACGGTTGGTCGTGATCAGGTGAAAATCTAAGCTAAATTTGCAAACAACAATGTATTTTAACATATAAATATAATGCTTTCTTGCAATGCACAATGGTAGGATGTAGCAAGCATTATGAAATTATTTGCAGCTAAATATATTTAATGAAGCCAATAATACAACAGGATCCGTGGCGCAATGGTAGCGCGTCTGACTCCAGATCAGAAGGTTGCGTGTTCGATTCACGTCGGGTTCAAAATCCCGAAGATTTGATCCTTAATTTTTTTGTTTTGCTGTATTTACATAAACGACCCAGTAACTTTCCTTTTTCCCTGAATGTTCCCTCAATTTTGTTTATGTATCTGTAAAACCCTTATCCTCATTAAAGGATTCGGAAAAGATCCAAATATCCAATCCTCGTACTCTCTCAGTCAACCAGAAAAATGTCCATAGATTACTTGTTGACATCATCGCCATCGTCACTGAGATTCTCCGACTTCATCCCTTCGTTTCCCCAAGAAAGCGACCAAAAATGGCTTCGTTTCTCATTAAAACTCGGCGATGCGAGGAGGCCGACGAAGACGAGGATAACCTGCGGTGCGATTTCGTCAAGGAGGAAACTTGCTGAGAGGGAGAGCGCGGAGAGAGAGAATAGAGTTCTTGTTCGGAGCCTGATGTCGAGGATCAGTGACAGAGAGCCATTGGTGAAGACGCTTGACAAATATGTGAAGGTCGTAAGATGTGAGCACTGTTTTATACTCTTTGAAGAGCTTGGGAAAAGCGATAAGTGGCTCCTATGCCTTGAGGTTTTGCTTCTTCTTCTTCTTTCTATGTTCTTCTTTTTCTGGGTATCCTTAATTTGGAGTTTCAGCTTCTGTGTGTTGAAAAACATTTGAATTGTTTTTGTAATTCGTTTAGCTCAATGATGGATTCGTAGACTGTGTCATGAAACCATGCTGTTACTTCATAGTCTGTTGAAATTGTGTAGTTTTGAATTTCAGTGCTCATGGGTAGATTCATAAGCTGTGTTTTGTGTCCAGTGACAACTCTTTAGTATGAAAGGTTCTGCGAGGAGATGAGGTGGTGATTTCATTAGAGAATAGGAACCATGTTAATTTCTTAACTTGATGATGATTCTTCACTAGGTGTTCAGGTGGATGCAGAAGCAGAGGTGGTATATCGCAGATAATGGAGTCTACTCGAAATTGATATCCGTAATGGGCAAAAAAGGTCAAACTAGGATGGCAATGTGGCTGTTTTCCGAGATGAAAAACAGTGGTTGTCGTCCTGATGCTTCTGTTTACAACGCTCTCATAACGGCTCATCTTCATACACGAGATAAGGCAAAAGCTTTGGAGAAAGTTTGTGGATACTTTGACAAAATGAAAGGGATGGAACGGTGCCAACCCAATGTTGTGACTTATAATATCCTCTTGAGGGCTTTTGCTCAATCCGGTAAAGTGGACCAAGTTAATGCTTTGTTTAAAGACTTGGATATGAGTCCAGTTTCTCCAGACGTTTACACCTTTAACGGTGTTATGGATGCGTATGGGAAAAACGGGATGATTAAGGAGATGGAATCTGTGCTTACTCGTATGAGGAGTCATGAGTGTAAGCCAGACATCATTACCTTCAATTTGCTTATTGACTCGTATGGTAAGAAGCAAGAGTTTGAGAAGATGGAGCAGACTTTCAAGAGTTTAATGCGGTCCAAGGAGAAGCCAACTCTGCCTACATTCAATTCAATGATTATAAATTACGGGAAAGCTCGTCTGATAGAGAAGGCAGAATGGGTTTTCAAGAAGATGAATGATATGAACTACGTGCCGAGTTTTATCACATATGAGTGCATGATCATGATGTACGGCTACTGTGGCTCTGTTTCCAGAGCTAGGGAAATATTTGAGGAAGTTGTTGAATCAGAGAGGGTGTTAAAGGCGTCAACACTCAATTCCATGCTTGAAGTGTATTGTCTTAATGGTCTTCACATGGAAGCAGATAAGCTTTTCCATAACGCAAGTGCTTTTCGGGTTCATCCAGATGCATCGACTTATAAGCTTCTATATAAAGCATTTACCAAGGCAGATATGAAGGAGCATGTCCAAATACTGATGAAGAAAATGGAGAAAGATGGGATTGTACCTAATAAGAGGTTCTTCTTGGAAGCCCTTGAAGTTTTTGGGTCAAGACTACCTGGTTCCAATTCTGAAAACAGGAAATCAACTCGTTTAGACAGGCCACGAGACAGACCTAAGGACATGGTGGGAGAATATTGACTGAATTCCAAAATAAAGATGTAACAAAACAAACAAACTCTTTGCTGGATGTGAATCTGATTCCGCCAAGTTATCCAGTCCTTTCCCTGAGTCACGGTCAGTGTTCTTCTTTATGTGATACCGGATACCGATCTGGAACTAGGAATATATGTTCCTAATTGGCATTTTGTCATACAACTTCAGAACAAACATTTTTGGAACAACAAAAATTTAAGACCTGTTCAAGATTGCAGAGAAAAACTGCAGATTGGCGAACTTAAGGGGACATAATAAAGTTTCCAGGGATGAATCAAGAAAGCTTAGTCAGGAAGAGCAGCCACTATTTTCTTCAGATCAAGATGATGAAAATAGGAAGATCAAAGAGAAGAAAGAACTATTCACTAGTCTTGTAAAGAATTGGTAAACTGTAACTAAAAAGTTTCATACATTTACAAACAAAACATTATTGTTGTGTTTTGATCCAAAGACTTAAATTACCATAGTATGCGGAAGAACACACATAACAATTACACATAGCATCTTTGGAATCTGAGTAGATCCTACAACTATAAGAGTAAACTATCACAATCCAAATGTGTCTGACTCTATGAAGCTCTTCAACTGTTTTCCTCTGCAAAATCAATTGATGCACATAAGAATGTATAATCTGATTGAATTCATTGTAGGGAGCAAGAAAAACGACAGTGATCTAGTAACATACCCTTTATAGCTTCAATGTTGTGGTCTTCTTTGTAGACCCCCAAAGGAGAGCCATGCACAGAGAGCATCATCTCTCCAGGTTTTGGTAGCCTCCGAGTCTTTGGTGTCATTCCAAAAGAGAGTCTTTGCCCATTTACCTGCAAAAGTTACAAGTATCATAGTAGAGTCTCTGCTTGTATATATAAAATCTATCACCAAAATAAACATTACTCATTCTGCAGCAGAAAATTTACTGATAAATTTTGAAACCATGAACTGAATTCTTTCAGTCTGGATCAATGTAAAAACAAAAACTCGAAGGGAAAAGACATGCCAAAGAGCCAAACAAAGAAACCTAGAGTAGGTAGGAAATAATTGCATCAAGAGAGAAATAGGGAAGACAATCATAAAATACATACCCCAGGAGTCTGAAAAGCAGCACTGCTTGCAAGCATAAGGTTCTCAGATGTCCCCTGGAAGACCTAAAAACCAGGGGAAAATATCAAATTAGAGTTTTGTACCGACTGCCCTGAAGTAGCTTTGCATAATTTTGGAAGGCAGAAGAAAAACACATGGTTGGAAAAAAATAATAGAAACATTACTAAAACAAACAAATAAAGGCTGGCTATATACAGTGCAGTACTCAATTGGGTGAAAGCCTGCAAAATTCGATTAAAGCAAGTGACAAATTCACTAAATGTTCCATCTATGCTACAATCCTCAGTTCTAATAGGCATCAGTAAGAAGGAAACCACCAGAAAATGGCAAGAAGACAAAAGATACAAACTTACAAGATTATCAAGCTGCGGGTTATCAGTTCCTAACAGGCTTGCTTTCACTGCCACCAAAGACAAGTCAAAGTTTCATACCAAAACAAAATACTCAAAATTCCATTCAGCATAAGCAACCTACCGTTATCAGGTAAATCATAGCCACCAAGAGATGGCCTAGTACTGTATAAATCAGGGAAACCCATTGACAAGCGTTTAAGAATAGAATAATTCATGTCATTCCCCACCAACGGATCACTATTTTCGTCTTTCCAGTTTAACTCAATCTCCCCAGTCTCTTCGTTTCTCGAGATTGACAAATCCGGAAGGTTCTCTTTAAAGAAGTCTAACACAGGAGTGCCGAGCTGTTCCTCAGTAAAATACGAACGGAGCAACCTCAACGCAGTTAGAGTTTGTTCAATCTCAACATCACGGACTGCTCTAATCGCAGCGATTTGTCTTTCAACTACGCAAAAAAAAAAAAAATGTTTACCCAGAAAAAAAAAAATCAGATCCAAGAGATCATTAAAACCCCTAAATTCGTAAGTGGGTTATTAAAGAAAGAAAAATTCGAGATACCTTCTTCGTCGACGAATTCTTCTTTCTTCTCTTCTCTTGTAATTCGCTTGCTGTTGTCATCCTTCTTATCTTCTTCAGTGAGTTTGACACACTCCTTTGCTTTTCGCTTCGGCATTTCTTCAAGACAACTAGAGGCTCAATTTGATTCGACGAACAATTTCTAAATCGCAATCCGAAAAAAAAAAAATTTGAACAATTTGAAATTCGAGAAAGAAATTCGAAACCCTAGAAAAAAAATCCCCAAAAATGAAAAATCAAAAGCTTTTGAATAGTAAACGGGCGGGAATTACTAGACTATTATGTTATCCTTTGGCAGATCTATCGCACTATTGAAAATACGGATATGCCCCCTGATTGTAATAATGTCCAATGGGCTCAATAGTGTTAGGATCCTCACATAACATTCCAAAAAGAGGCCCACATGGTTTTCACAAGTGTGTGGTGAGGAAAAAATAAGAAAAGAATAAAAAATTATAAAGTTGTCTTTTTTTGTGGTCCACGAGGCTATGAGGGACAAAAGCATGATGAAGATGAGCACTTGTTTAATTGACCAATGAACAAATTAGGATTTGTTTTTTTTAATAAAAGTTTGAGCAGCAGCACTCAGATTCCCACGAGTTTACTTGAAATATAATCAAAATTTAATAAAGTCTTTTCTTAGTTATTTAGGCAAAAGAAAAAAAGAACTAGAATTGAGATCTTAACTAAACTAGTTTCGATAGAGTCCAAATTTTTGCAAATGTTAATTGAGTTTGTAATGAAACGATCTAGATCAATAGCCAACCAGCATGAGCGTGAGCCAACTTTTTATCCATTGAATAAGTGTACTTCAACGTGTTCAAGATAGATATAATAGTATTCCCCTATCTATAACTATAGTTTAAAGTCTTTTGAAACTAATACACAGAGAGATTTGATTAATTAATGACTTGGCGTTGGCGGCGACTTTGGTATATGCTTATATATCTTTCATAATGTATACTCAATAGTCAATACAAACCTTGGCGCAGAGTGAACTTTCTATAGAATTTTATCTGAACAATCTCTCTTCTCGCCAAGAACGAGACATCGCTATAAACTACGGTAAGTTATTTCAAGCTTTGGCTCAAAGAACAAGAAGTATAAAAGTGTGTGTCGTTTGTTGTTTTCTTGGGAATCAAATTCAAGTTTTGAGCTCTTTTTTCCTTTTTGTTGTTGTGTGGTCATCAAAGACAGTAACATAAAAGTCTTCGATGGCTTTGAGTTTTTGCGTATACGCGTGAGACTAAACTTTTTCAAAAAGTTCGCAGTCAAAGCTCTGTTTTCAGACTTTTTTTGGTTGAAACTTCGACGATTCTTCGAATTTTATCGTTTCAACGAAGGAAATATCTGTTTTTTTTTAAAACGTTGAAAGATCAGAAACGCCCGAATCTTTGGTTTTGATTATCCTAGGCATCAATCGTAGCAATGTCGTTGGTTCGAACAGCAACGATCGTTCTTCTTATAATCTTGTTTCTTCAAAACACTGAGGCGGCTCAAAAAAGACAGCAAAGTATCGTTAAGTCTCGCGGTACGGTTGCCACTGACGATGGACGGTGTTCTGTAATCGGGATGAGTGTTCTTCGCCAAGGAGGAAACGCGATTGACGCGTCGGTCGCTGCTGCTCTTTGTTTGGGCGTTGTCAGTCCCGCCTCTAGCGGTATAGGCGGTGGAGCGTTTACAGTGGTTAAAATCGCTGGTGGGAGAGAGATTGCTTATGATTCTAGAGAAACCGCTCCTCTAAGCGCCACTGAGGTAATAACGCGTTTTACTTATAGTTAATATGCGTTTTCTGATCATATATGCGTTTTCGTTAAAAGTTTTTGAATTATTGAACGATCTTTGTCTCCTTGCTCTTTGTGTAGAAGGGGTAGTAGTAATAGTGTTTCTGAGCTATTAAATAGCGTTTTAATTATACGTTTTAACATGGTTTGCATTTAAATAAGCGTTTTGAACGTGGTCTTGTGCTTAAATAGCGTATTCCTTGCATGTCTTCGAGTCAAAGACACTGATGGGTTGTTTCTCTTGATGCAGAACATGTATGGAGGTAATCCTGAGCTAAAGAAGAAAGGAGCCTTATCTGTAGGCGTTCCCGGGGAAGTCGCAGGTCTATTCACGGCTTGGAAACAACATGGAAAGCTACCGTGGAAGCAGCTAGTGACTCCTGCAGAGAAACTTGCAGAAGGATTCAAGATTTCAAAATATCTCTATATGCAGATGAACGCGACAAGAAGCGACATCTTAGCAGACAAAGGTCTCTCTGAGCTATTTGTTTCAAATGGACAGCTCAAGAAACCAGGGACTATTTGCCGTAACCCAAAATTAGCTTTTACACTGAGGCAAATTGGGGAGTACGGTCCAAAGGCATTTTACAATGGCACGGTTGGTGTTAACCTAGCAAGGGATATACGTAAATCTGGAGGGATAATAACTTTGAAAGATCTGCAAAGTTACAGAGTTAAGGTTAAGGAGCCTCTGTCCGCAGACATTCTTGGATACCGACTTCTCGGTATGCCTCCGCCTTCATCCGGTGGTGCTGCAATGATGCTTGTAAGTCTCTCTATTTCTTTTTGCGGCAGTTTGACATCTTATCAAACCAAGGTGTACTTCAGGTGTTTACAGAGTTTCTTATATTTGTTGTAGGTTCTGAACATTCTTGCTCAATATGGGATTCCATCGGGTGTTTCAGGCCCTCTTGGTGTTCATCGACTAATAGAGGCTCTGAAACACGCATTCGCAGTTAGAATGAACCTCGGTGATCCAGATTTCTCCGATATTACCAATGTTGTTTCAGATATGTTGTCTCCAAAGTTTGCACAAGACTTGAAGAGTAAGATAAACGACCAAAAGACCTTTGATACTAAATATTACGGCGGCAAGTAAGTTTTAATATATGTTCAAACTCACATTTTCCTTCTCAACTTCTTGATTTGAATATTGATCCTTCTTTCTCCAACTGGTAGGTGGAACCAGATCAACGACCACGGGACAAGTCATTTATCGATCATAGATCACGAGAGGAATGCTGTATCGATGACTAGTACAATAAATGGTTACTTTGGGGCAGTGATGCTATCTCCGAGCACAGGAATCGTTCTGAACAACGAAATGGACGATTTCTCAATCCCGATTAAATCTAACGGTAACTTAGATGTTCCACCACCAGCGCCAGCTAACTTCATCCGTCCAGGAAAACGACCTTTGTCCTCTATGTCACCCACCATTGTACTCAAGGTAAGGAAACAAAAAAACAATTACTTGTGCTGTACGAAACTCTAATCTAAAATATAGTTTCCTCCGATTCTTTTTACGTAGGACGGTAAAGTGAAAGCCGCGGTGGGTGCGAGCGGAGGAGCCAACATCATTGCTGGGACAACGGAAGTTTACTTGAATCATTTTTTCCTCAAGATGGATCCTCTTTCTTCCGTCTTAGCTCCGAGAATCTACCATCAGGTTTGTTTCATTTCTTTTTCTTTTACCCAAACTAGAAACTTACCACCTTGTTCTGTGCTTGACAACTGAACAGAGTTTCTATTGGTAATGTCATTTTCAGCTGATACCAAACAGAGTTTCCTATGAGAATTGGACCACAGTATTCAATGATCATTTCGAGATCCCTAAAGCGACAAGAGTTGTGTTGGAGAAGAAAGGTCATGTCCTATCTCCCGTCGCCGGAGGGACGATTGTTCAGTTCATAGTTCAAGAATCCGGTGCGAACTCCGGCCGAGTGAGTGAGCTTGTGGCAGTAAGTGATCCTAGAAAAGGAGGGTTCCCTTCAGGATATTGAGATCGATACTGAAATTTTTTATTTCCCCATTTGTTTTATGGTGCTCATTGCATGGAGCGCTTTGTGATGAATATTAATCTTTTTATTGTATATTTAAAATTTAATTATACTATCAAAACTCCAACCATATAAAATAATTAAATTGGGCGAATCTATTTATCATACACAGGGGTGCAATACTACTTTAAGCTAAGTACTTTGTTTCAATTTGGATTTAATTTGACAAATAAAATTTAGCTAAATTAAATGAAAATAAAATATAGATGTAAATTTGGAAAATCAGTTGATGACACTAACAACTTGAACAGGGGAAAGAAAAATATTAATTGGGACGAATTGATTTTTTATCTTGTAAAATTTTGGTAGTATCTCAACTTTTTGGATACTTAATTAAATTACTAAACTTTAGGTCAACATCTAAAGAACATTTAAAACATTTGACCAAAAAGAAATGGGAAATTAAAACTTTTGGAAAGGGTTTTAATGTTTTATTATACTCATAATTTACCTTCCACGAAAAGCTCAGAAGAGGCTTTGACCGCCGAGTCTTATTTATACCCATCTGGACAAACTCTGGTCTCTAAGGACGAAACAGGACGAGACATTCTAAAAAAGTCTGGTTGGTTTCTCCATCGACTGTAGCAATGTCGCTCGTTCAAGCTATAACGATCGCTCTTCTTATAATGGCGTTTCTGCAAAACACTGCGGCCACTCAGAAAAGACAGCAAAGTATTGTTACGTACCAGGGTGCCGTTGCGACTGACGATGGACGGTGTTCTGACATCGGGACGAATGTTCTTCGTCAAGGAGGAAACGCGATTGATGCGTCGGTGGCTGCTGCTCTTTGTTTGGGCGTTGTCAGTCCCGCCTCTAGCGGTATGGGCGGTGGAGCGTTTGCGGTGGTTAAGATAGCTAACGGGAAGGAAATAGCTTATGATTCTAGAGAGACCGCTCCTCTAAGCGCCACTGAGGTAACGCGTTTTAGTAATTTTTTTTTTTTTTGCTTTTCCCTCTTATATATCAAAGTGCATTATTTATTGGTTGTTTCGTTCGATGTAGAATATGTATGGTGGTAATCCTGAGAAAAAGAAGAAAGGAGCCTTATCAGTAGGCGTTCCCGGGGAAGTCGCAGGTCTATTCACGGCTTGGAAAGAGCATGGGAAGCTACCGTGGAAGCAGCTAGTGGCTCCCGCAGAGAAACTTGCAGCTGAAGGATTCAAGATTTCAAAATATCTCTATATGCAGATGAACGCGACCAGAATCGATATCTTAGCAGACAAAGGTCTTTCTGAGCTATTTGCTTCAAACGGAGAGCTCAAGAAACCAGGGACTATCTGCCGTAACCCAAAATTGGCTTTTACACTTAGCCAAATCGGTGAATACGGTCCAAAAGCGTTTTACAATGGCACGGTTGGAGTTAACCTAGTGAGTGATATACAAAAATCTGGTGGGATAATAACTATGAAAGATTTGCAGAATTATAAAGTTAAGGTTAATGAACCATTATCTGCGGAGATTCTTGGTCACCGACTTCTCAGTATGCCTCCTCCTTCATCCGGAGGCGCTGCAATGATGCTTGTAAGTCCTTTTTTTTTTTTCTTCTTGCAAGAAATTTCACATTTCATGAAACCTAGGTTTATCTTTTGGGAGTTTCTTGTGTTGCAGATTTTGAATATTCTTGCTCAATATGGTGTTCCATCGGGTGTTTCGGGACCCCTTGGTGTTCATCGACTAGTGGAGGCTCTCAAACATGCATTCGCGGTTAGAATGAACCTCGGGGATCCAGATTTCGTCCCCAATGTTGCTAAGGTTGTTTCAGATATGTTATCTCCACAGTTTGCTCAAAACTTGAAGAGCAAGATAAACGACCAGAAAACCTTTAACCCTAATTATTACGGTGGCAAGTAAGTATTTTCAATGAGTTATAGACGACAATTTTCGTTTTCTTTGGTTATGTATTTATCAAAATTTTGGTTCTACAATTCGTAGATGGAGTCAGATCAAGGATCATGGCACAAGCCATTTATCGATAATTGATTCGGAGAGAAATGTTGTTTCAATGACTAGTACGATTAACGGATATTTTGGTGCACTGATGTTGTCTCCGAGCACCGGAATCGTTCTAAACAACGAAATGGATGATTTCTCGATGCCGATGAAATCCGGAGGTGACCCAGATGTGCCGCCACCAGCACCGGCTAACTTCATCCGTCCCGGAAAGCGACCTTTGTCCTCTATGACTCCCACCATTGTATTCAAGGCATGAAAAAAAACCCTAGTTCTTGTAGTACAAGTAACTCTGCATTTGGGTTCTATCTAAGCGATGGTTTTGTTTTTTTGTTCTGTGTGTTGGTTTACACAGGATGGTAAAGTGAAAGCCGCACTGGGTGCGAGTGGAGGAATGTACATCATCGCCGGTACAACAGAAGTTTTCTTGAATCATTTCTTCCTCAACATGGACCCTCTCTCTTCAGTCGTGGCTCCGAGAATATACCACCAGGTTTTTGTTGCATGCCCTTCTTTTTCCTTCTACCCAAAATGAGATACTTTCTTGGTCTTCGATCTTAACCAAAGTACCATCATTTACAGCTTATTCCGAACAAAGCTTCGTATGAGAACTGGACGACAGTGTATAATGGCCATTTCGAGATCCCAAAAGAGACAAGACTGGTGCTGGAGAAGAAAGGTCATGTCCTGACGCCAATCTCCGGAGGGACGATTTCTCAGTTCATAGTGGTTCAAGAATCAGATAAAAGTTCCGGTGGAAGGAGTAAGCTTGTGGCAGTGAGCGATCCAAGAAAAGGAGGCTTCCCTTCAGGATTTTAATTACTATTGCATCGACCTGTGATATGATTATTGTCGTTTCTTATTAATCATTGAATAAAAAAATAATAAATACATTGATCCTAATCATATGCATTGGTTATTATTGGATGACAGCTCTATTAGCAACATATGATTTGATGATGACACATTTTATTTTTTCGTTTATGAACTCATAAACATTATAGACAACGGTTGCACGCACTAATAACGGCACCTACCCACTCACATCAAAGTTTTTTCATATAAATCCCGAAAAGTTAAAATAAAGAATTTTCGAGGATAATATTGGATACTCCGCCTCTAGTCAGTGACACGTCACAAGGATAATTGGTGATTTGTCATATTAGCTCACATGGAATCTCTTTTCCCAAGATTCTTAATGACACGTCATCTTTGGATTCTATAATATTCTACTATTAATAACAAGTACTACACTATTAATCTTTAACCACAGTTGATATATAAAATTATAAACACATTCACTGTGTGATTTGCTGCTCAGTTTGTCATTATTTCTCTAATCATCGTTTCGTACGAATATGGCGATACAGTATCAACTCCTGAAGAGAGCCATAGATAGATTTACGAGTTCTTCCAGTATTCATCATCGCCGTGCTATTTCCTTACTCCGTGCTGATTTCTCCACTTCCGATGCTCCGCCGCAGATTCCGCCGTTCGATCACCAGCCGCGGCCGTATAATGGTCCTTCCGCCGATGAAGTTTTCCAGAAACGGAAGAAGTTTCTCGGACCTTCTCTTTTCCACTTCTACCAAAAGCCTGTACGTTCATCCTGAGATTTTCCTCTCTTTTTTTCTCCCCTCTCTCTCGTTGATTTAATGTATACTGTTGATATCGAATTGATATTTGATTTGTTGGTTTTGGCGATCGCTATTGAGATCAGTACGCAATCGGATAAGTTATGATCATTTGTTAAGGTTCCGCTTGTTTTGATTTGTGGGATTTGATTAACTTAACTCTGCCTGTGTATCCGCTGATGCAGCCAGAGTCATCTGAGTTCATTTCTTCAGCCTTATCCATGCTGTGACATTTGGATCTGAACTGATTTATATCTTCCTGTTGTCTTGCAGCTTAACATTGTTGAAGGGAAGATGCAATACTTGTTTGATGAGAGTGGTAGGCGATATCTGGATGCATTTGCTGGAATTGTCACTGTCTCATGCGGTCACTGCCATCCCGATATTCTAAATGCTATTATGGAACAAAGCAAGCTACTTCAGCACGCCACGACCATTTACCTGCATCATGCCATTGGCGATTTCGCTGAAGCGTTAGCTGCCAAGATGCCTGGAAATCTAAAGGTACTTGAGATTTATTGTGATAAGTCTGAAGCAACTCGAGAACGATGATCTAGTTAGGTTTCTGCTGTTGGTTTTTCGAGAATTCAAAAAGCTTCACAATTCGGATGCAGGTTGTGTACTTTGTTAATTCTGGCTCTGAAGCTAATGAGCTAGCAATGATGATGGCTAGGCTTTACACCGGTAGCCTTGAGATGATTTCGTTGAGAAATGCTTATCATGGTGGAAGTTCCAATACCATTGGACTAACAGCTCTTAACACATGGAAGTACCCATTACCACAGGTTTGTCCCAAAATATTCATTTCCAGAAAAAGTCTAATTGATTCCTTATAGTTCACGCGCGCAGAAAATAGAGATATGGCCTCTAACATTGAATTTAGAGTCTCTGCGCTTGAGTGACCATATTGTTTTCTGAAATTTCAAGCAGATACTTTACTTCTCCTTTACGTCTTAGACCCATCAGAATCAAAGTCTCTGCAATGTAGTTCTCTGCGATAGTGTGTCTTTAACATTAGTTTGCCAATTATTTTATTGTGCAGGGTGAAATTCATCACGTTGTAAATCCAGATCCATACCGTGGAGTATTTGGCTCTGATGGTTCTCTTTATGCTAAAGATGTCCAAGACCACATCGAGTATGGTACCTCTGGAAAAGTAGCTGGATTTATCGCAGAGACTATCCAGGTTTTTGTTTGAATAAACCATCAAGTGAAATTTAGTGTCTTTATTTATTTACCACTCACTTGAGCAAAATTTCACCATGCCATTTTCATTTTTCACTTCAGGGGGTTGGAGGAGCTGTAGAATTGGCTCCTGGTTATTTAAAGTCGGTTTATGAAATTGTGCGCAACGCTGGTGGTGTATGCATTGCTGATGAAGTCCAGACTGGATTTGGCCGAACAGGAAGTCATTATTGGGGTTTCCAGACTCAAGATGTGGTTCCTGACATAGTCACTATGGCAAAGGTTTGTCAAAGGAAGTTGTTGTCATTTACTCTGTGCTTACCATTTGCACTGTTATCCTATCTTTGACGAACATATATTGTTATTTAGTTAAACAAGCAGAGGTAGTCTACTAATAACTGGCATGGGTCTTATTCACAGGGAATTGGAAATGGATTGCCATTAGGAGCGGTGGTGACTACACCAGAAATTGCGAGTGTTTTAGCTAGCAAAATTCTGTTCAACACATTTGGTGGAAACCCGGTTTGTTCAGCTGGTGGACTTGCTGTTCTAAACGTTATTGATAAGGAGAAACGCCAAGCACATTGTGCTGACGTTGGCTCACACCTTATTCAACGTTTGAAAGATCTGCAGAAAAGACATGATAGTAAGTACCAAAAAGAATGTTTGAATATTGTTTTCTTTCATCAGATCATTAATCAGTTTTTACTTGCAACCGCTTCTGGTTTGGTTTCAGTCATTGGAGATGTGAGAGGAAGAGGACTAATGGTTGGGATCGAGCTTGTGAGTGACCAGAAAAACAAGACACCAGCAAAGGCTGAAACAGCTGTCTTGTTTGAGCAACTCAGAGGTAAACAACACTAAAGCCAAATGAATCATTTTTGTACAGGTATATTAGATCATGAATTGGTTAACCAAAATGTTTTTTTACTTGCTCTCTATGAAGAACTTGGCATTCTCGTTGGAAAAGGGGGACTCCATGGGAACGTTTTCAGGATAAAGCCACCGATGTGTTTCACTAAAGACGATGCAGGTAAAATCTCGCATTTTATGTATTTACTTCAAATAATTGTTTGTTTTCATACAAGAGGTATATATAATGAATTGTATTTTGTAAATCCACAGATTTCTTGGTAGATGCATTGGATTATTCCATCTCCAGGTTGTGAGGAAGGATGAAACAAAGCGAATAAGGAGGATATGATCGCTAATCTTATAAAAAAACCATCTGAACTTTTGTGTACACAAAAAAAAATAAAATTGTATTCATTTCTTGTACTTTTCAGTAATGACTAATGACCAAATTTGCTGGAAATTAGCAAAAGTTCTCTTAAATAGATCAAGAGCAAAATACTGAGAGATTAGACCCATAAACCAATAAAATTTCAATAGCATTTCTATGTCTACAAAATTTCAACAAACTCGAATCATTTACTATAGCTTAGCATTCAAGATATAAGATTGATAAACGTCTACAACCTATAAGGACATTCTCAAGATATTATCTAAGATATTAGTATTGAACTATAGTTATTAATAATTTATCACCGTATAAGAATTAGTGCATTAAGTAGAAATTTTTATGTTGTTGTAAAATGTGCTATAATGACATATACACTATTTGTAAGTTTTAAACTAGTATTGAATTATTGAGTTATCAATATTTTATTCACAACTAACCATTTATTTTCTTCATTGTGTACTTGTGAGTCCTTGTAACTAACTAGCCCACTTAAAATTCTGCTTTAGATCACGCAAAATCCGAATATCCCAATCATATTTCTTTGCGTGATAACAAATAACTTTCATTTAAAAACGAATTCATAACAATTAAAAACACGTGTACAAGATAATTTATGACAGATAATTCCGAATCTAAATTTTAATAACTTGTAATTTTTTTACTTAAAAGCACGCAAAATACAAATCCTATTTCTTTCTCAGCAAGCATTTTATAGCCACTAATTAATGACTCTTTATATATAGTTAAAAAATCCCCATAATGATGGAGACCCGTAAATATTGCGAAAAGTCATATACACGTTCCAGAACAAAAAGTCGCAAAGTCTTGTTACGTTTCTTTTCTTTCAGAAACACAACACGTCTTTACCCAATTTCTTCGTAAATAAGGTTCTCTGCTTGACCCATCACAATCACAATCTCCTAGAGAATTTTCAAGAAAGTCCAGCAATCGTGGCGAAGCTATATAAGAAAGACGAGGAGAGAAATAAAGCAATGGAAGAAGAAGAAGAAGAAGAAGAAGAAAGAGAGGAAGAGGAAGACATGTTCGAAGACGCCACGTGTACCGGTTCTTACGGCCCAGCCAGAGTCAACACCCCTTTGTCCGTAATCACCGAGGCCTTCGAAGATCTCGCGGATCTTCTGAAACCTCAAAGATCTGAGATCACCAAAGAAGATGAAGATGGATTGAGGGTTGAAGATTTTTGTAGTGCATGTAGTCATGTCCCTGTCCTCTTCAATTGCCTCGGATTTGCTTTCAAATTCGCGGAGATGGAGTACGTCGCCAAGGTTAAGGATCTGGTCGAGGCGTCCAAAACGTTCGACACGTTACACAACATTCTTGACCTAGACGTGGAGAACGAAACGGTCAAAACACCGGGAAGCCATTCTCGTAACCTAAGACGCGTTAGACAAGGCTTAGATCTGATCCGAGCCATCTTTGAACAGTTCTTGATCGCAGATGACTATTCGTTGAAAGACGCTGCGACAACAGCTTACACGGAAGTATGCGCACCGTTTCATACATGGGCCGTGAGAACCGCGGTTTACGCCGGGATGTATACACTTCCCACGAGGGATCAACTTCTGTTACGGCTCAATGAAACAGATCAATCTGTTGAGAAGAACATGAGGAGGTACATGGAAGCATCGCGACCTATCATAGAGTATATTGACAAGCTTTTCATTCAAAGGAACATTAAACTCGATTGGTAAAAGTCAAATTTTTGTTCTACATCGAGTAATTTTAAGACAAAAACAGTTTTGTCGTTGTAAATTATTATTATTATTATTTCTCATTAACTTTGGTTTTTTTTTTTAATTAAAAATTGGAGCTTTTCTATGAGGCCTCCCCAAAAAAAATTGTTTGTCACCGTATGTAACGTGTTGAGCAAATTAAAACTTAAAACGAAAAAAGCATATTCTCTAGTTTTAATTTCATGAGCTTCTTATTCGTGATTCTGATTTTCTCATCTCCCATTTCCAATATCTTGGTTGATACAACGTTTATTTACTATTATGAAGTAAAGTTCATATCAACACTTTCATCACTTACCTAAAGTCAAATACTCAAAGGTAAAGTCAAATACTCAAATGTGCAACTGTAACTCACGTCCGCTATTAGATATTTACCAGTTAATATATATCAGTGTCAAGAAATAGACATTAAAGTCTGGGTGGTGTAGTCGGTTATCACGCTAGTCTCACACACTAGAGGTCCCCGGTTCGAACCCGGGCTCAGACATTCTGTTTTTTGGTTTTTTTTTTTTTTTTGTGATTCTGTAAATATCGTTTTTATACTTATCTTGGTAAACGATATTGGTGAGAAGACGGCGTCTACCTAGAGAGGTTGAAAGAGCCGAACAAAATTTTCTAGGGTTTGTTTATAACGTAGCGACGATGATACTATGATAAACCTTCCTATATTTCCCCACGAATAAGTCCTTTAGTTTTCTTGAATGATACTAGCTAGGTGAAAAAAAAATCACACATTTATTTACATGTTAAGAAGTGTTTTAATCCTCCCTCCCTCTGCCGCAGCCGACTCCTACAAACAAAATTATCGTTCGAGGATTGTTTTTGGTAATTTTGACTGCACCATCGTAACACGATTAATAAGGAGCTATCTCAACAAAGAGAAAACGATTATACACATTTCTGTATATACTAAAGAGATTAAAAGGTATATCTCGACGATTTATGCTAGACTATGTACTATATATATTTACACTCATAAAACACATGTTCACTACGTTGGTTGAGTAACTTGAGTTCCATTGATAATGATATTGATTCCCGGCTTGTTTACTTAATAATCATCAACGCTAAACACTCTATTTAGGTTTTTTTGATTGCGTAACTATTTGTTTCCTTGACAACTTTGCTTGATTTTGCTAAGCAAATCTGTAAAATATGTAAGACATCAAGAGATCCAATAAGAAAGAAAGAAAGAAGAGTGTGATTAGGTCTATGGATTGGCTTTTAGGGACAAGTATGAGACAAATTGCCCCCTAATCACACTTTTTATTGGCTCCAAACTAATTGCTATATTTTACAAGTACAAATCTAACAAATTTTTTTGATGATGACCTTAACAAAATTTATTGAATTCTTAATTCTAAACATAACAGCATATTGACGAGTCACGAGTGGGTTATTTAATGAAGTAGATTTCGAGAGTGGAGTGGCAAGTATTGTCCACTATCAAACATACTAAAATCGGTCCACTAAATTCCATTGAGTCGGTAAATTAATGCATTGATCAACAACACCAAATGTAGAACTACACGTATTATAAAAACCCAACCAAATATATATATGTTGGTGAATAAGGTGCGTGTGTCCATCCTTAAACATCTCAACTTTAATTTTTGTTTTGGTTCTGATTATATCAATTTATCAAAAATACTTAACTAACATCCCCTTTTTAGCTTTGAGCTCTAGCATGGATTTTTAATATAATATCATCATTATCGCTCTAATCACTAAGTTTTATCCTGTGTCCATATATATTGGATTATTTATCGATTCATAGCCCGTGGGTATGTGTTAAGTTCCACCGCAAGTCATTTTGAAATATATAAGACAATGAGTTCCCATAAAATTGTTGCTGACTCGCTTCCATTGTATAATTTAATCAGTCAAAATATACAATTTACTAATGAGAGTACTAGTGGAAGAAAGTCAAAAAGTTAGTCGAAGTCCAAAATAATTATTAATTTTATGTAAATTTTGACTTTTGTTATGAAACAGATTATATGTAAACTTTGACTTGCTTAAAAAAACAAATATACAAATATTCGTGTAAATGATATGTTTAGTGAACTATTAATTTTTCTTTATCAGAAATTGTAGTTTCTGACTCAAATATTGGGGTATGATATATGGTATTTACACATGCAAGTATAATCTAGAGACATCATATTTTTTAAGCTCTAAAACGTTTCTAACATTCTATTTGAATGGAGAAAATACTTATTATCTTTGAAGAGAAAGGAAGATATATAATGTTGTTATTTGCATGTAGTAGCTTTGGAAGCTATAGTTTAATTGAATCAAAGCCCTCTTGTTGGTAGCCTTTTCTAACTACTTAAATATTTCTTTCTTCTTCTCTTGTTGTGTTTGATCAAAGCAATTTTTTTTTGTTATCTACTATAAAACAATGTACATGTCAGTGGTTGAACCACACCAGATAAGATATACATATCTATACTACTCTATTTTATCATTAATTTTTAAACTATTCTATCATTTCATCATTTATTAAGATTTTAAAACTTTTAACAATGTCTAGCGTTTCATCATTTTATTTTGTTGAATTCTTCATACCTTAGGTATATTTATTTTATATATCAGAGATCAATCTTATGTCGACAAACCTTAAATATGTTTTGCCATATATAACCTATGGGCTGCGTAATACCATTCATTTAAATATCTAATCTACGAGCCGCCCTCGAAGTAAAAGCTACGCCATTCAGATGTTGCCAAATACATAACATGCTAATATTAATATTTTTTCGTATTTTGTCACTATTATCTTTTTGGTATATATTTTTTCTTAAAGGTGTATATATTTTATGTATCTAAAATTACAGAGATGACTAGAGCACCATGCAAAGATAAAATCATATTTTATTGGCAACGACGTGAATGGATTGGACCATAGTTTTATGCCGCTGGTTTAAGAGCCGCCCTCATAGCGAAAGCCACAAATTAGATGAAACCTCCCTTCTTATTAATTACTTTTATTGAATTATTATTATTATCAACTATAGGTTAATTTGCGGAAGAAGCCACTCCACAAATTAACGATCGTATAAGACATGAAGCAATTATAGTTTTTAAGTAGTTGATGCATAACAGTCTCACTCACGATTAAAAAACATTATCATATATCTTAATTCATAGGCTAAGCTTTGTAAGAAAACAAGTTTCCTATAGCTATCTTCATGCATCAAGATCAGATACACAATTCATACATTCCATCTAATCATATGCCAAATGTAAAAAAAAAAAAAATTAATTAGATTTTTCTTAATTGGCTTCTAGAAATGAAAGACAGATTTTTGGCCAGATTAATTTAAACCTAAGTAAAGGATTTAGAGTAATTTGAATCATTACCTGTTATAGAAGTAGAGTAAATATGACACTGATCTCAAGCAATACAATCAAACACTAGTTATGGCTATTAATCGGTATAACTAGTTTTTAAATTGTTACAACTTTTCAACTTTGTATGTTATATTTCAATTTTTCATGAGATCTTTTCTTACCTAATCGATTAGAGTCCTCATTCTACTTTTTGTCTACATGCAGTATCATGAAAACTATGGACCTATTTTCTCATATATAAAAATTAAAAGAGAAAATAATATAATAAGGGCAATGAAATCGTAGAAACCCCTGTATAAATAGGGACTCTTGGACAAACCCAAATCTTCACTTGAAAAATATTGACTACATTCTTACAACAATTATTTCGTTAATTAACACTTAAGAAGAAATGTTGTCCATGGCAGCAGCTTACGCACACCTACAGCTCATACAGAAGAATCAGAAGGAAGAGATAAAAAAGAGAGAAAAGATGAGAAACTCCGGCGACGATGCAGCTCATCATCTCCTCCCCGCCAAAACGTCGTCTGCCTCCGGAAAAATTTCTAATAAAATATATCCTTCTCGTTTATCTTATGAACAAGTAGAGGCCAAGTCACGAAAGTGAAATCATAAAGTCATGAAATGCTTGGAAGATTATTCAAAGATTTCTCTCTCAAGTACTTATGTATGTGTGATGTGTCTAAAATGTATCTTGGTCGTGTTTATAGTTTTGTGAAAGTGTACTATTTGAGTGTTCTTAGGTGTTTTGTTATCAAGTGTTCGACGATTATTCGGAACCCTGTTTTACTAGTACATACAAGTTCCATCAACACATTTTTCTAAGGTATCTATACTTCAAAGTTCAAACCTAAACAAAGTAAGATACATATCTCTCAATATGTGAAGTGCATATCACTAAGAACAAAATCGAAGTAAATTGCCTTCCGGTTCGGGAAAAAAATGGTATTTATATCTCGTACACGTTCAAGCAAATCCGAACAAATCATATGTATGTGAATCGATTCATTCGTTTAAGACTTGTAATTTGGTGATATTGGATTATTCATATAAAGGTAAAAGAAAAATGGTGAAGAAGAGGTCCACAACACACAGTACCAAGCAACTCTGTTCGGTCATCAAAGGTTCAAACCAAAGTCTACTAAACATAAGAAGAGTCTTCTCCTGCGTTCTACAGTAAAAATAACAAACCAAACTCAACAAAGTTCTCAACTCTTGTCCGCACTGAGCTAAATTCCTAACAGCCTGCTACGAAAATAATGACCTCAAATCCCCCAAACCAGGCAATATCACTTGTTATTCTTAGCTGCAAGTTTGGCTGCAACTTGCTCCTCTGACAAGGGCAAGTAATATATCCTAGGGATTGCTTTTGTCTTCTTGAAAAGATCATCAAGAGTGACAATGGGAGGTTCCTGTTCTTCAGGGGCTAGAGCAGGAGGTGGAGGAAGACGTTCTGCGACCGGAGGTGGTTTGGTCAGAGGTGGTGGTGGTGGTGGAAGAGCAGTTGGAGGTGGCCGGGAAGCAGCCTGGGCCTGTGTCTGATGTTGAGGTTGAGGAGGAGGAGGCAGGGGAGCTTCCAGTTTTGCTTTCACTTCTTCTGGTCCAACAAATTCAGCTGTCAGAAAGCGGCCTCCATTAGGTGGCCACTGCAGGTTATACACGGCTTGTCTTGTTGCTGCAGCTTCTTCAACAGAGGAATACTGCATTCACGTCACAACTCACTCATGTTACAAGAAATTCTTTAGATATTTAGATAATTGAAATGAAGGGAACAAATGCCATGACATTTTTTGTAAATCAAAAGGATTGAAGAAGCGGTCTTACTGTTACATAGCAATGGGTCTTAATGTGGTCCATCCAGAAACTAGTGACGTTTCCAGTTTTACCCAGAAGCTCCTGAACAGCTTTCAATGTGAACGGCCTTAGGAAACGATCAATCCTGAGGGAATTTGTAGGCTCCTTGGGAGATGGAGGAACTGCCAATAAATATTGAACACATCTATCAAACAATGTTATTAGACAATGAATAAGAGATGGAAACATACATAGAGGATTCGGGGGGCTGATTACATACCCACACGTTCCTTGGGTCCATCCTCACTAACCGAAGAGTCAGATCTTGAGAAGTCGCGCTTCAGACCAGTCGACCTTGGTGTTGTAGTGGGTGCAGCGCTATTATTGGCCTGTGCTTCAGGAATTTTAATACTCTCAGAGTTCCATCGGCGTCTCTTTGCAGGCTCATTGTTTCCAACAGCTTCTTGATCTACAATGAGGTAGAATAAAGACGTGTCATCATATGCAGCTTGAATTTCAACAGAGATGCTTCAAAAACCAACAGATACAAGAAGTAGCCGTACACACAAAGATGAAACAACTATTAAACACTAGCTAGCGATATATGCCTCAAACACCAACACCATAAAAGTTAACACAACAAACAAAATGATTAATAAACAAACAAATGAATATGTGAAGCCTTACCATTAGCAGGAAGCTTTCTCTTGTCAGAAGCCACCAGTGGATGGTTTTTATTTTCAGTGGCTTTCCCTTTCCCAGCATCCATATCAGCACGGGTTTCCTCCTTAGAAAGCATTTCAATTTTCTCACTCTTATCATCAGATGTAACTGACTCGGTTTGCTTTGTCTCTGGCTCATCCTCCATAGACTCATCACCAGAACTTCTATCTAAATTCAACTTTTCTGAGTCGCCTGCATCGATAATATTATTATCTTTGGTCATATCTGTGTTTGCAGCATTGCTGTCATCTCCACCTCCAACAGATATCTTCTGCTCAAGTGGCGCCTCAACATCCATTGGATGCAATTCGGCAGCGACTTTTGATGGTTCTTGAGACTTATTAACATTTTGTTCTAATTTGACATTATCAGCAATTTTGTTATCCTTTAGTTCTATTTTTTCATTATTTGACACAGAATCAGTAGAAATACAATCAGATTTTACCTCAAACCCTGTAACGGGGATGACCTCAGATACCTGGTTGTACATAGCAGAATTTTCAAGCACTGCCTCTGTTGGTTGAGCCTTAGAACCCCCACCATCCAACCCACTAAATGGATCACTCGCTGAACTACCAAGACCAGCTATGTCTCCACTAAATGGTTGAGAGTTGTGAATAATATGCTCACTCGCTGAACTACCAAGACCAGCTATGTCTCCTCTAACATCATCAACTTTTTCATCTTCGTGACTAGCGAATTGCACTGTGTTAACCTCTGGTTCTGAAAACACCGGGGGTGGTGTTGTCTCAACCGCAGCTGAAGCTTCAGTTGTTGTCTTTGTCTCAGTTGGTTCTGGGGGCTTCTCAGCTGTAACTGGAGTTGTCTCATTGCTGAATGCCGCTGCAAATGGAGCAACAGGAGTGGTTTGCTTACGATCTGGTGTAATGTTGCCTCCAGTAAAGGAAAACATCTGAGCCTCTTGATTGGCTTTCTCGGCAGCAGCAACAGCAGCACTGTTGATTCTCTCAGACTCTTCTTGTTCAAGACGAAGGGCTTCATCTAGACGCCTAACCAATTCCTCCTTCAAGCCTCTTGTTGTTAGCCTCCTTCGTTTAAGCTCTTCTTTCAATTCCGTAACCTTCCACTTATCAATTGGTCGGTTGTCCAAGATTGGAAAAGGTGATGACGACATCTTAGCTTATGAGATGATTCTGAATAAAAAAAATTGGAGAAATTAGTTTCACTCATCGCAGTGGACAACTGTTTCTCAAAATCCAAATTAGCCAACAAAAAACAAAACAACGCAACAAATCTATAATTAAAAATAGAGCTTGAATCTTTAACAAACCCAATGCAAAAGAGATAAAAAAAAATTAAAGATGACTTACACCAATATGGCTTCAAACTTCCTCTGATTCGTGAAACCCTAAATTCGCAGGACATGAAGAATGACAATTAGAGAGACTTCTGAACACAAGACGATAACTACGAAAGATTGAAAATTTCCCGAATCAAATCAATTCTTGAATACCAGATATCAATTGCTTAACACAAGAAAAAAAAAAAGAAGAAGATAAACGCAAACCTTAAAGAAAATGAAATCCAGAAGCAATGGAACGGAGAGAGAGTAACCTATAGTGATGAATTCTAAAAGAGACTGAAAGACAAAGCGGACATTGGAGAAATCTCTATCCCGCCATCAAAAATTTTAATTTGGGAAATTGGGGAAAGAGGAGGCGAATTCTAGGGTTCTTGTTCGTCGGGTGTTTAATGGGGAAAAACTCGAGGACCTGAAGCCAAGGGGCTTGTATGATAAATACCACCATTATATATGAAATGTCGAAATTACCCTCGCTACTAAAGTACTCTTATACGCCGTCGTTTAACGCTAAACGCTTTCGGGAATTCCAGAAATTGTTTTTTACTCTCACCGGGAAAGGCTTCCGAGTTCCGAGTCTGCTTCTCTCCGTCGAGCGTAAGATTCTTCACCCTATCGTTACGCGTTTCCTTCACGAGAAGAGCTACGGCGATAATGCTGCGGAAGTATGTTTCCTGAACCCTAGACAACTATCTTAATCTGCGATTATATTCCGTGGTGATGATATTGTTTTGGATTCTCTTGTTCGCTCCATCAAATTTTGCGTAGCTTTTTGGGTTGATTTCTCTAAATTGAGAGCTATTTGTGACTTTGACCAGCTTGATTTGTTTTGAAGAATCTGATCGAATGTGATTGTGATGTTCCTCTTTTTGTTAAGGTCTGTTCTCGAGCTGTCTTCGCGTTTGTCAACCAAGAGATTCCCGAGCAATTTGGTAGCTCAGGTGAGTATGTATTTTAGTTGGTGATATTCTTAGTTGGTACCATCTTTTGTGAGCATTCTCTTGATCTGATTTTTTGTTGTTATGTTATGTTTTGCATCAGAGGTTTCATTTGAGTTCTTCTAGAAATGCATCCACTTCTGGTAAAAATGGTCTCCCTGGAGCTAAACCCGTTGGGAAACCAGATGCCTCAAAAGTTGATCCCCCGAAAGTGACTCCTCCTTTGGGGAAACCGAATAACTCTAAAGGTAATTCTTCCAAAGTGGTTATAGGAGGTGTTGCAGTCGTTGGTGCTTTTCTAGTAGCGTATCAGACTGGGTATTTGGATCAATATCTGGGGAAAGAACAGCAGAAGTTAAGTGAGCGAGTCCACTCTGATGCTGTTACTGAAAAACTGGATGAGGCTCATCATCTTAATGTACCTTCCCATGTTGAAGATTCTACTGAAAAGGATGGTAAAGTCGAATCACAACCTCAAGTTACTCATTCTGAAGCTTCTGGGGGAATGCAGATTGACGAAGTGCAACCCGAGTCTGATCTATCACCTGAACGTTTTACATATATTTCTTCTAACCAAGAGGAAACGCCTCAAGAAAGTGTCACTGATAGAGCAGATACAAGCTCGCCTACTTCTTCAGATGATAACTCTGTATCTGGCGATTACAGAACTAATTCTGATATGCCCAAGGCAGAAAGTGTGAAGTTGGAAGCGGTGCCAAAACCTGAGGACAGTACTGTTGTTAGTATCCAGTCCAGTTCGGTTCATAGAGAAAGTGAAACAGAATTTGGATCGCCAAAGGATCCTGCCACTGAAGAGGCACCTGAGGTACTATATTTGCCTTAGGTTAACTTGATAAAGCACTACGAATTCAAACAGCAGAAGATAAATGTCTCAGCATTCCCTTCATGGAATTTTTCTTGGCTCGACTTTTTTCTTCGTTGCTCAGAATGCTTGGATGGTGCAAGGGAATAGATCATAGATTTATGTCAATTTATTGTGCTACACCGTTGGAGATAAAAGCATTCCTTTTTTTTGTTCAAATAGCTATTATAAGCATTCCTGAATCAAATTCTGATAGATACCAATTGCTTAGGAAGAAGGGATGTGGGGAACTAAAAATATTTGAATTAGATATATACTATTCTCTAAGGAGAGCTGGAGGTTTTTGTGAAGCCTTTATAAATACTTAGTTTTTCTATGGCCTTTAAAAGTTACGTGGAATTTTCTGAATCTCTAATCAATCGTTCTCTTACAGGATGGCATTGAGCGGGAAGTCCAAATACCAGGTTCGCTCCTTAAAGAATACAATCTAGAAGGCAGCGATACTGAAAGCAATGAATCCCCATTATTTGGGGAGCAAATAACTAAAGAAACTGAGGTTTTAAACTTTATTTTCTTGGCTATGTTTCTTATTGCAGTACCTTGTATTGATTGATAATTTGCAGAAAAATGTGCCTAATCTGGATAGTTTCGTGAATTAGGCGCTTCCTAACTCAGTCGAGGGGATGAAAGATGGTTACATGACTGAGGATGGAAAGTTGGTACTTGATTTTCTGGCTGCCATTCATGCAGCTGAGAAGCAACAGGCCCATGTAGATGCACAAGTTTTTGCTGAAGAATTACGAGCCTTGAAGGTTTCGTAAAAGACGGAATATGTCATATGAAGTATTTGTTGTCCGTAGTATCGTTGTTTATCTAAGAAATTTGAACTAATATACTACTGCCAATTGTTTTGGTTGTACTCAGGAGAAGTACGAAAATGAGTTGAGAGACCTTAGGGCGCGTGAGCTAATGCGTATAGAGGAGGCAGCAATATTGGATAAGGTGCTTTTATATTGTTATTTCTACTTGATTAACTCAGTCCAGGGCATTGCTCGTATGCATCAAATAAACATGCCATTAATATATATTTTGCTCATCTTATAAATATGGGCAATATGATGCGAACTTTTACTGGATTCTTGTAAGTGTCTATTTAATCTCGGTCTCATGTTCCTGGGTAGAGGCATACAACTATATTTAAGTGCCAATGTTGCTTTCAGGAGCTAAAAAGAGAAAGAACAAAAGCAGCAGCTGCCATCAAGGCAATCCAGGAGAGAATGGAAGATAAGCTCAAAACTGAAATTGAACAAAAGGTCTGTACATTGCAAAGAACTCAGAATTAAAGTGTATTACGACTTGGCAAATCATAACCGATAATTTGTATCTACTGTAGGAAACTGAAGCACAGTTGGCTTTGAGTAAAGCTGAAGAATTGGCAAAAGCTGAAATGATTTCGGCAATTGCAAAAGAAAAGGCAACACAAATTGAAAAAATGGCAGAGGCAGATCTTAATGTAAGTAGAGTCGAAATGGTGTACTTCATTTGAACTGTCTAATAGTTTCCACCTCGTGGTATGGAATATTGCTCAGACTGTTTTAAAATCATAATTAGGAAGAAGGTGTAGGAATCCAGATGCACGTGAGCTCTAAACCAAAATTGAAAGTTGTTGCTGCAGTCTGCAGAAAACATGTCATCAAGACAGATAATTTGAGAGGATTGGTTTTGAAACACATAATCCAAGTAGTAAATTCAGGGAACAAAATCTAAGAATTCTATTAAGGAGAATTAATGCATACAAGTTCTGTGATGGGCACATAGCAAAGATGTTGAAAGCGAAATTTATATTCTAATGGAGTTAGTTATGTTTTGCATACTTTGAAGTACTCAAACCCCCATTTTAACTTTGCAACTTACACTAACTTGTGTTACCTATCTCTTTGCAAATAAGCAGAATTCCTGAATGTTAAAGCCCGTCTCTGCACTGTCTTTTAATTTTTGTAGATAAAGGCACTGTGTATGGCATTCTATGCGCGCTCTGAAGAGGCTCGCCAAAGTCATTCAGTTCACAAGCTTGCACTGGTAAGAATCGAATGTATGATTTTGTCATAGGCTCATATTAATGTCATGAAACTCTGCTTTATACCACCTACTAAGTTTGATATATAAAAAATGAAATAAAATTATGATTTTGTAGGGTGCACTTGTGCTGGATGATACACTCTCGAAAGGACTACCAGTCCAAAAAGAAATCAATATGCTTGAGACTTATCTTGAAGGGACTCATAAGGATTCAATCCTAGGCTTGGTGTTATCATCTCTCCCAGAAGAAGCACGAACCAATGGAACAGAGACAGTGCTACAACTGAATCAGAAGGTGAGCCACACAATCTATGTTTTTGTGGCTATAAAAAACTGTTCCAACTCTTTTTCTTACTCCCTTCTCGTTATGTTTTCAGTTTGATACTTTGAAAGGAACACTTAGACACTTCAGTCTCATTCCACCTGGTGGTGGAGGAATCTTAGCACATTCTCTAGCTCATATAGCATCTTGGCTAAAGGTATGCTGATTACAAAACAAAATTCTGCGCTCAAAACTCTGAAGTCTTAACCATAATTCTGTGGGCTTTTTCTTTTTTTAATAAACTAAAACAGTTCAAAGAAGTGGATCAAGCTAATGGAGGCATCGAATCTGTAATTAGAAAGGTAGATAATTACTTGGCGGAAGGGAAACTAGCAGAAGCAGCAGCTACACTAGAAGAGGGTGTTAAAGGTAGTAAAGCAGAGGAGATAGTGGGTGATTGGGTACAACGTGCAAGAAACAGAGCCATTACAGAACAAGCTGTTACTCTTCTCCAGTCTTATGCAACCTGTGTCAGCCTCACTTGAATCCTCCCAGAGCTTCTATTAAGGTACATTGGTCTTTCTTTTTCCTGGAGTTACAATCAATTTGCAGGGAAGTAGTACCAAACCCTCTTTCTTTTTTTTTTTTGTGGTCGAAGGAAGAATTACAACGTTACATTCCAATGTTTATGTCTAAAACACAATGTTTACGAGAGAATTCTTATCTGAGTTAGAAATATTACAGAGGTTTGAATCAAAATAAGACGAATCTCACGAATAATGAGTTTTATTTATTTGTTGGGAATTTGGGATCAGAAATTGTTGGTCCAGTGTTTGTTGTTGATCTGATGATGATTGTTAAGCGGCGGCGCGAAACTTCTTCTCGTCGGTCTCTGGTTAGAATGCTTAAACTTATTTTATTTCAATGTACCCAACGTTGAAAGGTTTTGCTCGACAACTCCAAAAACATTATATAATTTTGTCAGCTAACTTACCACTAATTATTCGAGATCCAATGGAGTCACCTTCATATTCTTATATGTTATAATATAACAAGAATATAAAATTTTGTCAACTAACTTACCACTAATATATAATCTAAACGAGTTTATGAAAAGATTTAAAATATTAGATAGACGAAAGAAACGCAATTGTTTCATTCCAGATAATTGTATGTATATATGTTATTGAATTATCACGTAAAAGTTATCAATTACATGAAAATAATGTTTAGAGACTTGAGTATACATATTGCACCAGCTGACACAGCGAACCTTGAATATGAAACAGCTAAAGTTTGATGAGTGAGGTGGCACAACTCCTCCAATCAGGAGACAGCCTCACACACGCGTATTCCAATCAGCGCCGTACGATATCAGCCACGTATACATTTGAACGCTCGAGATCTCTTCCCCCAAACGTGTGAAGCTGTCTCGTAGTAAGTAAAGTAGTGTGACTTAACCTCCACGATGGTTCTTTCTATTTTTAAAAAATATTTGATCATCGCCTTTATATTCCTCTTGCTACAAATTTTGTATCATTGATCCTAATTAGTTTAATAATGAACCGACTATTATTCTTTTAGATAAATTAGTATGAATGAATTCGTTAATACATGCATGGTTCTCTCTCTCACCTTCTTTCTTACTTCCAAGATTTTAAATCAAAATGTCTAAAGTTATTATTCCATAACTCAATTGTATTCACATGGATTCCCTACAAAGCCTACCCTTCGTGTATATGCTAAGCTAAAATCGTTTACAAATATTTGGTTTTTCAAATTGGTTACAAATACTTTAAGATGATTGAATTTAGTATGATGTTAAAACATTTAATTAGCCCTTTAGTTCCAAACATTTTCTATCAAATACTTTCGTTTCTTACCTAAACCACAAGGTCTTAATTTGGCATATATATTGCTTACAGCCTAAGTTCTTAAAGACCTCTTTTTCTATATTTTTATAAAGTGAGCCAAAATTAGTTTGAGTATATATCAATTGTAAACACATCAACATACTTTTCCTTTCGTACCAATACAATAATATACCCAAAAGTAATATATTTTACTAAAATATCAAATTAAGGCCTATATAAGTCGAGACAACCCAGCTAACAACTCATTGCAAACCGAAACCAAAACAAATATCTATACAAACACACAATAACACATATTGAGAGACAGGTAGAGAAGAAAACCCCAACACTACTAATCTTCTTTATCTCTTAGTTTCTTGATATAAAGAAGACACAAAGTCAAAGATCAAATTAAGAAAAATGGGAGTTGGAGGGACATTAGAATACATATCAGAGCTAATAGGAAACGGAGGAAGCCATAGCTATGGCAAGAGAAAGAAGAAGAAGCAGTTTCAGACAGTCGAGCTCAAAGTTAGAATGGATTGTGATGGTTGTGTCCTCAAAGTCAAAAACTCTCTTTCTTCTCTTAAAGGTAACTAACTTCTTCTTTATATTCAAACTTATCGTCCAATTTTGTGCATATTAGATTTGTTTTCAATTAGCATTAGTTGTACATATGCTTTTGTATTTGATGTTATAATATCAATATGTGACATTTAAAACTACGCTGAAATGAAACATGGTTCATCTTTTCAGGAGTAAAAACAGTGGAGATTAACAAGAAGCAACAGAAGGTGACAGTGAGTGGCTATGCAGATGCGAGCAAGGTACTAAAGAAGGCTAAAGCGACGGGGAAGAAAGCCGAGATATGGCCGTACGTGCCGTACAACTTGGTGGCTCAGCCGTACATAGCTCAGGCTTACGACAAGAAAGCACCTCCTGGTTACGTTAGAAAGGTGGACCCAAACGTTAACACCGGGACGATGGCCGTTTACTACGATGACCCTTCTTATACCTCTTTGTTTAGTGATGATAATCCTAATGCTTGCTCTATTATGTAATTTGTTTGATTAGATAAGAGTAATAAAGGGATATATTATATCCTATATATATGAGGATAATGCATATGTATAAATATGGGGGTTCTTCTAAATTTTGGTGTTTGTTGTCTTTTAGTACATGATTTTGTCTTCTTTTGCATGTGCTTATTGTTGGTGTTAAAGTGAATGTTTATTAATGTTAATAAATGTCTAGTACATCGCCTAAACAAACTGGATAGAATAAGTAATCACTGTTTTTTTTCATCATTGGAATACATAATGGAAACATACATCAAGTCAGGTTTTTATGATTGTTACAAAACAACACTAACAAAGATGAAATTGTTTTAAATTCTCACTTTGTATGAAAGTGATTGAAGAGTAAGAACTTAGAAGCGAACCAAACTATCAGATCATGGACATTTTTTTTGAGGGATCATTTGGTCGCCAGACAACTTTAGGATGAGGCTTTTGCTTCTGGTTTAGGTGTTTCGTCTTTCATCGCCTTTTTTTTGTTAGTTTTTTGGGACCCCAAAATTCCAACTCTTTTCACCAACTCTCTTTCGCTTTTACAGGATAGTACAGATCACATAAAGCTTTAAAAATGTGTATCACTACTACACAGCATACACGGGTCATTCCCTAACATATTTCTATACATTCAACTTGCTCAACATACCAATTTTTGAAGGACTTATTCAACAAATAATTCTTGCTCTTCAGATGTAAACAGAGTAACATTAGCCTCTAAGAACCTTCAGTGCTCTGTATATCAGTTCCTGCACTGTGATTATCCTGAAAAACATATAACATGAAGATTTGTCTTATGTGCTTTCTACATACCAAGAAGGCAAGAACCAAAGTTTTCCACTTTTTAGGCCGTAAGATTCATGGGTTGTTGTGAGGGGACCAAATACAAAGATATGACACCGGTGAACAATCACATTGCGCAACTTTGTTCCAGACTCTGTACATCTTTGTGACACAAGCTGCATCACTTACCTAGACTGAATCTAACCTAACACACGCTTATACACCTATGCAAGTACATAATTTTCCGAGGTCATAACTCAACATACAACTCAAAATATGAGACTTGTGTATAGCAGATGTGTCTTGTTCTTTAACAGCAAGCTAGTCATTAGGTCCATTTATATTATCTATGTTTTAGGTCATAGAAATTATAGTGAATGTCTGACATGAAGATGGTGGAAAGGAATCACCTAGTGATATACATCATATACATAGTTGTTCTTCCTTTACCAAGAGAACTTGGGATTGACCTCATCTCGTATTACTTCCTGGGTAGATCTCAACAAAGTTGATATCATAGAGCAAAGTTGCATTTCCAGGTATGTTACAGTCACCTGCATAAACCCAACACAATACTCAAACCATCACTTGGGATCTCACATTTCTTGTCTTACCATTTTATGTGAGCATGGGGAGGGAGAAGACTACATAAACAAGTAAAATGTTACAAAAGGAACAGTTGAAAGTACCGGAAAAGCATCCTGCAGGCTCTGGTCCATAAGCTAACTTTGGTGGAATCTGAAGTTTACGCTTCCCGCCTACAAAAATATAACCGGTCCGCACCAATATGCTTTCAGCATAATATATAAAGTGAAAGAAGGAAATTACAGTACTTGCCTACTCGCATAGGAGGAACTCCTTCGCCTCCAAGTATCCCTTGGTCTAGACCCCTAATAACCTGATCATTGTGTAGACAAAAAGAGTTAGAAACATTGTTTTGCAATCAAAAAGGTTGGAACTTTTCTTCTAGATCTTATAGTATTCCTGGTTAGATCAAGACATTGCTCATCTAAATGTACAGGTTGCATTCCTCCATTAAACAATCAACAGAATCAGCAAATCCTAATCAGTACATCAAACTAGAAGAGGCAAATCCAACTTACAACTCCCATATAGTCAAAGAAAGAGCCCTTTAAACGTTGCAAGCAAGACGGTCATATGAATTTTGAAGACAATGGATGGAACCTAACAAAGAAACACATTGGAGATAGTTGTACCTTGCCGACCCCAATTCGCATAGTAAGTGGTCTCGCTCGCTTATAGCTACTGTCAAACAACGTTCCATCCGCAAACCTCGCCGTGTAATGGATCTGCCCAACTCCAAAGTCTCAAACTTTAAATCAAAAATCTCACAAGTTTTGGTTAAGCAGAGGAAATCGATTAAAGGAGGGAATTAAGGGAGATGAGTAGCTTACATTGACGAGTACGCCACGAGGGGCTTCATCACCGAATCCAACATCGAGATCGCAAAATCCAAGTCCCGATTTTGCGTAGCTGAATTCGCAGAGAGGATCTCCAACAGTGGCGTAGTACTCAATCCTCGTGGCGTCTGCGTCCAGAGGCGTTAGAGAGAGAATCGAAGCAGCTAAGAGCCCTAAACCCACTCCTAAAACGCGTTTCTTCGCAGAAAGTTTCGGCTCGCAATCAGAGGAAGAAGAACAGAGACACGCGAATGACGACGACGAAGAAGAAGAAGAAGAAGAAGAGATGATTGTAGGAGTAATGGGCCTGAAGGAACGTGTATAGAGAGATTGTGTGAGTGTTAAAGTAGAAATCGCCATTGTTGGCTTTGACGTTTGAGTCTGCTTCTTCTTCTTCTTCCTTATCTGAGTGAAGACAGAGCGTTTGGTCTGAGTTTTTTTGAGAGATGCAACGGCCAAAAAAAAACAACAACAACAATGGATATGACTCTAAGACCCACGTGTATCCTTTTTTAATGTTTAAGATTTTTCCAAACAAAATAATTATATCAATTAAAATAATGATATGAATTTTATTCACATTGAGCCATTGGCATTTTGCTTATATAGTCCAACAAACAATTTTTTACTGCTTTCAGTAATGGCTTTTAATTTGCTGGTTATAATAACGGGATTAAGCAAGTGGTTTAACTAAAGTAATAAACCAATGAAAATTCAATGTTGGATGTTTTAGACTTTTAGTCAAGTCCTTCTTCGACATGCATGATTATATGTAAGACCAAACGGACCATTAATATCAAGATACGTTGAAAGCTGAAATCATAATATTCAAATTCATTCACTGACTCTTCATCTGCAATTTTGAGATTTAAGCCAACACGGTTTTGTATTCAAAAATTATAATAGGATATATTTAAAAAGTCTTTAACATTTTTCATAATTTCGAGCTGTATATATGGCAAATACTGTAGTACTCTATACTTTTTAATGTATTCTTACGTCGTCTCATCATCTTACGGGATAACTCCCAAACGGAGTTAATCCAATATCGTTGCTGCACCAACTTTTGAAACTCTGTAATTGGAGCCAATCGGCCCACAAGGTAGAGAGAAACCCGAATCGAATCAATTTGGATGGCCATACCTAGTGGTTTATCACTGAACTACGTCCATCTGAATATATCAGTGCGACAATAGCTCGATATCATCATGGTCCACCATAACCACCACCATGATAATTAACCATCATCATCAATCATCATTATATATTCCTCTTAAATAGAGATACACATGTATGCATATTGTGGAAGGTGTATAAGTATGTAGTGCATTAGTGGCTCAAGTGTAACTGGTCCGTGGACAGAAAAAAATCAAAATCATTCGAACTTCTGTACACACACATGAACAAGCTAAAGATATCTTCATCAAATCTCATGGTGAAACAAAAAAATAAGGTTATTGTGTTTCTTTCTCTTTTACGAGTAGCAAATTATTAAAAGTCCCTCTAAGAGAAAGATGACATTTCATTATGAAGTGTAATTACTAGCTAGAGAGCAAAGAAAGATATATAAAATTAAGCTGAATAATTTTCTCTATTACATTTAATTAACGAGAAGAAGAAAAAGGCTAAGAATTTTGTAGAGGCATCACATATTAATCATCACTGTTGATTACTACTCTACTACTATCAACATATATACTATATACCCTTTTCCTTTCTGTCTCTTTAACTTGGATTTTTATTTTTCAAATTTCAAATATGTTGGTATTGTATATGGTAAAATGAGAGTCAAGTCAATCAAAATTAACTTTCAATGGAATTAAATACCATAATAAGAACATGACTTAATAATGTAGATGATGCGAAACAAGACATACAAAAAGACTAACCACATGGGACAACAGTAATTTATCAAACTTCAAATCACCACAGCAGAACAATTTTTTTAAAAGCTAGTATATACTACTGCTGTATAAAATATAAATTATATACTATATTCCAGAATCCGGCGGCCGTGGAAGATTCCCCAAATTTCGCCACCATTCACTCCAAATATTAAAATAGGAGAAAATATTAATCGCACTCAACCCAAAACCACATACTGTATAGTTAAGAAATTTCAATTTCAATTTTTGCAAGTAACTGTTATCATAAACATAACGATGAAAAGGTGCTATATGTTATAAGAAATATATAACAAAACTTAATTTAAATGAGATCCTTCTCGTAACAAATACTCACCCCAACATGATACTAAAGACAACAAAAGGATAGATTAATTGCTTAAGTAATAAATAACGAATAACTTCATCATCCTATACGTGCTATGTTTAATTTTCTGAATAATCATGTCAAGAAATTAGCTTTGGTTTCGGACAATAATATATTTTTTAAGTTCTTTGGTCGGAAGATGAACATAACCAAGTACCGTCATTATTGTGATCATGATCGGAACCACCGTAACTTCCATTATCACCGACTATGTTCCCGTTAGCCGCTTCAGTTGTCATCGGAGGATTAGCAGGTGGACTCTGCATCACACCAAGACCAAACTGATCGTGATCATTGCTTCTAGGGTTTGTAATATGAGCTTGGAGAAGAGCCTGTAGATTCATATTCTCGAAAGCGTTGTTAGGGTTTTGATATTGCTGAACCTGTGATCCGGATAAGAGTGGCGACGACGTTGGTATGAGCTTTTGAGCAAAAGGTCGTAACAAGAGATTGTTGTTATTGTAAGAGTTTGGCGAAGAAGAAGACAGGCCGAGGAATGTGTTGAGGCGCGTGGTGTTCACGACGGAGTTGTTGTTGAATAGCGGCGGCGCTGGGATTCCGGTAAACTCTTGAACCATCGCTCTGAAGTTCGACGTGTCCGTCGTTAGAACCGTCGTAGGTGCTCTTCTTGATGCACGTGATCTTTTCTTTGTCTTCTTGGTTACCCCTACGTTGTTAGGAGGAGGATGTGATGACGTGGCGGAGAAGGTCCGGAGGTCGGGTTGAGAAAGCGGGTCGGGCTGTTGGTTTACGGGTAAGAAAGTGTTGTTGTTGTTGAAGTAGGTTTGTGGTATTAGAGAGCTGTGGTTGTTGTTATGGTCGAAATGGAGGAGGTTAAGGTGGTTTTGTTGCGGCGGAGGGAGAGATGACACGTGGTGGTCGAAGAGGGCGGAGATGGAATGATCGGCGGCGCGTGAATCATACTCTTCTTCTCCCCCCACTCCCCCACCACCACCACCGCTTGAAGATTGCATGCTGCTACTATTACCGGACTCCATCTCGCGAGACTAAAAGATTTGGTGAGAGATTGATTCGGATGGGAGATATAGATTGATTACTCGAGTTAAAAGAGAGCTATAGCTTATGCAATGGGGTATTATGGTAAATATAAGACATTTGGTGTGACATGATATTTTTTAAATTATTTTGTTTTTGTGTGAAAGGGAGAAAAAACAGGGAGGGTGAAATCGCATTAAGTGGTTCCACTACCACCATCCACTATTGTCTACTCTATATAATAATATCATATGCATACATGTAACATGTATCTAATAATCTAAGGTCTCGTTTATATTAAATTTATTCGTTTTGGTGATAGTCAAAATTCACTTCTTCTTTTTTTTGGTAGTGATATAGTCTTTTTTTTTTTTTTAAGTTTTGGTAGTGATAGTCAAAATTCACTTTGATTGTATTTGATGGTTCAGCATGCATAATGATTTGTTTTGTTTTTCCACCACTACGGGATGATATGTATACAAATCTTGTATTGTTTTACTTGTTCCTGATACATGTTATGTTACGTTTGATCGTGAGTTGTGCGTGTATATTACTACTGTAAAAGTAAATTATGCGATAGAACGAAAATGAAAAAAGAATTGTATATATCGTCCGCGCACAATAACTTTTCAACCTCTCGTTATTCTCTAAAATGATAAATATAGATTAAAGCGATATATGGGTTGTTCAATTAATTATCTGCTAGTCTCTAACATGATGACATAAGTAGGTCAGTTAATTTGGACCAGATTCCATAATATATATATCACACTTATTAGTAGATGTTATCATATAGTTCCACCGAAAATATATTTTGTTTTTATTGATTCGATTCTCTTTTCAGAGGAGTAATTACGAAATCACAATTTCAAAAAGATGAACATAAGTTCAGAACCATTGATATATGCAGAATTTGATCGATGCTAGGTTCAGGTTTGGTCGGAAAATAAGAATCAATCATATTATATACAGTTTTTATTATTTCTCTAGGAAAATTATTTAAAAAGGTTTATGGGTCCATTAACAAAAAATGCCATAACCCTATTTTAACTTGACCCATACGGCTTAGTTTCGTTTGGTTACCCACACTCATTTACATAAATGTTTGTCCAGTTTTATTATTTCTGAATGATCTAACATTTTTTTGAAATGTGCTCACTAGTCACTAGAATGAATTTTGTAATCATTCTATGACACACTAGAAAAAAAGTAAACGTATAGTAAAAATCAATCCCTAACTTTCGATCAGCCTGATGAGCACGATTGATTAATAATCATATATATTAACTCATGTCCACAATTTTGGAGTTAACATGTAATAATTAACAAGATTAATATAAATTTGCCTTTCTAATTATATTTTGGCCTCCCCCATTGAGAAGATAATAAGATATTGTTCTAAAAAAACTGAAGGAATGTTTATCAAACACGTGTGTGTGTGAGATGAAAGGTATTGATTAATTGAATTTGGATTGGGCGGGACATGATGATCTGATAAAAGTCGCCATAGATGATGATTCTGACATGATCATAACTTCAAAAAATAAAAAAAAATAAAAATGTAAACTATGGTTTATGTATACTATATGGGTTTATGATCAGATGATTTTTTGCAACATAGATATTTGGCTAGGTTTGAAGGTTGAACTTTTCATGGAAAATAAAAGAGAAAATCTATAAATGGGCTTAGTTTATGGCTCCCATATGAAAAATGCACAAAACAGTTATCTGTTATTTTAAAAGCCCAAACACTTTTGAGAAGAGGATGTTTTCAAGACAGAAACGTTGCCGTTGAGTTACAATTTCACTACTGTGTGAAAAACGTTTTTTCGACGATATATCACTCTAACTAAAGTACACTTTTTTTTTAATAATTATATACATATACAGTATAGTATAAATTATGCTTAAGGTAATAATTAAAAATATCTGGCAGAAAATACAACTAAATAAGTTTGGAAAATTATTCTAAACATATTCAAAACCGAAATATTCACGTTTTTCTTGGTCTGTAAGCTGCCAGGGGAGCCATTAAGGGTAGTTTCGTAATCCACTCACCCCTATCCTTACCGACCCGCCGAGTAAACGCCGTATCTGAAAGTCTGAAAAAATGATCTCTCTCAATTCTCTCATCACAACGGTTAAGAATCAGCCACCTCAACAGTACACGCTACTCCGTATAACACATGATTAGCACCCCGTTTGTTAATTCTCAATACTAACCCTTCCATCAGTATTATTCTCATCTATTAATAATAGACCTCCCCAGAAAAAGAAAAAAGAAATCAGAGAAGAAAATAAAATGGCTCGCCGCGACGTTCTCCTCCCTTTCCTCCTCTTTCTTGCCACCGTCTCCGCCGTAGCCTTCGCCGTAAACTTCCTCAATCTCCTATCCTCTCTCTCTTTTAGATTTTGAATTGTTTTTGACTTATTAAATTCCTCTCTGATTATTTAGGAAGATGATCCAGACTGTGTTTACACATTCTACCTCAGAACGGGATCGATCTGGAAAGCAGGAACGGACTCAATCATCAGCGCAAGGATCTACGACAAGTTCGGTGACTACATCGGAATCAAGAACCTACAAGCCTGGGCTGGGTTGATGGGACCTGATTACAATTACTTCGAGAGGGGTAATCTCGACATTTTCAGCGGGAGAGCACCGTGTTTGCCTAGTCCGATCTGCGCCTTGAACCTGACCTCCGACGGCTCAGGTGATCACCATGGCTGGTACGTGAATTACGCTGAGGTAACGACGGCTGGTGTCCACGCACAGTGCTCGACTCAGAACTTTGAGATTGAGCAATGGCTCGCTACTGATACTTCTCCTTATGAGCTCACCGCTGTACGGAACAACTGTCCGGTCTCGCTTAGGGATAGTGTCAGCCGGGTCGGGTCTGAGATCCGGAATAAGCTTTCTTGGGTCGTCTGAGTAATGTGTTTTTGCGATTCATCATGTCATGAGATGAGAGATTTGTCTCTGTATTGTTTGTCTTTATCATCTTGTGATCGAGTGTAATGTGGGCGTTAATGAATAAATTAAACTTCTAGTTATCTTTAAGCGAAAATTTTAATCCATCCGTACATAATTAATCACTGGTTCTTTGAATCATTTGACTTGTCTTGGGTTTAAAGTATATTGTGAAACCAATCAATGGGATATTAAATTGAAAGACTATGACATGATGAACACAAGGACTAAAAAAATTGATTGTATGCACATAGGTGTCCATATTAATACGCGGGATATATCCTTTGGGTACATATGATGCCACGTTTGTATTCATCGCTATAACTAACTGTGTGATATTTATATAATAAGATTGTCCACATTGTACCTATACTTATTTTGTGGGGTCAAAATTACATTATTGATTTTTTATTGTCAAGAATTTATCATTATATTAATGATAAAATTCCAAGGATATACGATTTAATATGAAAGAAAATTATTAAACGAAAAAAAAAAAGCACATTACATTCTTTATAAAATATATTCATATTTTTCTGATAAAATTCCAAGAGATGTTGTGGCTATATTACTGGACTCTTATGTGTGTTTTGGGATTCAAAGTTATTCGAATCGTTTTGTTGAGAGTGAGAGATACGTTGTGGCTACATTACTGGACTCTTGTGTGTTTTGGGATTCAAAGTTTCCTTTTTTCAATTCTTTGTTATTTCCTTCTTCACCTATGTTTCTATGTTGTTTCCTGTTTTCACTGTGCTCTGATCGAAATAAACAATAAAACACATCTTCGCAAAATCGTCTAAATGAAATTCACCAATTGAAGAAAACAATCAAAGAGCATCCTACTCCTGTTTCTCGCTTTTTTAAGTGTTTGGTCAAAATGGGTCATTGTGAAACAACTTCCTTAAGAACCTCTCGTGAGAGCTCATCTGGATTATACTCAACCCCAAAGCATCTCACAACCTCCATCTTCGGATTTAACAAGTACCTATACACAAACGAAAACATCTCAGCATCAAACTTTTATTCGTTTCTTCATTCTGAAAAAACCAAGATTTGATTTATTTGTTTGAGACGATCAACCCCTTACATGTTGTGAGAAGTATCAACAAGATAATCGTCTCCGTCCTCTTGAACTTTCTTGAAGTAGACACGATACTCTTGTGCCATTTGCCTCATTGCACTTGCAGCTCCGGTTAGTCCTAGTATTCTACTATCAAACTCTGCAAAAAGACACAAGCAACAAAGCGTTAGAGGATTTAGAAACTAGCTGTAACACGGGGGCAGAAAGTAAAACCGAAACCTTTCAAGTATGCGTGGAGATGAGAAGGTGTGTCTCGTTGAGGGTCAAGAGTGACAAAGACAGGCAGAATCTTCTGGTTATGTTTAGACTCTGTTCCCATCAAGACAATAATACATCATTTCTAAAAGATGATATGAAAGATCTGGAATTAGTGAAATGGATGGAGCTTTGTTAAAGTGACTCAACCTAGTTTATCAACTGCTTTGGACATCATCTTCAGTTGCTCAGGTCCAACATCCGGGGAAAACGAGTATCCAAAGTAGAGTAGAACCCATTTACCACAAACGTCTTTCTCAGTGACTATCTTGTTGTCAGTGCTCATAAGAGTGAACGGACCTCCGATAATTGGACCTTTGACAGTTGTGTTAGAACCGCATCCACAACCGCTGTTGCGGCTGCTGCTTGCTTGACCTGCAAAATTAGAAACATGAAAGATCTAAGCTTTATCAATCCAGTGTGACAACCACCACCATCAAAGTCTATACAAACCTTTTGGGACTGCTCTTCTCTCATCATTGTAATGAAGAAAGGTGATGAATCCAGTAAATCCAAGCAGAACTGCTGGCTGAAACATGGCATCGAATTGGTATTTTCTCAAAACAAAAGATCCAATTGCAAGAATAAGTGAAAGCAACAAAGGTTTTGAGAAACCATACAACAGCATAACGAACACGAGAACGAGGAGAAGCTGGAGTTCCTCCTCCTATAGGAAACATAGGGTTAGCACCTGGCATTTCATGGCCCTGTCTTGCTGATTTACTGTAACTGAACGATTGAATTCGTTTCGATGGTCCAGACCTAAAAATTAAGTTTTGAAATTGAGATCAATCAACGCCTCGATTAAATCTAATGTCTCAAGAACAAAAATTTCATCAGTATAAAAGCTTCAATTTTGATACTTTAGAAAAGTAAACCCAACAAGAAACACAGTCGCATCAGCATCAAGATTCCAACAAAGAGATCAATATATTTAGCAGATGGAAGTAACAATGAGTTTTATATAAGTAAGATCCCCTGAGAAATTAAGAATAAGGGTTTAAGGAGGGGTTTAAGAATATGACTAACCTTCGGAGAAAAGTAGCCGCACCATATCTGCAGGAAAGAACAAGACGACGACAAGGAAGCATTGAACTAGAGATTCTTCTTCTCTGTTGCGTTGATAAATTTTTTTTTTCTTTTCAATTCTGTAAAAAAAAGCTAATTCCAAGTGAATCGTTTAGACTCATTTCCCGAATTCGTCGTCTTCAGAAAAACCCGTGTCTTTTTCTTGATGAAGAAGAGCCTGAAAGAAAGAAAAAAGTTAATTTTTTTCTTGGTGCCCAAGCTCGTTTCTCCTCCTATGTATTTCGTTTGTGTAAATGTAATAATTATTTATGGTTTGACTCCAATAGTTCTGTTATGTATAAAACATTGGGCTTCCCAGGGCTTTATAATTTACAAAGGCTTTATAATTTACAAAAAGGCTTCTTTTTTTTTTTCTTTTTTTTTGTAAACCTACAAAAAGGCTTCTATATACACAATTTGGGTACTTGTGAATTTTGAAAGCATAGGAAGTGTCCGTTGTAAACTTGTAATAACACCTGTCACATAACTTGTTGCAGTAAAAAGTAAATATGACCGTTGCAATTTGTGAGCACTAAAAAGTAAAAGTAACCGTTGATAGCCCAAATCATATCTGTACTACTAACCAAACTCGTCCAAGCAGAGGAAACAACCAAACCAAGATACTCTGCTTCTTCTTCTTCTTATTTACTCTTCTTGTTTGAAAAACGAGAACCAAACACAGCACAAATCTAAATCCTTTCATCTTTTTATTTTGTAATAAAGCATGTTCTCTTCTCGAAAAAGAGAGAATCATCAATCATAAGATCCGACATTGAAGTAAAGCAAGCCGTGAGTTCATTTTCATCATCTCAGTTTCGTGGTTGTTGAATTATTTCTCCCCCATCCGTTCTCTCTCTTGAGCCAACCAAGAATGGTTTATTATCTTCAGTCCGGCGGCGAAGGAGGATACTATGATCGGAACAGAATGGGATTTGGAACCAGTGAAAGCGACGAGTAGCTAACAAGGTTTCCACGACATTAATCAGCAGACTTCACAAATAGAATCATTCACCTCAGTCCACGATGAAGATAAATAATGCCACAGTGTTTCAATGTTTCGTCGATGAACAACAAGGTTTTGTTACTTTTTCTTCAATTTCTTTTTCTTGATTTTTTTTATTTCTTTCTTATAAGCTTCCATTCTTTTTTCCTTTACTAACGGGGAAAAATACTGTATCGGTCCATTTTTTTCTCTCATATTTTTCTGTTACTGTTTCGTCTAAGTGGTGGATCTCGCGAGGCAACTGCAAGACGGTGGGCTTACGTGCGTCCGGCTTTGGTCGTGGGCTTTCCTGTGTGGGCCTCTTCACTACTCTTAAGTCCAACCCAGGTATTACTTTCTTCGTTTCCTTTTTTAAAATAAATGAAATAAACGTTTTTCTATATAAAACATAAAAAATAGTTTAAATTGTTAAATTTTAATACGTTGAGAACAAAACGAGCTTATACATCCAGTCCTTGGGATTTCCTTTGGTCCGTCAGTTTGATGTTATAAGTTTAACATGTTTTCACGTAAAACAAATTTAACATTTGAACTAATTTTTCTATATAAAACATAAAAAATAGTTTAAATTGTTAAATTTTAATACGTCGAGAACAAACCGAGCTTATACATCCAGTCCTTGGGATTTCCTTTGGTCCGTCAGTTTGGTGTTATAAGTTCAACATGTTTTCACGTAAAACAAATTTAACATTTGAACTAATTTTTCTATATAAAACATAAAAAATAGTTTAAATTGTTAAATTTTAATACGTCGAGAAGAAACCGAACTTATACATCCAGTCCTTGGGATTTCCTTTGGTCCGTTAGTTTGGTGTTATAAGTTCAACATGTTTTCACGTAAAACAAATTTAACATTTGAACTAATTTTTCTATACAGAACTAATTTTTCTATACAAAACATAAAAATTAGTTTAAATTGTTAAATTTTAATACGTTGAGAACAAACCGAGCTTATACATCCAGTCCTTGGGATTTTCTTTGGTCCGTCAGTTTGGTGTTATAAGTTCAACTTGTTTTCACGTAAAACAATTTAACATATGAACTAATTTTTATATAATTTTTTAATAGTTTATATTGTTAAATTTTAAAACGCGAGAACAAACCGAGCTTATACGTCTTTAGTATTTTCTTTGGTTTGTCAATTTGGTGTTATAAGGACTAGACGTATATTAAAAAAAATTCAATATAATTTCTTCAACTATATTTATTTTAAAACTAACATAAATTAAATAAACGTTTTTCTATATAAAACTTAAAAAATAGTCTAAATTGTTAAATTTTTCTAGGTCTCGTCCTTCAAATTTCCTTTGGTTAGTGAGACTATTATCATTCTAAGTATTATACGTGGTTGAAACAAAATAGAAAGAATAATAAACAGATTTATTGAGTTGGTAAAAAATGCAAGAAAAATCCGGTCCAAAAGACCAACTAAAGTTACGCAAACAAACGACAGCCAAGTACTGCCACACTCTCCATGCAAAAACTCGCATTTCCTCTCTCTCTCTCTCTCTCTCTCTCTCTCTCTCTCTCTCTACACTCCCTCCGCCACCACACGTTTTATTCTCACCATTATTCCGATGGAGGAGCCACGGCTACCTCCGACTAACAATGAGAACAATACCACTGATCCTCCTTCTACGTGTCATCGCCCCACCGGCAGCCTCCCTCAACTCCCTTCATCTCCCTCCCAAGTTTCTTCACCTCCACAGCATTTACGTAATCATTCTTTGAATCTTTCCACACACTTATCATCTTCCTCTCCTCCTCCTCCTGATCCAATCCCAGAGATCGAGACTTACGTTGTGCAGGTACCAAGGGATCAGGTTTACTGGACACCTCCTCCAGATAATGCAAAGATCGTCGAAAGACGTAGGAATAGCGAGCAAGGGAAAAATAATAAAAGATTCTGTTCTAAACGATGCATGTGGTTATTCATCTCTGTGGTCGTCATCGGACTCATCATCTGCGCGATCGCACTCATCGTTGGTTTTGTATTCAAGCCGGAACCTCCTGTTTTCAATGTTAATAAGCTCGAGAGATCTCGCCATTTCGAGATCATGCTGACATCAAAGAACCCAACCTCCACCATGTGGGTGACCTACAAAGGTCTTGTCTCCCTTATGTACAAAAACAAGAACCTCGGCCAAGGGAATTTCCCGGAGCTGTCACTAGCCGTGTCTGGATCCCATACGGTCAACCTAGAGCTAGAAGGGTCCAAGAACGCGGCTGTGCTGCCGCCTGAAGTGGTTAGTTTGGTATTGACGATGGGGCTCAATGCCGGATTTGGCACGGGATTGGTGAAACGGGACAAGGAAGTGGTAGTGACATGTGATATTAAGGTCAAAGGATTATTAAATGATGCTCATAACGTCGAGATTGTGTCGGAGAGTTGTGAGAGTCAGTTCACTAAATAAACCTAGAATTCACACTCAAAATATTATGTTCTGTCTTTTATTATAGGTAAATTAGCGAGCTTTATCACTTCTCATGTAAGTTTGTTCTCCTCCGATTGTCAGCATATGCTTTTCTTGTCTTTTGGTTTAACTTTTACATGTTAATAATGCCTGTTGCTGAGGAAGAGAGAATGAAAAAAGAAAGAGAGGAGCGTGAACACGGAAGGTTGATAAGTTAATTTTAATTATGTAGAGGACTGGATTTGATTAAGAGAGGTCGAAGGTGTTTTTAATGCATGTTTGTTCGTCTAGGTAATCATAAATCTTTAATTTTCTGGCTTTTTTGTTTGTTAGATAGTACTACAATTTTTAACGCTTTTGTTATACTTGTACTATTAACAGTTTTCTATTTATTGAAAGAAATAGGTAAGTTTGAACGCCTTAAAAAGTCGTCTCTCGTCTTCTCTTACGGTTCTCTTTCACTGTTTTTCTTTTTTTTTCTTCTAAAATGGTCGAGTAAATTACCTAAAATAAATAGAGGGGTTTTTTTCAATTAAGTAAAACAAAAACCTTGGTTAAATATAAAATCCATAGTCAAAAAGACTCAAAACAAAATCTTCATATGTTTTTATTTTAAATACAGTATACAGTATTATGTTTATAAGTCTGTGTTGGAAAAAAGCCCTAATCATGTTTTAACCTAATGATTTATACACGGGTAGAAGTAGTGGCGGCTGCGGCGAACAAGTTGGAACCACCACTGAAAAAGAGGAAAACGGATCAACCTCCTCCATCGTTTTTGTCGCTCCCTGATGTACTCATCCTAAACTGCTTATCCCGTGTATCTAAATCGTACTACCCTAAACTCTCATTAGTCTCCAAGACCTTTCGTTCTCTCATCCTATCCCTTGATCTCAACCACGCTCGATTCCATCACAAAACACAAGAATCCTTCTTCCATGTCTGCTTGGAGTTACCAGGTCGTCTTATTCCCTCTTGGTACACACTTTGGATTAAACCTGAAGACAAGAAGAAGACTACATTGGTACAAGTACCCTCTTCCTATGCTGTTAATGAAGCATTGTTTATAGTTCATGTTGGTTTAGATGTCTATGCATTCAGACAAAGCCATCCTCCATCTCGCACCGTGTTGGTTCGTAACAAGGATTGCTGCTTATGGCGTCTTGCCCCCAATATGATCGTAGCTCGAGCGAATCCCATTGCGTGCGTCTTAAATGAGAAAATATACGTAATGGGAGGTCTAACGGCAGATGAATCTGGGAGTTGGGGTGAGGTTTTCAATACAAAGACTCAGACTTGGGAACCTTTACCTGATCCTCCCCAAGAGCTCCGCTTTTCTTCGGTGATTAGGAAAATATCGCTTATCAAAGAGATTTTTTTCATTCGTAGCAATGATATCAAGGACTCGGTTTACAATCCCAAACTAGGTAAATGGGTTGCTGCAGCGAAAACAACAATTGTGGGTGACAGTAGGTGTAGTGTGAACAATGTTTTGTACTCTTTTCGTCCAAAGAGTTGCTTATGGTACGACACTGAATGTAATAATTGGATACCGGTCAAGGGTCTGTCTTCGCTGCATCGGAGTGCTCGTACTGGTTTGATTGAAACATTTAACTACAACGGTAAACTTTTAATCTTATGGGACAAGCCTACCAAGCCTCGCCATCGTATTTGCGAAGACAGGAATATTTTCTGCGCCCTGATTGCCTTTGAAAAGCGCAAGAATGGTCACGTCTGGGGAAAGGTTGAGAGGTCTAGTGTTGTGCTTACCGTTCCTAGTTCATACCGTTTCTTGCGTTATACAGTGATACGGAATTGATGTCATATCATTTGTCTGTCGAGAATAAGACTTCTTAGGTTTAACTATTGAAACACTCCGTTGTTTCAAAACAAGTTAAGTACATTCTAGCTGATATTGTCACCAAAGTTATGCGATGGATTGTAAGGCTTTTACTTAACCTTTATATTATAAATGCTTTGGCATGAAAAACTATGCTACATGTGTGTGTGAGTGTGTGTGATCGTGTGTTGATTCTAGAATCAGGTGTCGTAATTGTTTCTTAACAATCACTATAAAACTCATTTCAATATTCGATCATAGGTCGTTGATTGTTTACAGAAGGTGTTGTGGCTGAATATTTTTTTAGATCGATAGATATTTCCTTTGAATTAAAAGAAAAACAACGATTATTTTAAAGAAATTGATATTCAATTGATTTAACATCTCATCTGAAGAAAATGTAGAACAATTGGGTTTTTAACTTGTACACAATTACGATCTAATATTGAAATAACAGACACCAATGTCTTTCTTTTTTATTTTCTGAATCCAAGATAGGCCGATGGATCCATATGGGCCGTGTTTTTTTAATTAATAAATTTAAATTCAGTTATTATGTTGTAATATTAATTATTAACAAGATCAATGAGGAATACAATCTAATTCACAGAAATTAAAAAGGGTATAGTTACGGAATTTATTATTTTTCCAAACGGGGACGATTATTTAGATATTTTACTAAATCAAGGGGTTAGTTTTTAATTAATAATAATACAAAAGGTATATACATATGTACATGGTGGTTTTATAAAAGACCTACTCGTGTCTGGTTTAAGGATGAAGAAGTCCAAAGTAGAACCACCTCAAACAAAACCTCCGTCTCGAGGCTGGTTCGCTAATTCATGTTTAACCCTAATTTTGTTTTAAGAAAACCCTAATATCTGCCCCCACGCTATGGATTCCGAAGTGGAACCACCGCAGAAAAAGAAGAAAACATCAGACTCATCTCTGTCGTTTTTGTCACTTCCTGATGAAATCGTTGTAAGCTGTTTAGCCCACATACCCAAATCGTATTACCCGGTACTCTCCCTAGTCTGCAAGAGCTTCTGCTCTCACATCTTATCCTGGGAGCTCTACGTGGAGCGGTTTTAAATTCGGACACGTGAAGACGTCCTTCACGTCTGCTTACAGTTGCCCAATTATGTTCTTCCCTCATGGTTTAGTCTCTGGATAAAACCTAATCAAACCCTGACCAACGACATAGGGAAGAAGAAAAAGTCCACCAGGAACGCTTTGTTGGTGCCAGTACCTTCTTCATATACTCCTCGTGTACTAATGTTCGTCGGTGAGATTGGCTCGGAGTTATACGCTATCAGCAAACATTATACTCCGTCCTCTGTCATGTGGGTTTGTAATAAGAGTAGTACATACGCCTGGCGTAAAGCCCCTTGCATGACGGTAGCTCGAGCCAATGTTGTTGCGTGTGTCCTCCATGAGAAAATATACGTTATGGGAGGTTGTGCGGCACATGAATCCACATACTGGGCTGAGGTTTTTGACCCAAAAACCCAAACTTGGGAACCTTTGCCTGACCCCGGGGTTGAGCTACGCTTAGCTTCAATTAAAGCTATGAAAGTTATGGAAGGAATGATTTACGTTCAGAACAGCGGTACGATGGAGTATGTTTATAATCCAAAAGAAAATAAATGGGACGTTAACGCAAGAGCATTCGTGATTGAGAGAAAGTGTGAGATAAAGAATGTATTGTACCGTGTTGGTAGGCAAAGTTGTTTGTGGTATGACACAAAGCAAAAAGAATGGAGAGCTGTCAAGGGTTTGGCTACATTGAATAGGTATCGCTGTTCATCAGATGTTTTTGAAATAGCTAACTATGGTGGAAAACTCTTAATTTTGTGGGAAATATTTGCAAAGCCTCGTCGTCAAAACAAGAATATTTGGTGTGCGGTGATTGCACTTGAAAAACGCAACGATGGTGAAATTCGGGGAAAGGTTGAGTGGGCTAGTATTGTGCGTACGGTTCCTAGTTCATATGTTTTCTTGCGTTGTGAAGTAAAGCCGGTTTGATCAATATCTGTGATCTTGCTTTTGTTTTTAGTCTATTGCGTAAATGGTTTCTTAAGTCATTTTCTATAAACTATGTATCGTTTAAAATAAAATAAAATAATGTTATGTTCAAATTTAAACTCTTGAAAAATATCAATGGGTAATATATACACATTCATATAGTATCATCAAAGCTATGCAATTTGAGAAATCAAGAATACCAACCAAGCAGGTTAGGCAAATTGACCATTTACAGTTACACATATCAATGTCTACATTTTTCTCCTTTTCTTATATCCTAAAGAAAAATAAACCTTTATTACTTGATTTTCAAATTAGTGATATTTAAGTGTGAGTTGTATACGACACAACGATTTTTTATTTATAAAATCCTTAAATTATGCAATATAATATTAAATTTTCATTTATTTAAAATATTGTATTTTACTTGTTTAGAAATCTATATAATATATATAAATATATATATTTAAATTAATAATCACATGATTTTAATAACTAATTTTGGGAAAATTAATATTGTGAAGATATACTAAAATCTCATCTATCGTAGTAAACTTTACGCGTCAAATGATCACGAAACACCAGCCTTCATGACCATATCCACATTTGATTGTTAAACAAAGGTTCTTTAGTTAATACATATAGGCCATAGCTGACCGTATATATTTAGCCGTAGTTTCTATACAGCTATGATGTCCCAGAGTACAAACCATGATCTGTCATTTTCATCACTACCTCACGAAATCGTTGTGAGTTGCTTAGCCCGTGTATCAGGGCTCTGCCTCGTCTCCAAGCAATTCCGCTCAATCATCTTATCAAACGAGATCTACAAGGCGAGATCCCACCTTGGAACTAAAGAGACCCGTCTCTACGTATGGCTAAAATTGCCTAGTTGTTGTTATCCTACTTGTTCACTCTTTGGATAAAACCTAATCAAACCCTAACCAACGATGATGGCACGGTAAAGAAAAAGTCTACTGGAAATTTACTAGTGCCGTTGCATTCTTCATATAATTATCAAGAACTAATACCCTCTGTGATAGTTGGTTCAGAAACCTACATAATCGGTGGATACACCTTACGCAAAGCCCCTAGCATGTCCGTAGCTCGGACCAACGCAGTGATTGTTGCCCTATATCCTAAAATATACGTAATGGGAGGGTGTTCGTCAGATGAATCAATGAATTGGGCTGAGGGTTTCGACCTTATGTCGAACTCCTTGTTAAGTATGGGCTTGTAATTAGTTTTAGAAGTCCATTATATTTACTTATAAATTAAAAAGCCTATTAAATACATGCCCAATAAAAACGTCACCACATTTTACAGAAGAAAAGCAAATCCAAATTTTCGACGTAAAATAGTTAAGGGCAAAACAAATTCTTCTCTAGTTTACCTAAAATACCAAACCAGTGGTTGGTATTGGTAGCACCGGTTTAATTAAAACAGGATAAATAAAAAAGACCAATAGAAAACTTTATATCCTACAATTCCACATGGTCTCGTTGGAACCCATGCCTTAATATTTTCTTCTTTAAATGCGTAATTGTACTTTCTTAGCAGCCCGTGGTTTAACAAAACATATACTTTTTCCTCTGCTTTATTTTAGTCATAAAGCTGATCATCATCCACTAAAATCATTTAGACTTTGTTAAAGATAATCTAAATACAACAAAATAGCCTATTTTTAAGAAGTGTCAGAGAGGATTGTTCAAGTAAAAGATCGACACATAAGTTTTGCTCCCTCTAATGAGGGCATCTGAGTCACATGCCTCCACATGCCACCAAAGAGTTTGGAACTTCCCATACTCATAATTACGCATATCATATACTATATGGATCGGATGTGGCTGCGTAAATGATGAACACAGACTTCAGAGAACACGTGTTAGAAATTCATTGATAAAACACCTTAAGATGATTCACGAAAAAAGGCATCTTGGTCATGTGAAATGTTCCTTGGCATTTTTTACTTGAGGTACTTGAAATTTTGTCTATTAAGGTAATGTTCCTTGAAATGTTCTTGTTAAGGTACTTGAAAAATAGTTATTAATGCGAAGACAATAAAGTTCCATAGATTATGTTAAGATGTACGTACGTAGTCTTGCTGGTATTGAATTAATCTATTACAGGTTTAGTTTAGTTGCTCATTGTTGTACTGTTCTCAGTCTAGTGCACATGTCATTACAGAGTGTTTTCCTTACTATTATATAAATAGAAATGGAAATGTATGGCAGGCCGGATTTGAATTTTATACGAGGAAGTCAAGCACGTTATAACTTGAATGCGGTCACATTCACAACCTGATGCCAAGCTCATAATTTGGAAGAAGACATGCATTATTAATGGTTCTTTTACTATTTCCATGCTTTCTCGTAGGAATGGGTCTTTTTAAAATTGACCTATACATATAAAAGAGTCTACAAACTTGAAATCTTACGGCGACCAATAATTGGTTGGATGCTACTATTATTGTGCTTACATGTTTTTTTAAAAATTGTAGTCGGCCAATAATTGGAGAGTGAAATATATTTATTCTCTTACAAGGACAATTGAGAAATTAAAGTTACAATGATAGAGAAATCTCTCTCTCACTTTTTTTTTTCTGGTGGATTCCAACTCTTCTTCGGTCGTAACTTTTGCTTTCCAACAAGTTCTTAGCAACTTTTTAGTGTCGTGAGTTTAAGTAATACACGTCTTTTTCCTTAATTTAAAACCCTAACCAGATTAAAGAAAATGCTAAGCCACAGAAGAAAGAAATACTTGCACCAAAACTATTTTCCAACGACTCAATGCAATGGTTCACGCATGTTAATGTGAGGCCTATGATTCTATAAAAGATTCGGACCTACCTTATTCCTTTATAAAAAAAAAATCAAACACTCCGACTGTAGACTTATTGGTTCAATGAATCATTTGAATATGAAGGAAATATATTAGAAAAAATAATATTTTTAAAATATAGTGATTAGCACGTGTCGATAGTGCGTGATTGGCAAAACCTTGGACAAGCTTCACAATTTCACGGACCAATTGGCCTTAGAATTTCCACTATACTACTACACTCTAGAGCATAGGAGGCAATAGGCATCCGTAAGAACTTAGGGTTGTTAAAAATCAAATCTTTGGTTTCGTTAACAATATTTAAACTGCTTGATGATTATAGCTATATATTAATAAGCCACCAAATCTTACAATGATCTTCTTGTGGCATGTCGGGAGAAATGGGTGAAGTAGCGTTAATGGTTTGTTCAAAAGTAGACAGCTAATAACGTGGGAAGACTAAAACCCTACTATAGTATAAATTAAAGCCTAACTAACGATAATGATTCATCTAATTACTTTTTAATCGGTAATTACGAAATATTTTTTTTCATATTGTCTCTCATGCTCTAGTTTTAAGAACATGACTTGTAATTGATTAAGTACACGCCTAGGATATGAGAAGTCAATCAAGTTGGTCCTTGAAACAGATTATATAACTTTTATTAGACCTAATTTTTTAGTTTACATTAGTGATGAGGAAAATTAAATATCTTGATTTGCATCTTTTCATGAGTCAAAATATTGAGTTTGACCACATAGGATTGTGAACCTAAAACAATCAAATATTAATACTAGATTGTCGACATGCTAAAATTTGGAAAAAGTATCGTAAAACTTCTTCCAATAAATTTAAAATATACAGTGTGCCATATATAACTATCTCACGCTAATACAACTTCAGCCGTTAGTAAATATCGAATTTTTCTTGACATTGCACTTTCCCTTTTTAAACCCTTCATCAAAATTGATTATCAAAAATGGAAATTTCTTTAGCGTTTGAACTTTTAGAAAAACAACAAAAAAATGAAAAAAAAAATAGATGAAATTTAATTTATTGTATGTATTGCTTTTGTTTACCCAATTCCGATTTTTATTAACGTTAAGATCCAATGCATGAAAAATCTATAGTATATGTGTTTTATTGTTTTGCCGAAAGAAACAAAAGAAAATATGGTTATATATAAACCATTAAACCTCCGCGCTTGAAAACAAGAAGGAAGAAATATTTGAACGAGGTCTTGATATACACAACATTGACTTCAAAGCATAAAGAGTTGTATGTATGTCAGGGAGATTCTCATTTTGGTGCTCTATTCTTGGGATTCCTAAGACTTAGCCAAATACTGTTACATAAGATTCCATCGTAAGCTAATTGGTTACGTATAATTAGGCGTTTATTACTATTATTATTATTATTATTTTCATAACTTAAACAATTTAGTTAAGCCTCCCAAGTCCCACCCTTAATTAATTAAGCTTAGAAGCAAAGATCCGATCATAGTTCATACTTCATAGGTCGAGTCTGTTTGACGCTATCTTCTCACACAAGTTTTGCCCCATAGAATATTCTGCTTTTCTTTTGTGTTTTTCCCAAAGTAGAATAAAATAATAAGATTCCTTCTTTCTTTGCAAATAGATTCCAAACTATGAGCGTAGCTTTAAGATTCTATTGTTTTTTACTTACAACTTTTATATATAATTTTATTTCTGAGAAAACCTGTATTAGAAGTACTAGTATTTGAACACACTGTTGTAACCTAGATTTCCAAACAATTAAATTAAGAGTAGGATGTGTAATCCATAAAAATCCTAAATAATGGTTAGTTATATTTGAAATGAACTAAAACTTTTTTTTTTTAATAATCAATGAGGTTCTGGGCCGAAACCCATACATTCCCTCAGACCCGAAACCAAAGCATGTTATATGGTTTCGTCCCAATCGCTACTCGAACAGGCGACCTCTAAGCTTTTGCCAGAGATCTTTACCAATTGAACTATTAGCATTTGGTAAAATGAACTGAAACTTGATATTAAAATCAAACAAATCGTTCATCAGTCAAATAATTATCTTTTTTTATCCAAAAAATAGAAATTCAATCCTAACCAAACCTTAAATTATAAAGAAAGATCCATCTTATAATAACATTATTACTTGTCTAAGTCCTAGGAATCTCTTTTAACTTTAAAGCCCGAAACTTCGTATAATATAATTTTGTAATGCAGCTTGAACAATCAAACTTAAATAGCAACATATTACCAAACAAATATACGTTCATTTCATTTTGAGAATCATGGAAAAAATACATGTCATAATAATTTATTTATAATGGGACGCATGGAGAAAATGATATAGAACCAAATATGATTGATACGTTCCTTGAGAATGGATCTACAATATGCTTATCAACATTTTACATATGCGTTGAGTACAATATGAGTAGGAAAAGGAAAAATTAAAATTAACAAGTTATTAAAAAGAAAAGAAAAAAAAAAGATTCTTCTGTACTTAATTATAGCTCTCATCATGCTCCAGATCTCAGTTGTTTCCATTCCACTAAACGTTGCAAGAAATCCATAACCTGTTAATAATTAAGATAAAAAGTATATTATATAGTCAGCTTATATAAAACTTAATTTCTAGCTCAAACATAATTGATGCTTTTTAATTTAGATCGAGCTGTGTCAATAAATTTACCTCATCGGGCTCTTGCAGGGAATAAGACGCACTGGTCTCTTTTGGAAATTTGGATACAAGAATGCCAAGACCTTGTCTTCTTTCTCTCAATATCTATTACATTATTTAAATTAATTTTACTTAGAATATTGAACGTTAACTGTTTAATCTGATATATTACAATAAGACTCGATATACACCTTAAACGCATCTTCGTCTGTGCGATCATCTCCGATGTAAAGAGGAAACACGTCGGTACAGTTAGCGTATCCTACACAAAGCCAATACTAATTTTAATTAATATCACACATAACAAATTAATTAGTTATTTAGTTGAGGAATTGTATAAAATTACCTAGTGACTCTAATAAAAATTCGAGTGCTTTGCCTTTATCCCATTTTATGATAGGACGAACCTCCAATACCTGAAATGATTAAAACCCGTTAATAAAGTAATCTTCTAAATTAATACCTTAAAACGACATGAATAAATTAAGTTAACAGTATTATCTTACTTTTCTTCCTTGAGTAAGACGGAGCTTAGGGTAGTCCTTCATTACTGATCGAACTTGGTTAGCCAATTCACTCCAGTTCTGTCGATTTATATATTTAATTAGTACTTAAGTGATTAGTTTTGTTTTAAAATACATGGTTTTTGGAGTTTAAAATAAAAATAAAAAATATAATCGTACATTTTCATTGACGCGTCGGAAGTGAACAGAGACACAGAATTTGTTGTTCTC